TGACAATCATAATCATAAATCATAATCCTAAAAATTATTTTTAAAGTTAAAATAATTAAAATGCTAATTACCTACACAAAATGTCTTGCTCTTTGACCATGAATTTTTTTTTTCGCTAATTTGTATTGTTTTGTAAAATCTACATATCATTGCTATTTATTTATGAAAATACTAGGTGAGTCACTTCCCATAGTGTACCTACCTTAAGAATATTAAGTATAACGACACGCGTATTACAATAATCCAGCTGACGAGCAGGCTGCCAGGTATATTAATCGCATAAATTAAAAGCACACAATGTGCAGCTCCACAATGCCTCGTCTTCTACATCGCACATGTGTTTATTTGCTGAATTATTCAGCTTTTTATTTCATTTTTCTCTGTGCGTTTCACGAAAACATGTTAGCGTGCTAATGCAATTTAAATCTATTCAAACAGGCGATAAATGAGTCATTATTATTTCAATAATGCTAATTAGCGTGGCAGCGAACGCGCTCAAAACTCGCACTAGTTTTTTTTTCTCTCTTTTTTCTTTGTGTCAACGTCGGATTAGTTTTTAATTCTTCGGTTTCACGTATAGTGCCCTCCTTTCAGCAGCTCACCCTCCGTTAACTCAGGGTTGCGCTCCCTACCCTCTTTGTCTTCTTGTCGTTGATGTCCACGGCCCACGCAAACAATTCATAGCAAATCTATTTGGAGAACGGTAGTAATAGAAGCACTCTAGATAACGTCTCGCAAACTTTTTGAGGGGTGGAAAAAGGTCACAGGTAGGGAAGATGTGGCTTGATATATGGTAGTTTAAGATGGTATTATTGTGTTTTCATTCCCTGCGTGCGGATCACAATTGATCAAATGTGGTTAAACACTTGTCACAAAATTTGGGTCTTGTGCTGTGACCTGCCAAGAACAGGTTGCAAACAATTGAACAATGCCCACAGATCGAACAGGTTGGGTCCCGGGTGGATAATTGAAGAAAAAATTCATAATGACGTGATTTTAGTCCGGACATTATCAACGCTATCTCTTATCGGGAGCCATCTAGTTGGATAATTTATACGCGCATGCGGGACGCACGCATGGCCGAGGTGGCAATAATAAACACTTTGTTCGCAATTATAGCCGGTCTAGGAAAGGAGCAAACGGCACGAAATCACGAGCCACGGCTCATAGAAAGCACAAATCGAGCGCGACGCTTACACATGATAAGCATATAAGTCAGTAAGTAACACACGTGGACCTGTGTAGGACTCGCTTCCACCCTTTGTGCTTTCTTTTCTATGCACTGCGTACACGCGAACGGCCCATAATAGAAAAAAAATCCTAGTGAATCAACTAAACGTGCACGATTCGTCGCCATTTGTTGGTTGAACACGAAGAGGTACACCGCGCAAGCGCACGTCTGTCTCTAGATGGCCCGTGGGCACTTTTTATAACTTATTGTTATGGCTTATAGCTGCAACGGCAACTAGTTTTACCCGTTCTGCGTGGCCATCTTCGGCTTGTCTGCTTCTTCGGCGTGCGACAACCAAGTTGTAGCCTCTTCGTATATGGCTAAAAGAAACTTTGTATGCTGCGCACGAGCCCAGTCGCCATGTTGTGCTTATAAGACTTATGAAAAATCATACGTGCGTAGCGGCGACAATAACTTTCCAATTGAATATTTGCGGAATTATTTATTTTTTTGTGGTACTGTATTAAACGGAAGCCGCATGAGCTTTAAACCAAAGCAAACATAATTAAATATTAAGTGCTCCCGTCGTGCGAGGATTATAATGCATTTTAATGTGTTTTCGATCGGTGCGTGCACGCCACATATGTAGATGAGGGTACATGTATAATTTACTCGTAACGAAACAAATCTGAACGGCGCACACAACAGGTAGCCGACGGGACGGGACCTGGCCGGACGGGTTGGCCTCAGAGCAACCTCCTTCGAATTACAAATTGATCAAGAACCAGTTTGTTTCATTCCGCGTGAAGTTTAAGTTTCAACTCTCGGGGTGGAAATGGAAATAAATTTCGGAACAAAAATCTAGGTCTCTCCCAAGTTGGTCCCTAAAGGTAGTACAATTCCAAAGATCCACATGTAAATTTTGCCCGTGCGCAAAGCAGAGGGAGGCGACTCAAAGTTGAATTACTTCATGTTTTAGCTTTTACTTTCCTTCTAAATGCAACGTTTTGGGGTGCGTCTATGCTTCTGGTGCCATTCCGCTGTCGTATATTTAAGCGGGGTATTTATAGCAAGCACCAGGGATGCACAACCCGCTCCGTAAATGACTCCGACGTCTAGCCGGGCGACGTCATTTGGGCAGCCCTGTCCTAGACTACATTTCGGCTTTCCTTGGATTTCATTAGCAGCCTATGCGCTTTCCGTCGTCTGGGGGCTAGATATGAATATAGATGAGCCGCATAAACATGTCGCCGGCGCGGTGAAGACGCTACAAACTCGTACCATTAAGTGTCTCCGGCTGTAAACGAAACAATGGCCAGGCGAAACCGAGAAACGTCGGAGGGAACAAAGCTGGTACAAGAGAACAAAGACGACGATTGGCGGATTGGCGCATCCACGCGTAGCGCGTGCTCGTGACATTACCACTGAAACACGCGCCACGGATCGCCGGGCATGAACTGGCTTAATTTAATTAATCGCGAATTCATATTTACCCGTGTCACCTCAATCACATATTTGAAGCGTTTAGCTCCTGTATGAATGGCGGCCAAAATAGATACACGTGTAGTATGAATCTATTCGTGCTGGGAGAAAAATGGGAAGCACACGAATAAAAAATACTCGCAGAGATTTCCTCAGGAGATGAAAGGAGAGCTGCTTCATTCATGTTTCCTCCTACATCACCACTACAGAGTTTTATCAATGACGCGAAGACTGCGTGCGCTACGTACGTTTTTTGTCATTAAATTTTTGTTGTCTATTTACGCCGGGTGCGGCAAACGTGTGTTGCTTCACGTTCTATCAAGAGCATCAACCGAACGACGTGCACCTTCTAGAACGAACACACCACACCACCAAGTCACTAGACGTAATTTGGCAACGTGCCAATAGGAATCAAACGAGCGCACACAACTTTTGGCAAGACATACAAACCGTGCCTTTAACTTTTCATCCGTTTCTAAACATCCTACCTGTCCCCATCGGGTTATCTCTATTGCTGAAGTTGGTGTTTTGAAAAACCAGCGATGATCATTTACCATTTGGTCAATTTAACAACTCGGGAACATTTTCTCCGAGGGGGCCATTAAGATCGCCGAAAAAAAACTTAAAAAAAAAAAAAACTATATCAATGAAGGTCTTCTATTAATAGAACAACCATAACAATAACATTAAAGGCCTCAGCCGTTGTTTCAGATGAATACAGTTGAGCTCGCCCTCTGCTCGACGTGACTTTTAATCCGGATAATTTTATTTTACGATTTTATGTTTATTGTTATTAGCTATATTCTGGATGTGCCTTTTTTTCACTGCTGGTGCCTTATCGACTAGGGTTTTCCAAAAGATACGAAGAGTTTACTATTTAAGTTCTTGTAATTTACAACGTGTCAATAAATGTCCCAAAACACTTAAAAAAAAAACTCCAGAAAACATAGAAATAGATAGAAATGCATATTTATATCAACATCTGGTAACACCATTAAGGAATACTTGAATAAACATTTTTCAAATTAAAATTACAGCGCTCAAATACTGACTTATAACTGCCAGCATAATTCATGCGTCTTTTGTTTATACCTTTTTCTATTTTCGATTGATTCTTAATGAGTGCGACCACGGACCGTTTCCTTCGTTCCGTATGCAAGCAGCGAACGCTGTATAAACACGCCAAGCAGATGGGATCGTCCACTGGGTGTACCGGAAAGCTGGCAGCTATAAATTTCAAGTTTGAAGTGAAAAGGCGAACATGTGTAGGCTTTATTCGAAAACGCGGCTCCCCAAGTTTGCTGCTGTTGTGGTGATGATATGAATACGTTGGTTGGAACATTGGGCGCACATTTCGAGCTATTTTTAGCGAAGCGAACGCGCGGAGTCAATTGGCGTAATGGGAATCGTGATCTCGAGATCACGTCGATAAAAGTCAATGCATCGACCCCAGCGTAACATTTGCCACCACCTTTGCAATAATTACCAAAATTTTGATCACAAGTGAACTTTTTACGCCGGTTAAATGTTTCGAATTTTATGGATCTTTGATATATTTGGACAAAGACAGTGTTGACGCAAGCAAAGCGCAATCAAACATCGCACAGGCGTCCGTCCGCGGCTAAAATTACGCCCGTTTTTATCCGTGCGGCAAAAACATTAATTTTTGGCAAACGCCGCGCTCATTTTTGTTGCCTCGCATCTCGATGCTAATAGCCAACACTTGTAAATATTTTTCTTTGTTTCTAATTGGAACGCACGCGGTTATTTTGGGCGTATTAGTGCAGAATTGCAGCGCATAATTACGAAGTGTTACAAAATTCCAGTTTTATGCAAGAGTTCATTACACCCGACGCGCCGAAACTAAGATTATCTTTCTTATTGACTCAATGGAGTGAATTTTAGCCGGCGATTAGTTTTCAATCCGTAACTTCTGGCGGCTGTTCTTTTCGCGTTTTCAGAGAAACGATCGGGTTCTGGGTAAAATTATCAGCGCGATTGTAATAGATCGAAATAATGCGCTGGCTTGGCTAGTTCGCTAACATTGTTGCGCCTGAGCGGCGAGTATTGGTCAACAATAATCATTGTAATTGCGCGCAACCAGTCGTTAGTTGTTACAGTATTACACTGCGCCCGACGCGCGCCTTGGTAACATACATTCAGGTTAATTATACCTCTGTGCGCTCGACGCTTTGTGGTTGCGAACGCAAGCGAAACACCGTGTTCATTTCTTTGTTCCTAGCATCTCCTCACATCGGCACGTTTTGTAAATCAGAGAGACTTTTTTCACAACCCTTATAAAAATGGTACCAGGGATGGGGCCATTTTTATTGGAAAATTAGGCAAATGAATCAAAACATATTTATTTAGGAACAATTCGATCACCTTTGAAGTAATATCACTTCACACTGATGTATTGAAGACCTTCAGGTGGTTAAACGATGAATTCTTCATTGGAGACTTAACTGAAATTTACACAGAAATTGGTACATGTTGCGCTATCTACTGGAACAATTTTAAACTATTGTCCCATCAAGGACAGTTAGAACAACACTGTTTATAAACATTTTTATCAATTGGATTTCAAAATATCTATCTTACCCGTATGCATGTGTCTGTTCTGTTTGTTGATTTTGATTTGACTTCCTTCTCAGATATTCTAACATGTTTAAAGTAAAGTTGGTCACTCCTGTACTGATAATCCTACTGCTTCCTAAACATTCTTCATTCTTGTAAAACACTGCATATTGCCCTGGTGCCAAGCCTCTTTTTACACCGTTTACCCGTACCACCATGCCATGCTCAACTTGCATTACTCTACAATCGCTGAGGTCATTAATATGTTGGAACTTGAAGGCACAATCAAAACAATTGGATTGTACCAGGGGATCATGGCTGATCCAATGTGGTTGATCTGTGAAAAATAAAGAACTGTGCAGAGCCGGATGATTTGTTCCAGGTGCCTGGAAGAAAATTAAACTCAAGATTTAACTGATTGTTAAATGAAGATATTTGATAACATACCACATAGATTATATTATTTTTGAAGCATCTTTTAGCAATGAAGTAAGCTTGACTGAAGCCACCAAGGTGCGCACGTTGCCCAATGGTCCAGTGATGAATTCCCTCATGTTTACCTACTACTTTACCAGTATCCACATCTATGAAATCCCCAGGCTGGTCTACAATGTACTAAATATACAAATCAGTTTCAATAAAAATATATATATACAATTCAGATATTAACTATACATCACTAATAAAATGCTGGAAATTTCTAGATCCAATAAAACAGATGCCCATGCTTTCCTTCTTGTCTGCAAGGGCTTGCAGACCAATCTTTCTTGCATATTGCTTTACATCTCTTTTCAGCATGTTCCCCAATGGAAAAAACGTCTTTCTTAATGATCTCTCTTCGATTTGGCTCAGAAAAAATGTTTGATCTTTTGTGGTATCTCTAGCTTTCAGTAATTTTACATGCTGCCCTTGCTGATAATTCTCTAGGTAATTTCCAAAACTTGTATTTGCATAGTGTCCAGTTGCTATAGCATCACAATTCAGTTTGGTTCTTGCATATTTGTAAAAATAGTTAAATTTTACGAACTTGTTACATAGTATGTCTGGATTTGGGGTAAAACCATGCTCATAGTCATCAATAAACTGCAAAAACACTTCATTCCAATATTCTTTCACGAAGTTTACCTGTACCAGAGGTATATTCAAAAAGTCGCATGTTGTCTGAGCATCTTTGAGATCTTTATCAGAAGAGCAAGTTCCCTGCTCATCCCTGATGTCCCAATTTCTCATGTATACTCCAAGCACTTCATAACCTGTGCATAAATAAGGTAAACTAAAAAAAGAAATGGTATTTCTATTAAACTAACCTTTTTTCTTTAGGAGATATGCTGTGACAGAACTATCCACACCCCCAGATATGCCAACAGCTATTTTTCGAAACATTTCTGAAGAATTATCTGAGCTAATGTCCTTTCTAAATATAGAGTAGTATTTACCACTCTCTAATATGAAAATTGTATCGAAATTATTATAAATAAGTACATGATAGTGGCATCTAGGAATGAATTTTGAAGCTAGATATGTAACTCGGAGTAGTGAAACATTTTCCTTGTTTTTTTTAGGAATTGACTGAATGCTTGCAATTTAATTATTACGAAGTATTTATAATGATTATATGACTCTTTCGTGTTTGTAAATTTTTATTTATTTATTGGGTGCAAACCATCCGCAACAAATGATTGTCACGCATTCTCCTATTCCAAGTTTTGCATTTAATTAATTTCTACGTGTAATGACATAATTTTAAGAGTCTGTTTCTGCCGAATCGGTACAAACATTTAGTCTGTTTATTGCATTCAGAAATACGCAAGTGGGCCGCTAGTAGCCCCACCAGTGGAGGGGTTGCGCCAGTCAGCTTCACTCTTGCCGATTGAATAATTACATATAACCTTATCAATTGCGATTTGTTGTGATTTTGTGATATTTGTCAATACTTGTAAGAGTTTCTTTGGGGACAATTGCGACATCCAATCGCTAGAAGTACGTGAGTTCGTGTTATTGAATTTGATTCACTGTAGCATTTGCTACATGAAGCAGTAGGAATTAGATTTTTATTTACTGTTTATATTACTTTGTCACAAATATTGAAAATCTAATATATTTCTAGCTTTCAAACTTCAGCAATTGCGCTTTTGTTTTATGCAAACAGACTAGGGACTCCATCTGCGCATTTCCAAAGTTTTATTTTCCAAGAGTGCCTGAAGTTATTTAGGTAGTACAAGTTCAAACCCACTAAACAATTTACAAATCCTGTTTTGAATACTTTATTATTTTTTTAGAGTATGCCTCCAGCAAAGAAACGTAATGAGTTCATCTTCGTTGTCGACTTGGCGTCGGACGAAACCTTCCTGCAAAACGCACTTGATCGAATTTTCACATTGAAGTCTCTGGAGACCAGAGGTCCAAAAAAGGACAAAACCAATGATCAGTTCCAGTTGATTGCCATGAATTATCCGCATCCTGACACAGATGGTTCAAATTACATGCTGATCAGTGATTTTGCAACACCAATGTACACTGACGGTGTCTTCAAATTTTTGAGTGAACATCTGCTCATTTATAAGGAGATGGACTACAAAGATTGTGATTGCAATTTGATCAGTGCCATTCAGTATGGAGGTGGAATGTTTAATGCATTATCAGATAAATTGCATGTTTCAACTTTTTTTTTGATTGTCATCAGTGATTTTAAAAATTTTCCAAACTCTCCTTATGATGAAACTGAAATTCAACAATGTGTTGATCTCATTTGTACCCTGAACATAAAGTTTATTGCTGTAGTGGATCAAGACATTTCCTACACTTATAATGACATGATTGAGACATGTAGGGAAGTTGGTAAGGTGATGGAAAGTATTCAAATTCCAAGGAGGAACAGTGCCATTGAAGCAGTTTGTTCAATTGCTCAACAAACGAATGGGATTGTGACCGGGGAAAAGCTTTGTAATTACCGTTTATATCCGTTATGTGTGCCAATTTGTTATAATACTTTTTACAGTTTTGAACTTTGTGACCTTCTTCGCCAACCCAGTGTCTAAACAACCTTGGAATACGTCCCTCACTCTGGGGAGTTACTCTTACTCTACTGTTACAACAAAACTTACTGAACAAGCAAACAGTTTCTTAGGCAAAAGACTGCCGATTCGCCAATCTGCCTATCGCCAGCCGCAGACGGTCAACTTGCAAGATGTTGACATCTTGGCTACTACATCTTCTGATGCAGGACAACAGATCGCTGAAGGGGATGTGGCCTTGGTGAAGCTCTTCCACGGTCATGCGCTGAACATTCCTGCAGATGTGCGTGCCTTTGCGAAGGATGTCCCAGCCACGTTTAAGATTCTTGGTTTTATTGATGCCAGTGAAATGTCGGAAGTATGTGATTTTCGACTTCTATTTTTCTATAATGTACAATGTAAATTATTAAATTTATTATTTTATAGTTATACTACGGGGGGGACGAGTCCTTTGCCGTCAACGCGCGTGAAGACAATCCTCGCGCGGAGCATTTCGTGGAATTAGTATTTAAAATGATCCGACGAAAGAAATACGCCATCGCAGCAAGGGTATATTCCAGAGGGAAGTCGGCCAGTGCGTTTGTGCTGATTCCCCAACCGGAAGGCTGGTTGTTGATGACCCACCTATGCGAGGGCGCCTTACGTGTTCTGAATCCGATCGAAGTGGACCATACTTATGTCGATGAAGAATCCCTCTCTGAAGGGATGCTGGCGTTACGACATCATCTTATTAAGAATAACGCTTTGTTCCACCCATGCAGTTCGTTGGGGACTGGACAAATTCGCGTTTGCAATAATGTGCGACGCCTTTGCGGATATAACAAACATTTATTCAAACCGGATGAGTTGACAGTTGGACTGAGCCACAGAGACAAGGATTTGATCAATAATATGTTTGTCCCAACATCTTCAAAGACTGATAAACCCGCCGTTGAAGAGCCTCACCAAACCAACGACATGGAGGAAGATTGGTAGACAGGAATGGATGGACACAAACATATTTTATCCTTTACTTTTATACATCTTGTTCTTAAATTGTTCCATAAGTTGTCTGTTATCATGTTGTTAAGTTATATAAAAAGTTATATAAAAACTTAGTGGTTGAAAATATTGAATAACGATAACATAATAACATAACATTTTTGCAAACATTGACCATTTAGGCATTTTAAAATTGCCTATAGATTTTAATAAAGAATTTTTTACATGACAATCAGAGATCAGAATCACAATTTTGTGTTACTGGTTTTCGATTCAGAATTAAATATACTTTCAGAATCAGACATCAGAATTGAAAAAAAATCCAATTATTACAAAACCTGCATTTTCTGATTTCGTCCAAAAAAAGGCAAAATATTTCTCTTTGTTATGCTTAAAATTAAAAGTTGAAATTTTAAAATTCTGAATTAGAATTCTATATAGATAATTTAAATCATTTAGGTCCTTGTTGTAATGTTTTTGACAAATATGTATTTTGCTCCAGAATACAGTTGTTCTGCCGAAATACAATTTTTTTTTAAATTAAAATTGCAAATTGGGTATAAACGGTCAATGTTAGACAAAAATGTTATTTAAATAAATGTAGAATTAAATTATTGAATCCGAAATCAGAATTTAAAAATTCCATCTTTTGCCTTTTTATAACAAAATCGTTTATTTCAGCAAATTTTGATTTCGGATTAGAAAATTGAACTAAAAAATCTGCTATTTTATAGAGCATTATCATGTCATGAAGAAAATGCAAAAAGTTTCGCCGTGGCTCTTATAGTCTCCGAAGAAATCACGTCGGAAAATTGTTTTTCAATATTTCAAAAGAAAATATTTAAAATCTTACCCTTTGTAGAATTGTTTGCCGGCCACAGTTTTCCGCATTTGATTATTACTAATAGTTCCTGAATTATCTCACTGAATCGCACTGAAGTGTTGCTGGAAGTACACGTTTCACTTAAATGTGTCTACAAGGTAAATGGGAAGTACTAATGAGTAAAACGTTATATTTAAAAAGTAATTAAGAACCCCTCATTACAATAGTACTACATATTAATTTTCAAAAATAATTTTAACCACTTGATTAAATATCAGGCGCCTCCGCCACATTTTTGTTAATTATTAGATAATTGTTGAAATAAACGCTTTGCCCTCACAAGTTATGGCACCATTTGCAATTTATTTGTTATGGAATCATTTAACAACAATAATTTGTGACAGTAAAGCATTTACTTTGATAATTCACCCTTTCGTAAAACTATTATTTTTCAATTAATTATTTGAATTTTGAATAAATTAAAAGGATATATTTTTATTTCAGTTTATGAAAGATTGCAATTATCTAAATTAAATATTTTAGTACATTAATTTAATTAGATGTTTAGTTTAGAAGATATCCACATACGTGTAAAACTATCAAGAACACTATTAATTTCTCAAGAAATAAAAATAGAAATTTTTAAATTCAAATTTCGGTTTCCGATAGCTTGCTGATTTTAAATTAATTTATTTAAGAACAATTTTCCCTTAGCACTCATTTAGACCCTATTGACAATTTTAAAGAAAAAATTGTCTTCACACAGAAACGAATTGAGTAATAGTGATTATTACGAAAACGGTACGCCTTAAAACAAAACTTTAAGATAAAGTTTTCCTAATTTCCCTTTCATCAATATTATGTAATCATCTATATATATAAAAGAAAGTCGTGTTAGTTACCTTGCTTAGAACCAAAGAACGGCTAATCCAATTTAGCTAAAATTTGGTGGAGAGGTAGCTTAGAGCCAGGAGAAGGTAATGGGATACTTTTTGAAGTGAAAACTTTTCTAAAAAGGCACTAAACGACACTAAAAAGAGACAAACATATTTGGGTATATGGCTTATCTTGCGGGAGAATAAGAGAACGCAAATACAAAGTTTTTTATTATACCCGTCTCCTCTTTGTGCGATGCTTCGTAGCTTCCCCCCCTAAGCATAGACGTGTGTATGTGTGTACGTGTGGGTTAAAGTTGACCGGTTGATGTTTTTGTTTGGAGAAGGTTACTAGGATACTTTTTGAAGTGAAAACTTCTTTAGAGAACACTAAACGACACTAAAAGGAAACAAACATATTCGCTTATATGGTTTAGCCTACGGGCGAAAAAGAGCACACAAATATAATGTTTTCTATTATCTCCCTCTCCTCTTTGTGCAATTCGTAGCTTCCCCCTAAGCATAGACGTGCGTGGGTTTGTACGTGTTGGTTGAAGTTGCCCGGTTGATGTGTTTGTTTGAATAAGATTTAATAAGTGTAGGATACTTTTTTTTAATACTTTTTGAAGTGAAAACTTCTTTGGAAGATACTAAACGAGTTTTCTCCGTCTCTTCTTTGTGCGATGCTTCGTAGCTTCCCCACTCAACATGCGGCGACCAAAACGATCAATTCTTATCCGACAAAACCGTAATGCAACTAGGATTGGAAGGATTGCGAATTAAAGGACTGAAGAAGAACAAAAAATTGCACGTGAAAAGCGCCGTGTTAGTATGACTCGACTTCGTGCTTCTCAATCACAAGAGCAAAGCGAGGCGGAACAAAGTTTGCCGGGTCGGCTAGTAAATAAATAAAAGGATTTCATGTCAATATATTTTAAATAAATAGTTCGACCCTGTGTTCCTCAGTAAATAATTTAAAGAAATAATTCGTCGCCATTCTAGGCGCAAAATTTAAACATACGTGTACGTGTACAACGGGCATAATCTGTGGATTGGAACAATATGAAAAAACGCCATTCCATAAAGTACAATGCAAGAACGAATCTGAAAACATTAAAATAGGTGAAAAAATAATTGTTTAACAAAAATATATATTTTTACTAAAAAAGCATCCTTTCAAAACCTCATTGCCTTCTTTGAGATTCATTTAATCAACTAGTCACACACAGCAAAGGAACATGGACCTTCACTGCCCGAATAAATGCATTTGATCACTTAAACTAGAAGTCTAATTAAAATAATATTCTAATATGTTTGATTTATATAATTGTTCTCTTTCTGAATCTGACATAAAAACTTTATATTTTTATATATTAGAAAATGTAAATAATTAATTAAAATATGACGGAGGAGCTTGACATTTTGGGAAGTGGTTTAATTTACTAATAATATCATTGTATACAAAAGGAAAAATTTTAATACAAATTATAGATATTGAAGAAAATATAATATTAATTTACGTTTTATTGAGTCTCATACAATTAAGAAAGTAGTTGTTCAATTCCACAATTGTTAGTTGACGATAAAAATTGATGTTTCATTGTTTTTGTTTTCGGAATTTCACGGAAATTATTTGCAAAGTTCGTACTTATCTAAACATTTACTGCAAGTGGCTGACTTCTATTAAGTTACGCTTGAAACTAATAAAAATATTGTAAAACCGTCACACGTTTTGGAAACATTTGCATTCCATCGTCAACATCGTGTTTTCGGCATGCACCCATGTTGCGTCCTTGTTTCATTGGCCATGGGGAATGTGTACTTCGTCGTTCAGTGTGTAAGTACCGATTTCATACTTACTTCCTTGTTGTTATATTTTATTATGACTCCTTGATAGCAAATATGGACAAACATAAAGGGTTCAAGTACTTTTCGGACGTGATTCTAATATTTTTTTAAAAGGTCGTCCCCAAAACAATATTTACTAATAAATGATGTCAGCAGACTTTAATTCCCTTTGTTTTTGAAGAAATTTGTTGTTATTGAAACATAATAGAAACATCTAGATAACATAAATTTACAGTTTTTTTTATGGCACACGTAGCAATGGCTCTTATGTAAGTTCAACTATGAACTTAAAAGGAATCAATTAGCGAATGGCCAGGCTCTGATGGGTTCTAAGTAGGGAACAATACGATATTGTCATACAGGTGCCACTCGCCGCATTCCAAGCAAACTGACTATCATGATAAGTAAATTACGATCTAGATAAATCCGATCGGAATCGAGTACGGTTTATTGTGCAAACATCGTCGAGCGTGCCATAATCTCAAGCGTAATAGCTACTAATAATTAATGTGCTTCATTTCCATTTTAATCTAATAGCAAACACGCGTCGTCGATTACAACAATGAGCAAGAGTCCGAATTACAATAAAAACGCACTTGACGGGTAATGGAGCAGCAGTAACACGTGAAATTTGCACGGAAGAAATGCATTGCACGCCATCATGAAATGATCAAAATTTACCTTAAAACTGGATTCGCAGTCAACCGGAAATAACACTCCAAACACTTGACAACTTCGATTGATCAACCAAACAAAAAAAAAACTAAAGAACTAGTTGAGAACATATTCCATCATCCCACCTGTGAATAACACATACTTCATTTATCTATAGGTAAATTAAACAATTAATCTTCAATCTGATATGATTAGGATCAAGATCTGATTACGCGGATAATAGAATCTCGATTTTTTCTGCTGCCTAGAGCGTCGGATTCAGCGTCGAGGTGAGTTCGTGATAGCGCCACGCCGCCGGGACGCAATTATAACAATCGCGCGCCTATTATCAGTCGGCGGGTGTATAAAACGCGGCGCGTCCACCAAACACACGACAGTCACAAATTCGTAGCTTGACCGTGAACGCCGCGTACAACAGCAGCATTCCACGCGATTACACTCGCGGTCGAGCGAAAGTAGGAAGCCCCACACGTCGATGCAGTCGCCGATTGCCGATTTACATAAATAAACAAATGTTACAATCAATTAATTAACGACCGTGCCGATGCGAATTGAATTTTAACCGGTTCGGCGTTAGACTCGAAAACCTGTCACCCAAATTGATTGATTGACGTGCGCGCCGATTGTTGCTTCATGCATGAATAAAAAGTGATTAAAGAAAGAAAATTACGGCAGTGCAATGGTGCAAGATACGAGGAAAACGAAGCAATTCGAGCACGACGTGGAAAAGAAGCGCGATGATGAAATTGTTTACAGAGGCAAGTCACATACAGCTTACTAATTCATGTTTAAGTATTGTTTAGTAATTAAAATGTAATTTGTGTGCGCCATCGAATGTTAATTGTGCTGTTACCTCATTGAAAATCACTAACAACACCATCAAAACATCGAATTCTATAATGCTTGCTCAAAAGTTAATTTTTTTCGAATAATACAGTCAAACTGTTAATGAATGCTTTGAACTTGAACTGCAACCAGTGAAGAGGGCTTACATAATTTGTTATTCATCTCAATTCTGCCATAGAGCACATAAAATCGTAAAATCAATGTTATTCATCAAATTGTTTACGAAATTGAGCGTCACATCAATTTCTCAGTAGTTGCACAAACACTTATGGCGCGTAATTGTTGAAAACAATGCAATGTATAAGATTTTGTGCGCAATTGTGCCACAAAACCGCTTATTAATTAAGTTTATGGCAATCCGCAGAATTTTTATACATAAAACTATCTCTTACCTGATGAAAAATAACTTTACATGATAAAAATTTATCTGATAACTCTTTAATACGTAAGTGCACCGTGATATGATATCTCAAAACAATGCAAAGTACGTTTTTTAAATTTTTTTTTATTTATTATTGCAATATTAAAGTTGAAATTAAGTCGTATTAAACTTTACATTTCTCAACTGTGTATCGATTAACGATGCAAATGTTTAAGCAATTAATCTATTAATTACTTGATCTGGGCGCCTTGGTTAGAAATGTAAACATTTCCACATTTTACTCATCATTTCTTGTCATAAAATTGTGTATTCAGCATGAGTAACTAAATAATAGAAAATATTATTATTCAGTTGTCAATTAACTTTAATTTCTTTCCTTTTCGAGCACGCGTTTTGAAGGTGAAACTCGAATTATAAAAACTACACATTCACATGCGCGGTGTGACAACAATGAGTGTTTTGCGGTCAAAATTAATGATAATTGGCTAGTTAACTGGCTACTTATCCGAGTGATTTACATAAAACTACGTGAAATCATCAATTTTTTAATTGCACGCAGAAAATCTTGCACTGTCTGTGTCTGCGTCAATAAGTTCCTTCACGCATGATAAGAGCGTTATTACCGGTCATGACACGAATGCTCTTATCGGTTACTTTTTATTTTCGTTATTTTAACGCGCTCATTTTTTTATTGATATCTGCTTCGCAGTTCGCAATTAAACGTTTTTTCCGTCGCGCTGTTTCATCATGAATGCCTGCGGCCAGAATATAAAAATCAACAAAGTCAAAGTTATCATTCCAGTAAACTACTGACATAAAATTTTCCATTATTTGTATGATATTGTTTGACATAATGGGAAAGAATTGTGCCATTGAGATTACTTGAACTTTTTACCCTCCATCAAGCGTGATTGAATGAAAAGTAAATACTGATAAATAAATTATGGCATGGACTTATCAAAGTATCGCCAAGTCGGCGGTAATAATAATTAAACGGAATGCGCCCGGTGCAATGACAGTGATTCGGTATTTAAGTGAATTACCGGATGGATCACAGCGCGGTTTACTCACCTGACCTGACTTAATTGCGTGCGCTGTAAAAAATCCAATAAAACCGTAATCATTTTTATGGACACTTCAGGACGTAGTTTCCTTATAGGTTTTTGTTCTTCGAAACTGACATTGCAATTACACAATAATTATTCTAGATTCTCCACTGCGAAATCATGTTAGAGGGACGATTTACGAGTTCGCGTGTACGCGATGTACGAAATTTAAAACAATGTTAAAACCGTGAACAATGTCAAGTTCAATTTGGGCGTCATCACTATTCATCCATAATCAGCATATGCACTTGTACATTAAGTATATGCGTTGAAATAGTTGCATTCGTCATTTCATGCCATGTTAGCATATTTCAGATTGTGTACATATATTTCTGCACGTTGCGGCGTAATAATTTTGAATATACAAACAATTAAACATCTGTTTATGTCACTCACCCTTTTGTTTCTCCTTACAGGACCCACGTTCGGCGCGCGGCATGTCCAAGTGGTCCTTCTGTTCTTCCTGGTGGGCATCGCGTATTTTCTCAGGGTGAATTTATCGGTCGGCATCGTCGCCATGACAGATCCCACGGTTAATCCAGGAATCACGGTAAAAAGTCTACTCTAAATTCAAATCGCTTACATTTCTGTTATTTACAAAACCTGTTTTCAGACATACGACTGGTCCGACAAGAGTGTGATCCTTTCGTCCTTCTTTTGGGGGTACGTTTTGCCACAGGTTGGCGCTGGTCAGATGGCGAAGAATTGGGGGGCCCGATGGGTGCTCATCTGCGCCATGAGCATCTGTTCCCTTTTCACAGTCCTGATTCCCATTATGGCTCCACTGGGATCCTACGGTGTGATGATTTGTCGAGTCTTTCAAGGTTTCTCCCAGGGATTTTTCTATCCCTGTATACACAATCTGCTCAGTAAATGGGTACCGGAAGGCGAGCGCACGCGGATGGGCACATTTGTATACGCGGGTGGACCATTCGGGACTGTATTAGCTATGCCGGTCACCGGGTGGATTTGTGCCAGTAGTCTTGGCTGGCCATCGGTGTTCTATATATTCGGCGGGGTGGGTTTTGGGTGGGTTGTCGTCTACGCGTTCCTAGGTACCAATAGTGTGTTCGATCACAAGACGATCTCGGAGGAGGAGAGGGAGTATATTAAGATGTCACTTGGTCATGGCGACAAAGATGATCATCACGTAAGCAAAGCAAATCTCTTGTTTACTAGTAAAATAATTCATACCGGGGGAATATTTCAGGAAGCAGCTACTCCGTGGAAAGAAATCTTTAGGTCGATGCCGGTGTGGTCCATTATGATCGCGCATTGTGGTCAAAACTGGGGCTTTTGGACTCTGCTTACGGAAATTCCAATTTATATGAATGGTGTTTTGAATTTCGATATCAAAGAGGTACATGGCATCAATGAGAACCTCTCGACTTTTAAATAACATTTTGTTTGATTTTCTAGAATGGATTATTATCAGCTTTGCCCTATTTCGTGCTTTGGGTGTTGAGTTTCTTCTTCGGCGGGATCTCAGATTTCCTCATCAATAGAAAAACAATAACCGTCGGGTTTTCAAGGAAAATTAATACCGTAATCGGCATGCTGGTACCAGCACTTGCGTTGACAACCTTGGGCCTTACAAGGACCACCGACTCGAAGGTAGCCATCGCGCTTCTTGTCGTCGCGGTGGGTGTCAATGCGGCTACGTACAGTGGCTACCAGGTTAATCACATAGACTTATCAGCGCGGCATGCGGGTACCCTGATGGGTCTCACCAACGGGGCGGCCAATGTGTTCTCCATTATTGCGCCCCTCGCTGTTCAGCTAGTAGTAACCGATGAGGTGAGGTGTCCTCGCATATTTCTGAATACATTTTAACATAATTTTCATCTGCAGACGAAGGTATCCCAATGGGAAATCGTTTTCTACGTCGCAGCTGCAATTTACATAATTTGCGCGGCATACTACTGTTATTACGGTTCGGGCAATCGTCAACCCTGGGACGCAGAGCCCAATAAAGACACCAAAGGTGATACTTGATCTTAAATTTGAATGCACTGTCACTTTAATTGGTTTCACAATCTGCAGTCCATTTTTTGACCTTCCAGGAAATGTTTTTGTGCAACAAAAGTTCTCCGTAACAAACAACCTAGACACTGCATACAATTAATTTGAAAACAATAAAAACTTGCACTAGCCACGCAATTGCTATAGAAATACGATAACAAAATGATGACTAAAATTACGCTTAAACTAATTCAAATCAATTTCAGTTTCAGATACAAAATGAGTCTGCCCAGGTCGGGCACATACTACACACGACAAGAAACAAAATACAGTAAAGGGACGAGGCGTACCTCAGATTACTAAATTAACAATTAATTTATATTTGACAATATATGAACCCAGTATTCTTTTGTATCTCGTCAATTCAATACACGCTGTTCGTAGGTTGTTGGTCATCTATGTTTCTTGTCGCCTAATCTGTGATGTGATGCTTCAAAGCATATTTGATGCATTTGTACATTAAACATGCATGTAAGTAGAAAATGTGTACTGTTATCGGATGACGAGCTGATAACAAAGTGATAATTTCGAAATCAAAGTCGAAAAAAACAAGCCCTACCAAAAGATTGAATCTTAGGATACGGTCCATGTAAAAAACAACCGTCTGTAAATGTATACATTGTAAATATGTCAGTAAACAATGTTGTTCATAATGTGAGTAGCTTTCATTATATTTACACTGCTCCTACGATGAATAAATCTGCTTGAATAAATAAGTCGGAAGAGACCTCTTCGGAAGCAATCAGTGGATATCGTTTCGAGTGCTATTGAACACATCAATTATCAATGTTTGTTACATTAATTATTGAACCGATCAAAAGCATTTTATCAGTTTGTTATACGTGACTAGAAAAACCAAACTAGTCCCTCATCGTTTTTTGATACTGTACCGCTTATCCTACGCTTAACTCCCTAAAGTGTATAATGTTTGTGGGTATAGGTTGCAAATCGTAATGTAGTTAATAAATACGTCACTAGTTTAGTACAATGCTAATTGATTGGTAAATGCACGCGTGCAAACAGACTCGCCGAAAATATTGCTTGTGTATTCGTTAATTAATTTCGACTCAGTGTGATGATGCAATTTGTGCGACTATCGAATATCGGAGTTGTACAAAAACGAGTTTGGAAGCAAGGCTTGATCAGTCAGCTGGAAAATGAAAAATCCAACACCTCGGCGGTAATAATAATTTAGCGAATTAATGCATTAATCAACGTCGTCTCGCTAGATATTTGAAACGTACTCGTAACATTTAAAGTCTTCTCTTATACAATTAACGATTCATAATAACCTTAGCATAGCAAAGTGAAGTATGTATTTTCGTAACGATGCGCCAATAAATTTTAGCGTGCATAGGTAGCTACGTTCGCCTGCATTGCGCATGGCTAGTTTATGAGATAATTACGCGATTAGATACGTTCTCAGCTAGCTTACTCAGGCTAGCGTTTAGGTGCAGTTGAATTTTAATCTAGTTCATTGATTGAAACTGATTGGTGTTTCTCGCCCGACCAATCTACCAATCCTAACTAGATTTGTAATGAATATAAAAATAGGGAGCAACTTTCGACCATTTCCTCCTCTCTTGACACGCACTGTCGTCAAACGTACGAAAATAAAAAGGAACTTAAGCGTATTAATAAATAAATGATGTTCTTTGGTTTGGTAAAATTTGTTCGAGGTATGGCTACGATTCGAGTAAGCAATTCCGGCTCGCGTCTTGAGTATCATTCGTTAAATCACTTCCGAGTATCTATCGGGCGCTGTGCTGAATGGACGAAAAATGTTGGCAAGTAGTGCAGCGTTCACCGCCTACACGGTGGTGCCGTACGTATTGAAAACGACGCGCGTGCTATCGCTGTCTAGAGTGACGTCTTCAGGACTGGCGAGGTCCACGCGCACGCTGCCCGAATTGTTGCGTTTACGCTGGCCCCAGTTGCTCAGCGTCCATTGGTAGACGCCGTCGGCGGAGGCGCAGTCATTGGTGTTCACAATGGCCGTGTTGGGTGTATCCACTGTCTCGGAGCTGGAGCTGGTCGTCTCCACGTCGCCATCCCGATATCTGCTGCTGAATGCAGCGCTATCGTCTGGAGACGGATGACTCTCCTCAATGCTGCGCAGAATGCTCTGGCAGATCTCAGTCTCCAGAGGAATCGGATTGTCCGTGTCGCGGTTGTAGATCGTGACGGCGATATGCGTTGGATGAGGCACCGGCAGCGGGATTAGCAGTTTGTCAGGCGAGTACGGCTTGGTAGTTTTCTTCCACGGCATTCTCAGACTGGTGGTTCTTGTGCTTCGCAACGAGTTTAATGCAGAGGAAGACTCCCTAACAGCAAACAAACAATTAGAATACTAACTAATGTTTCTAATTTTAAACCTACATTCGTTTTTCGGCTTTCTTGCCAGTTGCTGTGAGCTTGCTTCGCGGGTTAAATGCAGACACCTCTAAATAAGGTGAATGCACTTGAATGTTCCCCCTGGGCATGTAAACATTCCCGAGAAGGTCCGGCCCAGCTGCACCTAGCTGCGCGCTATGGACCATCTCGGTGTAACGGCTAATATCCGCATTGGGGTGCGGGTCCAACCGGAACGAAGTATCGGTATGATCCAATGGTGTGAGGATATCTAAACTGAATAGCTCCGTGTAGAGAAGACTTGCCAAGCCGGCCCAATCACCCACTGAGAGAGCATGGTCTTCCCAAAACTGCTCCTCACTACAGCAGAGTTTTGGAAGGATGTGACTGGGATAAAATCTCTCCAACATCAGAGCTCCCTGCTGGATGGCAATCTGAACAGAATCAGAAAAATCACTAAACAAACACTCAATAATTAAACATTTAACCTTTATACCTTTAATTCATTGGTAGATAATTTGATCTTGGCTTTGATGCTTGCATTCAACCCCGTTTGAAGGTCTCGTCGACGTCGTTCGAGTTTCTCGTGCAGCATTGCGATCAAATCGTGACCCTCTTTCTCCAGTGTTTTGTACGGACCATTTTTCGCAAGTTGGATAGAGAAACTACCAAAACAAGCCTCTACGAAATGTGAGAAATCTTTCTGTGGTTGCACGATGCGGCTCTCAACCACTGCCTGGTAGGCGGCTAGTTCATCCAGCTCCATTTTCGCTTCAAAAGCAGCCAGAGCTTGCTCCGGCGTAATTTGGAAGTAATAGTCGGAAGCCAGACCGGGACCAGCAATGCGTTTCACCACGAAACTGTCGCTCGCGGGTATTCTGCCGCGCTTTTTGATTAACCCATGAAAAATTGCGGCGTCCCAGAGTAGTCTAAACCAATATCTAGTTACTCCTCCGGCTAGGATGATCAGTGAAACCAACGGACACACAATAACAGCGACACAAATCGCCAATATCGGTTGAATACAGCCCTGGATTAAAATATTCCATATAAGCGCTTCCATCAGGACAAAAATGCGATTTCTTTGTGGCTCCGGACTGTCCAAATCGTAGATCAGACCGTTCGTAAGCTGTACGCCCAGAGTTAACACCGGCATCCATAGAATCGCGGTCGCAGCGATGAAGAAACAACCGAGAATCACGATGAGTGACAGCAGTGGGAAAACAAACACCAGCCCAATGGTACCAAACAGTCCCTTGATGAAATAATTCCACACACGGTTTGTGTGCCGTGTGAGACCCTTCCCGATGAATCCCGTGTCCGGTTTAGTTTCGAAATGGGTGCGCGATTTTGAAATGTGCCGCCAGAGGCTGATCAAGCGCGAGCAGAGCGTTGAAGTGAGACTGCTCTTTCGCGGGAAGAGCGTGCCGTTCACCTGAGATAACTCCAAGTCTGGCATGAATGGTTCCAACAAGAAGAGTGCACGCAACCCGACTGGACTACACCAAGGGATCAGAATACCAAAGAAAAACATGGCGTTCCACGTCCAGCACCAGGTGCGATGGAAGTAGTTAAATGCGCGCCACATTGGCCAGCGTGTAGTGGTCGTGCGAACCACCTCCTTCTCAACCAGAAACACTGGTTGACTAGGATCAGAGCGTGGTGTGGTGATACTTGTCGCCTGACGCGATAAAACTGTCGGGACTACCTCGCTCTGACCCTGAAAATTTCGACGGATGATCCAGTTGATTGGCAACCAAATCTGTGTGGGCCAAAGGAAGTTCCTCGTCGGTGTTTTTACTTTGCGTAGTTCCCGAAGTAAAGCAGGCTCGCGTTCTTTCATGAAAGCAAGATCCCTGTTAAGAAAGTATATAGTCTGTGCGAGTTTTTGTTGTTGGCAGAGTGCGAGAGCTTCCTCATGCGCGCTCCACTGATGCTCAAGACTAAACTTCAACTCAGCGGCGCCAAGACGCGACCTCAACCATGGACTAATACGACTTAATACCGGATGGTCGGTACACAAGCGACTTTTAACCGCTTCCTGGCTTTTGTGCAAGCGGCGCTGAACGTTTTCAACAGCGCGATGCATCAAAACCACGCTCTGTGCTTGTTCCACAAGCAACGAGGCAATTCCATCGCCCAGTGCGTTGATTTCAGCGTTGGTGAGTATCGAGTTGTAAACACGCTGAAGATACTCTTTCATTACAGCTTCATTGACTTCACGTTCGATGTCCTCGTCGGGTAATTTTTGTGCGCGCAGTTCGGCAATGAGACGTTCGCGGAAGTGTAGAAACCAACCGCGAGTCTCCCGCTCTAAGATTCCAATAAGCGTTGGGAGTGTTTGACGCATCAAGTTGCGATCCCACAGCCGTAGATCCAGCTCACCGCCTGCAGGTGTTAGGAAACGATAGGGAAGTGACGCTGGTGACTGAGAACATTCTCGTGCTACTTCAAACTTTTCTGTGGCAGCGCGTCGTAGTTGTTTACGCACGTACAGACATAACATCTCTAGGGAATCTTCATTTTCAGACTAAAAATTAAGTAGAAATTAAAAATCACGCATTTCTTGAAGTAAAGTGAAATCAAACTTACTCGACAAACTAATTCGGCGACTAAATATTTACTCCGCTCCTCTCTTATCTTAGCGTCTAAATTATGCGCCTGCAAACTTGGTATGCCAATAAGAACATCCAGAATCCTCAATAGACCTTCCAGTAAAGAACGTAAAGCTTCCGAGACCGAAAAAAAGTGCGAAAACATGCGGTTTTTCGCGGTGACAAAGAGAAAACGCAACGCCAGAGCCATATCATTCAACAGTGATTCCTTGCTTCGTTCGGTGCCTTTCTGAAGAAGCTGCGATAGTTTCCAGCGATGCTGCTGACCCGGAAAGTTCAGAGATTCCACTTCAAAATCCCTGTAAACGCACACGCTCGTAATAATCAATCCATAATAAAAGTAAACACAAAAACTGCGCCAAACTAAAGGCACAAACTCAAATCAAAGCACAGACACAAGAACATACCCTTTGCGTCTGATTGAGTCGAGTTGTTGATAGTTGAGCCGCTTTGGCTTGCCGTATTTATCCTTATGCAGGCTTTAGGGTTCAACAAAGTTCAAGATTGGGGAGTGTGTCATAAGTGGAAGTGAAAATGACACTTACCCACGCTCGCGAATGTACTCCAGCTGCTTGCCGGTGAGCTTACGCGTCTCACCCTTGCTGTCCACAGCCACAGCATCCAGCTCGTCGAAGGACGGCGTCACGAATAGATCACGCAGATGGTACTTGCACTTGGAACGGCCCAGTGAGCCGTCAGAAGGGACGTTTGATGTTGGAAACGAATCCATTTGTGCGACTGGACTGGGAAGAACTATTCAGACAAACAAAATTAATCAAATTCAGTTTAAGAAAAAAAAAGTATTATAAAAAGTAAGTATATTAGAGAAAATTAGTATTACTTACTTATAGGAAACGTTTTCCAGTGATACAAGAACTGCTCAGCAACCTGTTTGATGTTCTGCACCAGCTGCTCGACTTCAGGCGGGGCACCGACCAAATTAACCTCGAAGTTAAGCGGCTGGCGTTCGGGTTGCAATGCTTCGGGACCAAGAACAACCCCATCGTTGTTCTTCAATGGATAGAGGCTAGTCGGCCGCAATGGGTGCGTGTCACCGCCTCCAATCATCTGGGAGCGGAACTCCAATCGATTGGACACTGAAACATTTATCAATAAATGAAAAATAAGAGGAAACCTATCATATTATGCACTCACGTTGTGAAGAAGTACTCTCAGTGCGTTCACGATCGTGCACACCACCAGACTTGGACCGATGATGCCCAACATGCTTTCGCTCCCTCCCATGGTGGTGATGATGGTGATAATCGGCGGATTCTATACTCTGCCCGCTGCCTGAGCGATTGTGACTGGAGGAACCGGAGGAGCCGTGTCGACGATGACGGTGTGTGCCTCCGCCGCCGCCGCCGGAACTCGGCCTGCCACTCATTTCACCCGGCTGTGGCAGTTGTCTGCTGTCGACGATGTCTGCCGCCTATTTGTGACGCATCTGTTGAGTAAACTTTCTCATCGTCTAGTTTGCAATCACAAAAAAACACAGGAAGCATGTCTCGAGCACATGTCTAACTTTCTACATAGGACGCGTCGTTTTTAATTGAATTACTCGCGCTTTATTGGCGATTATCGCCGACGCAGGATTCATATTCGCGTGTTTGTTAAACAATGTCCGGTACGCTTGCCAAGAATGTGTTTAAATGCTTTTGCAGCGCAGGCCGCTGAACTGTAGCTGAAATAACAGTGGATATCAGTTCTAAACAAGGTGTCGGGTTACTCGCTGTGGTTTGGATATTCATTACCTGCCATAATATTACAATGACGAATAAACAAGCATGGATATTAAAGATTTAAAGAGTTTAAAGTGCAGTATTGACATCAAAGTGATTGTATTCGTGCATTAATAGACTAATAATTAGAGTAAACTATGCACATTGATGCACAAAGAGTACTTTAACATCCAAATCATCACGAGGGGAACAAATTTACATTTTATGTACTTTGTCGAATCTTAGCTCGAGCGGAGCGGAATTTTATGGATCAACGGCGACCGACACACACCCACCGATATTTAAGCGATTCATAATCGCGAGATTCGCGGTTTCTAACCTGATGCCCAATTAAATTAACACAAATATAGCCTACTTACATTGCGAGGATATATCTCGCTGCTGGTCCTGGAGTAAATTGCTGTCAAAAGGGGGCCTCTTCACTGTGGTCCGTGCAGCGGCGCTCCCCTAGCTGGCGGCAAGTAATCCGAGCGACACATTTTGTACTCGCACGCAAAGGCGAGGTGCCCGTGTCGCGCGTGTATCACAACCAGACTTCGATACACCACACCCCGAACATCCAACGCTGAAGGAACTCCCGGTGCGGCTTTGATCAGTACAGGCTGAAGCAGAACCGCGACTCCTGCTCCATGGGGTGGTCACTTCTACGTACGACCTTGGCGCGAAACATGACACAAGATAGGAGACGCTGCAGTCGATTTCTGCGCCTGCGGTCTGGATGGTCCATACTTTGATCGACTACTTCCGGCTAAGCGACTGATGCCGAACTCGGTGCGATTTTCAAATTTACAGGAACCCTAAGTTGCAGGAAGTTATAATTATGTTCTTAAATTATTTAATATGTAGAAATACACAATAAATGATTGTAAAACGAACAGGATGCAATCAGATTAGCATCTTGTCCATGATACCAATCTACACCGTATGCAATGTCATTGTGTTCTTTAAAATTAGACAAAAATCGTATTGGTTTAGTCTCTTCAAACTCAACAATCGACACTCCCTCAGCCATGCACGCTGTAATCAAACGATTGTGATTTACCGGGTGCCATTTAACTCGCCACACCGGTCCAGGCATCTTTGCTGAATCCCGCGGTGCTTTTAACATTCTTGTGTCCCATATATGGACGAATTCATCATAGCTGCCTGTTGCAAAAGTGTATTCACGACCAGCGTTTGAATGCATGCTGGTTACACCACAATTATGACTTGTGTTCTTTTGTTGCTGAGCAGTTTCTGTGTTTATTTGAATAAAAATAGAATCATCAGCACCTAAAACACATCGTATATTAAATTTAAACAGAACATAAGAAATTTCCGTTAAAAACAACCTGAGAATAAACATTTTGTATTCCAATAATCAAAGGCACCAATCCATGCTTCATATGAATGAAGTTTCCATGAATTTATCAGCTTTAAACCATCCTCCTTCAAGTGAAACAAATGCAGCATGCCCAAATTATCACTCACAACCAATTGTGGTTCTTTAGAGTGATACTTTCCTGTTGACCAATCAACAGACAAGAACATCCTGTCCTCTTCAGTGCTATGAGAATATGTATAACTCAACCATAGATGCAGTTTTGATTCCTGCAGTTTGTAAATATTAAGAGTGGCATGTCCTGTGGCAACTGCAAGAACTGGACAGTCATTCAGCAGATTATGGCACCATTTCTGGTCTAATACAGCTGCACATTTGACTGTTTGCAGACAATGAAGCTCCGTTTGGTACTCAAATAAGAGAATTTGTCCATAACGTGCACGTGGTGCATCACCTAAAAATGGAAATTATTGTTCTACTTTGATATTACATATATTGTTTGCGATTACTTACTTGTTCCATTGGATTTGTCTTCTTCCAATTGGTAATTTCCACACACAAAAAGACGTTGAAAAGGTGCAATTGGGCACCACTCGACTGAATCGGCACATAGTACCGTATCGTATGTAGTTACTAGTTGCATGTTTTAAATAAAACTTTTTAAGCATAAAAAATAAAAACTTGACATTACTATCACGACTCTGTATATTGAATCAAACCTCAAAACAGGCACCCTAACCTCCTAAGTTGTTTTTATTGCTGACAGAATGAAATCATCGACTTAAAAATGAACGTTATCCAAGAGAATAAGCTAGAAATCAGCTATAAACTTGAAAAAGAGTTGTCCAACTTGAGTCTGCTCAAGGAGAGAATTTCAAAAAGTGCACAAATTGCAAAGGGCGTTGATGGCATACTTAACACCTTCGAAGATCGTCTGTCACGACTCGAAGATACAATCCTCCCAGTCTACAATGAGACTGAAAACCTGCAAAAGTCGCAACACAGTCAGTATATAAATATCTAGCATTAAAACCTAATAAAACAAAATATTTTCAACAGATATTGATAGAACTATACAACTTCTTGATAGTGTTATAAGTTATTATGAAGTGTCAGCCAAAGTAGATGATGTCATTGAGAAGGGACCTGGAGTAGTCACTGATGCTGGTGTCAGTTTGAATATCTACCTCCAGTGCATGAATAAACTGGCAAGGGCTCAGAAATACTTTGAGAAACATATCCCTCAGAGTGTAGAATTGGAAAATGTGAGCACCTTGTTCAATAAAGGTAGTGACAAGCTAAACTTTGAATTTAAAGCCACCTTGGCCAAACACAGCAAGCCAGTGCTGCCTGGTGTGCTTATGATGATGATCAACTCAGATGAGGAGAATTCCAATGAGTATTTGATGCCTACGCCGAATTTCCCCGATCAATTTCATGCAGATCTGGTTTGTATGGCTGAATGGTTGCTGGATAATGGAAAAGATGAGTTCCTGACTGTGTACGGGATCGGCCGGGGTGCAATCCTCCAGAAGTCGATGACGATGTTAAAGAATCATCAGAGATCAGTCAGTGGTGGGAGTATGCATGGTGGATCGCCCATGTTTGTAAGTTTACTATAGAAAAAAACTATAATAAAAATTTTAATATTAATCAACAATTTTCGCGTTTTTGCAGCGAAATAAGTTCCAAAACCGACATGAAACATCCGTGCGTAGACCATCCACACGCCGCATGCAGAATGTCTTCGAAAAGAAAGCAAATAAAATCTTCCAGAGGGCATCCGCTACTCTGGAGCAGTCCACTGGGTTAACATTAAATGTTCGACGTATGTCTACACATTTAGAGGCGTCTAACGCCAATGATGAGATTGATAACGAGCAGGAAATGGAGAATTATCTTATGTCTGTGGTCGCGTTGCACAAATTAATGCAAATTGAACTTAGTATGATGAAAGACATCATCGCAGTCAACCATCAGCCAAGTGTTTTCGAGTTGATTGTACGCGATGCAATGGATACTATCGTACAAGATGGCGAGAATATTGCAGCGCGTGCGAAACGTTGCATAAATCGGCATGACTTCGCCGCCGTGCTTGTTATCTTCCCGATTCTTAAACAACTCTTGGTGCTCAAGCCGGACTTCGAGAAGACTGTCGAGGAGTGTAATTCCAATGTGAAGGCGAAATTCGAGTCCATTTTGAATACCCTACACACCACTGTAATCAAATTTAGAATTTTATATGCATTTATTATATTGTTGATGTGTGTTTTTCTCAGGGTTTGAAAGCTCTTGAGGATTTTATTGAATCATTGAGGTCCGATTCAGTTTCGCAACTTCCCCGAGACGGCACAGTCCATGAACTTACATCAAATGTGCTCATGTTTCTTGAACAATTATTGGACTACACCGATACTATCTCCCGGGTGTTGTCGCAGGACAGCAGTTATAAGAGTCAAGTCGAGAAGTTGAAGTGCAGTGACAGGAACAAAGCTTTCATTGGCCTATACATAAGTAAAACGGATTAAATCATATATTTTCAGATCATAATCAATCGTTTATTTCTTGTAGAGAAAGTTCTGGTGCAATTAAATCACACCCTGTTGAGCAAAAGCGAACAATACGGCGATCCAGCGTTGAAGGCGATCTTTCGCTTAAATAACAACAATTACGTGCTGAAATCGCTCCAGAGGAGTAAACTAATGGAGTTGTATCTTATTTCTGAGCCGAAATGCGAAGAATATTACTATAATTCCATACAAGATCATAAAAAGACTTATTTACAAAGGTAAATTGATGATTTGTTTAGGTTCTGTTAAGTCTAATACGAAACTTTTCATATTTAGCTGGAGTAAACTGTTGAATTATATTTCAATCGACGATGCACAGCTGTATCAACATGATAAATTGAAGGACAAGGAGCGTACAGCACTAAAAGAGAAGTTTGCGGTAGGTATTTACGGAATACATATAAATTATATGAGTCATTTTGGGAAACGATTTTTTTTTCAGGGTTTTAACAAAGAAGTTGAGGAAATTGGTAAGGTGCAACGTGGATATTCAATTCCCGATGTTCATCTGCGTGAAAGTTTGAAGCGCGACAATAAAGAATACATTATACCAAAGTATAATGCTTTCTTCAACACGTGAGTGTCATTATTGTGAGATTTACACATAAATATTCGCTGCGTTGTTATTTTTTAGTTTTGCGCGAATGCAGTTTACGAAAAACCCGGAAAAGTATATAAAATACAAGCCGGATGAAGTGGTGACACTAATCGACAGGTTCTTCGACGTTGCCGCTTAGAGAGATCAATACCGTACATGATTTCATAGGATATATTTATATTGAGCATTAATTGCAATTGTGGTGAACGCAATATAACTAGTAACACAGATCATATTTGTAATTGTTTAATTTTCATTTTGTGTGTAGTTGGAATAGTAAAACATTGACTTCAACGCGTGATAGATAAATTCATCTCTCCAAGAATCGCATTTCGCTTTGTTTTGATTTGAAATTTGTGAATTATTAAGCTTACCCAGGCGAGTGCGGCGCTTCGGTGCTGAAATACGGCGCTGAGGACTTGACTAGCAGCGTGTGGCACACGTCGCACACTTTCGAAGGGCGCTGATTGGGCCCGGAGCGTACAACATGCGTGAGACATGCACCGCAGAAGATTTGACCGCAGTGGCGGCAGTGCTCGCGGCGTTTATTCGCGAGGAACATGCCACGACACGCCGGGCATTCGTCGACGTCTTCGTCGTGTTGCCATCGTACCTGCGTATCCGCCGCGCGGATTTTCTCTAATTGCACTTGCAGGTTCTGCGACAATCGCACGAAGTCCTTCTGGACTGTCTCGCTGGTATCCAGCTCATGCTGCAATGATGCCACACGAGACCGCAGTTCCTGGTTCTTTGACTCGAAGATTTCCTTCGCTTCTAAGACATTGTTGTACATCTCGTTCTTTTCGTGAAGTTTAGCGAGTGCGTCCTTTTCGCGTGCTTTGTATTTTTCTAAATTTGCTAGGTAACTGGATCGGTCCGATATTAATTGGTCTTTGTAGCTTCTAAGAAACACAACAAAATAATAAAAGTGTGTAGGTAATACAATTTCAATACATACTTCATCTGTTCCATTTCTGTGACCAAACTAGTCTCCAGTTCCTTGGCGGATTGCTGATCACTCGCGATCTGATCCCGTAGGAGAATAATCTCACCACGTAGCTTGTCCTTTTCCTCCTCGGCGGCTTCCTTGCCGATCTTGGCAATGATTAAATCCTGTTGGAGTTTCAGCATGGCTTCCTGTAACTCCTCGACGGAATTCGGCAGATCGATGAATTCATTCTGTAGCACCTGCGAATGCACAGCGTATTTTCCTACCAAATGATCGTTTTCCTTTTGTAGGCGCTCCAACTCCTTCTGCACACTTTCACGATCAGTGGTGAGTTGTGCCAGCCATGCACGCATGCCATCCACGGCCTGATTGCATGTATCCTGCGCTTCTTTCAAGTCCTGTTCGGCACATTCCAGTCTCGTTGTTAATTCAGCGACGAGTTTCTTGTGTTCTTCTTTCTTTTCATTCCACTTCTCTTCCATATCCTTACGGAAGCCAATCTCTTTTAACAGGTCTTCCTTGTGTCGCTCGGCGGATTTCTCGGCTGTGAGTACTTTCGTTTCAAGAACGGCGACGCGTTTCTGTTCGCCAACGAGTTCATCTTCGTAATTCCGGCACATATCGCAGTTGGGTGTCTCTGTGGGCGCCACAACATCGCCCTGCTTTGAACGTTGAAGTTCCTCATCCGTTGCGCGCAGTTTATCCTTGAGGGCTTTGATTTCTTCCTCCAGGGGACCGATGAGTGTCTTGAGAAGTTCGTGATCTTCTTTGTGATCTTCATCCTGAGATGTGAAGAAATCCGCGCCGAGTTTCTTTCCGATCTTTTTCGTTACTGCACTTAAAACTAGACCTGGTGCTAGTGCAGATTCCTGAAAACCAAAAACATATCTATAGGAAGGTAATAACATAATAAAAAATATCTTACTTGTGATGTGTGATGTGGGGAGTGCTGCTTCAAATCATGAATCTGTCCCTCAAGTTGCTGAATCAAATATTGCAGTTTTCTCACTTCACTTCTTGATGTGCTAGACTCCTCCACAGTTTCTAAGAGAATAAAATATTAAAGGTTAAATAGTAAATAGCAGTAAAATCTTACCTTGAATTAATTGTTGTAAACTAGCAATTTCCTCAGCAGCCTTTCTCTTCTCAGTCTCCACATTTGTTTCAAGCTGTAGCCCAGCCACAACAAGCTGTGACTTGAGATCATCCAACTCTGAAGCAACCTTATCCTTCTCAGCTTTGATATTTTTCAATTCCTCTGTAAAATTTCCATGTAATGGAAATGTAACATCAACACAATACAAGTGTGTTCTTACCTTCCTTATGTAGAAAAAGTTCTTTGAGTTTAGCACGTTGTGTGTCGAACTCCACGCGCATATTTTCTTTCTCGCGTGTTAGAGTCGCAATCTGCAGGGCGTCAGGAGCTTCTACAGGGCATTCCTGCTGCACGCTGGCCGTGGCCGTCTCCACGTTATCCATTACACCGAATCAGTGGTTTGTCGGCATTGAACTGTTTCGAAAACGTCGCTAACGCAGCCAAATAGCAGGTGATAGACTTAGTTATGCCGTCAGTTCACCAAATAACAAATCGGTATTTGTTGTCTGCGTGCTGTTTGTTTAGCGCGACGATCCTTTGAACTGTGTTGTATCGAAAATAATTCGTATATCATATTAGATGATTGGTGATGAAGCTGGAGGTGATAAGTAACAAGCATGACGCATGCGTCACCATTCTAGTTCTTTTGATGTTATCTAGTGACAATATTAACAAAAGTTATTTAATTATTTAGATTAAAAATTAGTGTCATTAGGGTAATTTAACACTATTTATATGACTAGTAACGTGTTGTTTGCATGTTTTTACATATATTTTGAATAGTTCTAAAAAAATATTGTTTGAGTTATTGCTGCTGACTGACAGTTCTTGCGTCTAGGGACTTTTTGTTGTCGTTCACAATGGCATATTTACTTTCTGCCTGTCGTCATTCTCGCATAATGGCATTTAGTTCTTAAGTGGTGCGAGTCGTGCTGCGAATCGTGGGGCTCGCGCTGGACGAGATCCCTTCGAACGCGTCGAACATTTCATAGTGACAGCGTACAGTGTTGGGGGATTTCCGCGGAAACGACATCCGCGTCCTCGCCATGCGAGTGGATAACGTGCGCGTTTGATGGGCAATACGACCGGACGACGGACGAGTTGCGTCGCCGAGACGGATTGTGCGGACGGCACGTACAGGGCCATACGACACCAGCAGGTGAGTGCGAACTGTTTCCCGTGACGCGTAACTGCGTTGCAATACCTCACATACAACGAAAACAATCGACGATCGGTCGCCAGATCTACATACCTTTTCACAATCTACGCACAAGCTGTGCAGTAAGGAGTGATTCGTGCGGTTTTCTTAATGCGTCATTCACACGACCAGCACGTGTACACGTCCTGCGTATTAATAAATTAATACTCATTCTGTTGTTGTTGTTGTTGTTGGTGTGCAGATACACTGCGTTGAGTCGCCAATCGCATCATCGATACGCTCCTCGTTCAGTTCGTTGTTCAAGCAGGGTTCGAAAAGGAGGTGAGTCAAGTCGCCTGCTTTGTTCGCTGATTTTCACGTTTTCGACGTCAGTGATTCGTCACGAACAGATCTCATGCATGCATGCGTTTGTTTAAAATTAGAAGCGCACTCGGAATCAATATTCTGCTGACTCCAGATACAACATGTGATAACATATTTAATGTTGCAGTAACAGCAGCACCGCCAGCAGTAACCATAGTTACGAAGTGGAAACGTGGCCGGTGAGCCAAACGGAAACTCTGTTCCTGCCTCTCTTCCCGACGAAGGCCCACCAGAAGTCTCAAGCGTTCACATTCGCTGGTGAGCTCGCCGACGGTGCCTTTGGTAAGGTGTGCAAGGTGGTCGCACATGATCCGAGCGAATCATATGCTATTAAAATCATATCCAAGTCAAAGGTAACTACTTACTGCTCAACCAGTGATTGTTTCGGGTGTTTATTTAAGACCGCTTGCAGGTAATCGAGGAGAATTTAGTCGGATGCATTCTTTTGGAGTCTGAAATCCTCAAAGCTGTGGGGCATCATCCGTTTATCGTGCGTTTCGTTGATAACTGGCAGAGCAGGAGAAAATTGTACATTTGTAAGTCGAAGTTTAAGATTTAAGCATAAAAATCCATGTTTTGCTTCAAATTCTTCGTGTATTCTCATTGGATGCTGTCTTTTCAGTGACGGAGCTGGTTCCGCATGGTGAGCTGTATGGTTTGCTTCAGCAGCACTCGATTTTCCCCCTGCTAGTTGTGCAGTTATACGTGGCGCAGCTGGCGCTTGTTCTCGACTTCTTGCTCAACGCCGGCGTCATCTATCGCGACCTAAAGCCCGAAAACCTTCTGCTCGACGATCAATTGAATCTGAAAGTGATCGATTTTGGCTTCTCCAAGTGGTTGGCGCATGGCGCACGCACCCGCACGGTTTGCGGCACGCCGAAGTACATGGGTATGCACGCTTGATTGATCTTTTTGCGCGTCTCGCGTTTGTTAGGCCGTCCGCGGCGCCCGCACAATGAACGCACGCTCGGAGACGTTCGAGCTGACGATGGAGGGGCGGCAGGTGGACGAGGCGGTCGCCAGCATCTTCCACACGGTGCTCTTTCATCGGTCTCTAGGAAAGTTTTACTACAACGACGACGAGAATTACTCGGTGGGTACGGTGGGCTACACGGACGTCGACTGCGATTTTATTGACTTGACATACGTGTGCTGCACGAGTGGGCGTCTGGATGCGACGCTGCGTCGTGAAATCAGTTGCTTCTCGGAGCTGCTGCGTGGCAACGAAGGCGCTGGCATGGGTCAGATCAGCCTCGAGTTCTTCCAGAAGAAACCCTCACGGTGGTTGTGGCAAGAGGAGCAGATCCCTTGGGAGGTGTGGACAGTGCGTCTCGAGTTAATCGCACTCCAGAACGAGGACGAGCGACAGGTGTGCCGCGAAAAGGTCGGCGAACTACTCACGGATAAGATTCTCTATATCACCGAGGTGATGAACCGCCACGACTACCTGCCGAAGATGCCCAACCGCCCTGAGCTTGAGTTCATCTTTGACACCGGCTACCAGGACGTGCAGCCGTATCTTTTCAAGCTTAACTACAGCACGTCCGGCCCGCCCTCCAGCTCGATGGGTTCTACGATGAAGAAGCTTATCAAGGAGACGCTTGACCTCTGAGCGCCCGTGCACTCATCCCACACCAAAGACACATGCGCGCTCCTTACTTAACTAAAGAGTTCTTAAAACGCTGTAAGTTGTGACCAACAATAAACAAAAAAAAAACGCTGGCTGCAAACTGCGCTCCGATGTGGGTGCCCAGAACTTAAGATTGATGCGCGAGAATAGTGAGTTTTTACAAGTTTAACATAGGTAATGTTTAATTTACGATAGGAGTTTTCCGATTTGCTTGCCTTTGGTTGGATTGCATTTAGCACTTGATGATTCAGCGGATGAAAACAATAAGGTAGTCCTAATAAGTGTCTTTGAAGAAGAGAGGGAAGAAACCTACGTGTATATTTACTGATCTTTTCTTCGTAACCTAACTATTTACTGACTGTAAATAACAAATTAGTGGAAGTTATTTTTATTATCTTAGAGCGCACTCAGCAGACAGCTACACATACACAACATGCGTACATTTGCGGGCGGCGCAGCACATGCCGAGAATCAAAAAACGTGTTTTGTACTGTATGGCATCCAATATGTAATATATGTACAAGTCGAATAGATGGACGGACATCTCAGAATTCGTAGATCTAGTTTTTGTGAACTCGGAGCACTTAATTATCGTAACGTGATACAATGAATATATAATAACGCTAAATCTAAATCTAAACACACAAAGAGATATGCAGAAAAAGTATAAATTGTGTATTATATAAATATAGGTTGAACGTTGTTGTGATTCGAGACGAATTCCGATTATTGTAAATTTACGATTACAATAAACCAACAAATGCATAGCTGATTACATATTTATAATGATAACGACCACGAAGCGCGCATTAAAGGTAAGTTTGTTTTGTTGCAGCGCCAGAGATTTGGTCGGGCCAGCCGTATGGGCATGCGGTGGATTGGTGGTCGATGGGGGTCGTCGCTTGCCGAATGTTGACCGGGCAGGTAAGATGCAAGCCTCTCAAGTTTCTTGACCCCCCTTGTTTGTATCGCGAAAATCCGCCGGGGTAATTATTGTCGTTAAGTTGTTTACGGCGGCATGCAGGAATCTATCATTATGAAAGTCATCGAGGTGTGAATGATGCGGTGCGCTAATATGACGCACAAATAAACAATTTACCTACCTTGTTAAGGTCCTTGCCTTGAGCTCATGCATTACTAACATTACTTTTGTTGATCAAATTTTTGCATTTCATGCATGACTGTTTAATATGAAATTGAGAAAATGGATGTAGAGTCAGAAACCAGTGCGCTTTTTTTTTTTGAAAATATCTTTTTATATAAAATCGTAAAGACATCAATACAATAGTTAATAATTAATCAATTAATTAATACTAGTAGTACAGTAAACTAAAAAAACGAATGCAATTTCGCCCGTTTTCCTTCTTCGTTCCGACTCTGGATGACTTAATTAATATGCTTAATACAAAAATTAAACGCAACTCGAACATTATTGATGACTGCACTCGTAATTAATTAATGTAAAAAAAAGATCCGCCTGATTGCAGTAAAAATGATTGACGGAATTCATAAACATTATAAACCAGTAAAAGTAAAAATCTTACTAAAATACAATTAACTGTTAACTAAAAGAAACAAAGTGACACCTGTGAGATGTCCATGGAAGTCAGAATGTTATTGAGCACTTAGTGGGTGTATATTGCGAGTCTCTTAGCGGGTGGTCATCTCGAAATTTCAACGACCCGTACCGTACCGACGCCATGCGTTTTGCCAGCAACCAATGTGATGAACCGAGTTGAAATTCGCGAGACGAGCGCCGGACGCTAAAAGACGCGAGCAAATATTTACTTGTACCATCGTCATTTTTCTTTTGTTTTCTTTCTCCAAGCATTTATGTATTTATTAGTTGTTTTTTTTTTTGCGTTTTGTTTACGTGGTTTGCGCGTCTCTTGCGGCTGTACTTACTATCGTCTGTTGTACCTTGTTGTGTTAGTCAGTGTGTGATCAAAATGAATGAGAATGAATTTGAGATGCGAACGCAGCCGACTGCCTCAATGAGTCGCCTGATTTAAGTCTTTCGGTACTTCGGGCTCGGCGGCTGTGGCGATGGGGGCGGGGGCGATGACGGACGGCTCCTCCAGCTTAGCAGGTTCGTCGGCGGCGAGCGTGGGCGCTTCGGGGATGACAACCGCGGGTGCGGGCACCGCTTCCACCTTGGTTTCTTGCACGTCTTGTACTTCGGACACCTCCTTGTCCAGCACTACCTGGTTTTGTTCGAGGGTGGGTACCTCGACGGCCTGTGGGACTGGAGCGGGATCGGCTTGGACGACAGTCAATAGGGGCTCCTCGGGTGCCGCGGGGACAATTACCTCGGGCGTGAGTGGAGCGGGCAGTTCCGCGGCGGCGGCGATGGGAACTTGAAGTGGCTCCTCTTGGAGCACGAGTGTTACCTCTGGTTGGCTTTCGACTGTCGTGATTGGCGCGGGTACGACTGGGAGTGGTACTGTTAGCGAGGGCAGTGGTTCGGCGGGCAGATCAGAGGCAGGGAGTGGAAGTGGTACTTCTTCTTTCACTTCGGTGGTGAGAGGAGTTTCGGCGGGCACTTCAGGGGCAGGCAATTCGACAGCGGGTTCCTGTTGAGGGAGTGGTTCCACGGGGATGGCATCTTCTTTCCTCTCTTTCTTTTCTGGCTCGACAAGAGGTGCTTCAGGTACAATTGGATCGGCTGCTGGGATAGCTTCTGGTACGACGACTAGCGGGAGTTCTGGAAGCACGGCGGGAATTTCAGGGACGGCGTCTTGCGCAATTGGCACTTCTGGTACTACCGGCATCACCAATTCATCGGTTACTCCTTTGGGGGCATCTGCTTTAGGTTCTTCTACTGGAGCTACTTCGCTCGCTTCCAATTTGATGTCTTCTTCGGCAATTGGCAAAGTGGGAACAACGACCGGTGCGTCTTGTTCAGTCTGCTTGGTTTCTTCGGGTTTCAGGGGCTCGTCTTCTGCTTTTGCTTCTTTTCTATTCGTAGCGTCAGCATTTACAGTCGGTAGAGCTACGGGTGCCTCGGGAACTTCAACAGGTTCTTCCAGGGGAACCTCTGGACTCTTCTGTGGGGCATCTTCTAACTTGGGTTCCTTCGGTAGAGTGGGAACCACTTCGTCCAGGAGAACAGCAGGCACCTGATCGGGTTTCACCTCAACGATGGGTTTCTCATTGCTTTCATTACTCTCCTCGCTAGAGACAGGCTTCACCTCATCGTGTTCCTTCTCGTCCTTCACCGCTTCGGTCTTGGGCTCCTCCACCTTTTCTTCGGAGGACGCGGATGTTTCGCTCGATTCAGCGGAGTCCTGGTTGATGTGCTCGTGCGATTCGGAGTTTTTCGCCACCGCCGAATAGTCTACCACTACCGTCGAGGTGCTACCTTCGGAGTCTGCCACCGGGTACGCCCAGACCGTGGCTACGACCAAGCCCAATAATAGGAGCACCTTCATTCTATAACAGAGTACAACAGGCGAGAGTTTAGCGAGTGTGCAGGCTTTTGATTGAAACGAATCAGTTGATAATTCGAGAATAATCGGCAGTGGGCCAATGAACTCAATCTGCTCCAGCTGGGACACGTTCGTGTGCGTAAATTAGATAATTGACGCGTACTGTAAACACCTACAATGCCAGAGTGTGAGGCCAGGCAGGCCCCGAGTCTTCGCCGTCGCGTCTCGCGATCACCATTATTATTGTTCGGCCTTGAAGTACGCTTGAGTGGCGCAAGAGAAGTTAGAATTGCAAATCGCATGCGGCGACGTGGTCGTCTGCTGCTGCATCAAACCCGTTTTCCTTTGATTTATCTCGCATGATGCGCCGCGCTCGGTTTTCCCTTTCGCGGGGTTTCGATTTTATTGCGATTTTATCGCGGCCGGCGCAGGCTGGATGCCGCCCTGCACCTATCATCGGCCTAACCGGTTCCGGCGACTTGTCTAGTGACATGCACGCGGCAGAACGGCAATTTTAGGCTTAATCCTCGCCGCCGCGTTTGAATATCAATGAGCGAACAACTTTTTAAATCTGCAATAAAACGCGCGCCGGGTTCCTCGAATCGGATGCATTCCACAGATAGGCCTCTAATGCAGCCCGAAATGAAAAAAAAACGACGAGCCAACGGGCAAGATTTATGTCGAACGGGTTTCGCTGAATTATTATGATCAGCACGCGCGCGCGCGCCGGATAGGAACGGGTCTCATGCAGCAACTCATGCAGAAATAGAAGAAGATGAGCGCATCCCGGCTGGAATGCACTCTCGCATGGTGGAATCTTTCCAACGGTCGCCATGAATTTTATTCGCTCCGAGTGTGCGACGAGGTTTTAGATTTTCTTACGCGTGTTTAAATTAAATTCAAGGACCCCGCGGTAATTGAAGCAAATGAAATGAAATTTTCATTGTTCTTCCGCAATTTGCGGCGCCGCGCCGTGTCTAATGATAATTGCGCTCATCGGTGGAATTATGATTATTATTGGCTTCGCAAAACGCTAACAAAGAGTCGCCTTGGAAACAAACATTTACTACTACGTGCTATTTGCTCTTTTTCTTCATTTTTTCTTGTGCTTTGTTTGACGATAGTGACATTTGACAATATTTCGCATGCATAAGTTTTGGCGAATATTTGGCACTCACCTGATCGCGATGTGTGTGTGTAGTTCGGACGGGGTCGGTGCGGCTCTCGATGGTCCGGGAAACGGCGGCGTAAAAGTCAAAGGGGGAACGCACTGATATGCACACTCAACCACACGAAGCGTGTCTGTGTCGCCGAAGGAGCGATGGTGGTACGTTTTATAGTCGTCGGCGGGCGCCCAGAAACGGTACGCGAAGACGCGACGCCCTCCCCACCGGCCCCGGTTGACGATGGACGGGACGCGGCGCGGCGTTAGAACGGAGCACGCGAGCCGTGGCGAAAAATGCATCGCTCGAAATACTCGCTATCTCGCATTTTTCTGATTACAGAAATTCCCGAGCGGCGCCAAAATACTTTTGGGTGGCCGGTGCGACTTCCGGTACCTTATTTTGTAAATCTGGTTGAAGCAGAAGAAGAACAACAACTAGTGTCTTGTGTTGTGTGCTATCACAAACAATGGCGCTGCTGATGAAATAATACGCTAATTGAACATGCGTGCCAACTATGTAATTATTTAATTTATTTCAATTGAGCCGGGAGTGCGCGCACGCCTCGCGAATCGTAGCGGATAACTTCAATTAGATTCATATTCACATCGGTGAGAAATGCGCTCGCGGCCATTGTCCACATTTGGGCGCAGTTCTAGAAGCCAGGAAAAAACGGATGCAAATGTGTGCTCTCACAGTGCGCACACAATGACAAAGATACTCTCGCTTAATTACAGCGGCCCGGCACGCAAAGGTCCGCGTGCGCCCGTTGGCGTCCGCCGGCCGGCTCTGACCGGCCAGCGGCCGGCGCCGAAGACAAGACGCGGAGACGCTGAGTATCATTGACCGTGCAAGGTCACGGGTAAAACACTATGCAGTCTTAGTCTTAGTTAAGACTAAGGCCCGGTAGGTGCAATCGCACACAACAACAAACACAAAGAGGAGATTGAGTCATTTTCCTTATCGCGTTAAATTGGGGCCTTGGAATTGGAATGGTCTTGGCATAATAATAAATCTAATCGAATCAGTTAGCAGCGCGCTGTTGCGCATCCTGGGACCGGCGGAGGGCCCACTCCGCGTACTCGCATTCTCAATGAATAACAATGACACGGAATGACGAGGAAGTTGTCGGTTAGATGGTTACAAGTGCAATCGAAGTAGGTTATGCACTTGCCGCTTGCAACTTGATACTTGATACGAATTCAAGCATCCATCTTGAAATAATTATGCTGCTGCGTGCTGCTGCTATCGTAATTAATTTAATTCCGAACGTTCCCCGACAATGGGGCCCGTAAAAGACGCGCGTCTCTTCGCCGGCGCGCAAAAACTTGTCGAAGTTGATCTATCCCGAGCTATTTGTATACAGGTTGTCTGCTAATATGGAGTACGGGCGGGTCGCAGGGCCGCCGCAGTTATGGGCCGTCTAGAAATTCCTCTAAGTGTGTTTTTACGCAATTAGATAGTGCTATATATAGAACGCCTTTTGCGCGCCCAGTACTAAAGAAGCGAAAAAGGCGCGCGGCCGGTTGCTGGCGGCTAGCCGCGCGGCCATTAAACGGAAACGGGCCGTTTACGTGCCCATCTGGCTCTCTGGAGAAAACTCGTAATTAAAGTGCGAGTGCGTGCATGTAGACTACGTACTTAACATTAAAACGACTTCGCCAGTCGCGCAGGACGCACATATTCGGTGCCTGCGAACAATAAAAACGGCGGGAGTGCGCAAGACGCGCGCCGAGGAGCCGATTATGGCTATTAGTAGTGCGGCGAGGGACGCGGGATGAGCTAACTACCGCCTATGGATGTACAATTTCCTCCGGCGTACAACTCGTACACGATTTGCAATTTGCGGCTATAAATAGAAAGCCATCATCATCATTACGTGTGGACCGCTGAAGAAGTTGCTACCTACAATCCTTCAATTCTTCAGTTCAATGCACCGCAATCGGGGAACGTTTTCATATCCAATTATTGCGTGTTTCAGTTTGTGCGATTGGAGCCGGACCCCAGCCCGGTGTCGAAGCCCAAGAAAGTTCATCTGCCCGACTCCGTGGAGCTGGACGTGCCGTCCACGGACTTGCTTCTGCGTCTGCTCGAACTGGACCCGGCCAAACGTCTCCGAACTCTGCGCGCTCTTCAACAGATCCGCTTCTATTTCAAATTCAGCTTTGACGATGTGCGTAATAAGCGCATCGTCGGGCTGGAGCTGTGGAAACGCTTTCATCCCAAGTTCACGCTTGAGTAATGTTTGTGCTTTCGAATAAATAAATTGATTAGGTTGTATGCGCACTCATTGCACGCAAGTGCCACATGAAAAATATCGATTTTCCACGCTTTCCTCGCTCCGGCGCTGTAGTGCACGTGCGCGTCATACGGTCGACGCGTGAGTTTCGTTTTCCGTTGACCGTTTTTCACCTTCTTGAGTTCCCATTTTCGGTTTCGCGGCCGGCATCATCAAGATGCCCGGCTCCAGGAAGATGATCCTGGGGCACGTCATGTCCGGCATCTGTTCCAAAATGAACCGCACCAAGCAGCTGCCCGCGGATGTGATGGAGACGCCGTTGAACCGATGCCTGAACACGTTCGATATCACCCTGCTTGGTGTGGGGCACATGGTGGGCGCCGGGATCTACGTGTTGACCGGGACCGTGGCCAAGGAGATAGCTGGGCCTGGGATTATTATTTCATTTCTGCTGGCTGGCCTCGCATCGTTGTTGTCGGCGCTGTGTTATGCAGAATTTGGCACCAGATTGCCGAAAGCGGGTTCTGCGTATGTTTACACCTACATCAGCGTCGGAGAGTTCTGGGCCTTCGTCATAGGCTGGAATATTTTGCTCGAGCATATGATTGGTAAGTCTGCGATTAACTTCTATGTTTGTCATACATGTGAGGGTTGTCTCTTTGCAGGAGCAGCGTCGGTGGCGCGGGCCTGGAGTGGCTATGTGGACTTCTTATTTGGTGGAGCTATCTCTAACACGACGCTTGCTATCACCGGTGAAATGCACGAGCAGCTGCTTGGTAAATACCCCGATGTGCTGGCGTTTGTGGTGTGTATTGTGTACGCATCTCTGCTGGGCATCGGAGTGAAGGGTTCCGCGATTGTGAACAGTTTTCTGACGGTAATCAACTTGAGCGTAATGGGGCTGATAATCGTTGTTGGGTTGTATTACGCCAATGAGGAAAACTGGACCAGCCAGAAGGGCGGGTTCCTTCCATATGGTTTCAGTGGCGTGTTGGCTGGAGCTGCGACGTGTTTCTATGCGTTCGTGGGTTTCGACAGTATCGCCACTTCGGGGGAAGAAGCGAAGAATCCTAGTTTTTCCATTCCAATGGCTACGGTGCTGTCCATGGGCATTGTCACGCTGGGTTATATTCTGATCTGTACGGCACTCACTTTGCTCGTGCCCTTCAACCAGATCAACCCCAACGCCGCGCTGCCAGAGGCGTTTGCTGGTATTGGCATGCATTGGGTGAAATACGTTGTAAGTATCGGAGCACTCTGCGGTATGACTACTACCCTGTTTGGATCGCTGTTCTCGCTACCGCGGTGCATGTATGCAATGGCAAGCGATGGACTGCTGTTTGGATTCCTCGGTGACGTAAACAGCAAAACACAGGTTCCTTTGACTAATTTGATCATCTCGGGTTTCTGCTCCGCGTTGATTGCGCTTCTCTTTGACTTGGAAAAACTTGTCGAGTTCATGTCTATCGGTACCCTACTGGCGTACACCATTGTGAGCGCTAGTGTCATTATTCTCCGTTACAGACCCGCGTTATCCCCTAGCAGGAGCATCCTCACATTAGGCAGTGAGATGTCTATGAGCACTAGTGAACCCACCACGCCATCGGAAGTTGTCAATATGGCGGGTACCCTTCGTCTGAAATACGGTTGGTTGAGTCCACTCCTAAGTGGTTCAGAACCTGGCAGTGCGGTGACTGTTGCTGTAATGCTCTACACCGTTTTTTCCGCTGCCTTATGCGTGCTTCTGCAGGTCAGCTCTAAGGATTTAAAGAGTGGCATCTGGTGGACGATCCTGCTTGCCGGTTTCTTCATCCTTGTGATGGGCGGCTGCATGCTGGTCATAGTAGCACATCACCAGAATCAGGAGGGTTTGCGTTTCAAAGTGCCAATGGTACCGTTCATACCGGCGCTGAGCATTGTCTGCAACATTGAATTCATGATCCATCTGAACGTGCTCACATGGCTGCGCTTTTTCGTCTGGATGATCCTCGGCATGCTGGTGTACTTCCTTTACGGCATTCACAACAGCAAAGAGGGCGAGACCATGTCCACCTATTCCATGCTGATGACTTCCTCAGAGGCCGTCAAGGAGAAATGGGGCAGCACGACACGTACCAACATTAAGGGCATGTTGACGCGACGGAAAAATTCCACGCCCAGCGAGAGGAACGCTATCATGGACGACGACAATGACGACGAATTGCCGTGAATTTGATTCAACTCTGTGCAGAAAATCAGTGACAATAGAATGGCCGTAAGTATATATAATACATACGTAGAAGTCGATTGTATTACGACTCATCACCCCGGTGCTTCTAGACGCGGCAAGACGACGACATGTACGCACATTTAAGTAAAATGTGCACATCTACACGTTAATTTGCTAGGTTTTGCTGCTTTCGTGAAGAGATTTATTCGCAACTTGTTACCGACAAGTTCTTAGAACACACGCACTACAATGGGAAATCACAAGCTAGAGAATTTGCTGATTTTCTCCAGAAAGAGTGTCCTGAACAACAAATTGCTGCAAAGATGAAAGACAGTATTATGATAAATAGAAATATATTCAGAGACGGCAAAGGAGGAGTAGTTTTGTACCTGAAATGGCCGCGCACGCATCCATGGAGTTACGATTTTGCACAAAGTAAACAAAGAAAAGGAAAAGGCGAACAACAGCAGTGGGTAACTATGTAAAGAAAAGTATAGCGTAGTATAGAATGTTATGTTATATATTAAATTATATGTGGATTATTCTATGGAAACTGCTACAGATTACGAATGTTTCATTAATTAAGAGTCTATGTATGTTTAATGTACATAAATTATATGAAATCAAATGCAGGGTGGTGTCAATCCAATTGGTTTTATTAATTTGCCCCGGTTTGGTGCACACATTGCTCATAAAAATAACTCTTCAGTGATTAGAACAGAACAGAAACCTGCACACGTAACATTAAAGCTTCTCGCAGAGAACAAGTGACTTAAAATATAATACAGCTAGAATTTGAACCAATACCACGAAACAAAGGTTACTTACTAGTCAACAATTTAACTATTCAATTCAACTATAATACAAAACTAGTTCCGCCCGATGTCGTCGATGAATAAGTTAAATCAGAGAGTTCTGGGCGCTATGGAATGATCACTTGAGGTTTTTGAATGTTCCCTAGTTAAATATCACACTCGAATGACACAGGCCCTTCTGTAGCCGGCATTACTGCTTGTTGCGCTTGTTGGTGAGCTTCCACGCGGCATCGGGTAGCATCTGTACATAATTGATATGTTTGCGCGCCCATGACAGCCATAGGGTACCTATAATGGCGCATACAACCGTCTCCACGTAGTATCCGTCCAGGTATGTTGAGCAGTAGCCTTCGTTCTTTGTGCAGAGCTGTTTAAAAACATCAATGATAAATTCTGTAATAACTTCCCAACCTAAAACCAGAATTACCTCTTCTTCTAAATGGTCCCTACACGTGTTGTCGGTAATAGTCGAGTTGCCTCCAATGCACTCCTTGAATGTTAGATTGTCGACGAACCAAAGTGCCAAAGTGGCTGGCCAGTTGCCCCCAAGGTTCGTCACAGTATTCAGTAGTGTCATGTATGTGCCGCCAACCAGGGGGTCGCTGATTTTTGCGAAGAACGCCATGCAGGTGACGAACATGCAATAAACGCACACCTGGTGCAGCGAGTAGCAAATTAGCACGAGAGCGTAATAATAAATAGGTATGCCGGCGTGTGCGTCTGTTACGAGGAACGGCGTTACCCAAACAAGGAACGCCGCCACAAAGCCAAACATCAATCGGTACGGGATGACTTTAACGTAGATATTTAATGGTTTTGAACCTGTAAGCAGAATAGTACAACAAATATCAACAGTTTTACGAAACGTTTTCAATGTAGTAGACAGTAGTAATATATAACAAGTTAAAATTTATAATGATCAGGAATCCAAGTGAGTTTGCTTTGTTTGCGGGAAGTTTTCGCGGTGGTAATGCGTTCCTTCTGTTTCTCACGGTGTCCGGGGACCAGTCGCCAGTTGAATTCCGCCCATGCGAATTTGCAATGTTTGCCTGAAGTATTCTGGTTGAGATATATGAAAGGAATGTTCGGACACACTTTGTAGACGATCCGAGGAGGAAAATTAGGCCCGGAGAGGCGAAAGATGATCTGATAGCCCATACGCGTGTCAAACGCGGCGGCATCATCGCGCTGCAGGTGTTTCAGCAGACGTAGCGGGTGTTCACGTCGCAATGATTGCAGTTTATCTCTGCAGCGGGCATACAACCTCTTTTGGGCCCGAGCACGAAGGAGACGTCTAATGATGCAAGTTGCAACGGTGATCTTCATGGGATCAGCAGTAATGACCGCGGATTCCGAGGTAGGCGAGTCATCTTTTTCAGGGAAGTAGCTTTGTTCCAGTGTATCGGCGCAAAAGGATAAAGGACTAATCGGAAATGTTAATTGTCGTTGGATTTGCCAATTCGTCCAATAGGAATAATCCGGTCTGTTAGACACAGGTGATGTTTGTACCCCCCTGTCCACATTCCCGCTGAATGGCTTCGTGTCGCTCAAGTAAAACGCGTGATTCGCCCTCAAGATCTTGAAGGGTTCATTAAGCATCGCCGCGTTAATATCGAGCAGGGATTCTAACGATGCCATATTCATTTGTATTCGCACAGAGAATAATTTGATGATTGCAGATTTTGATTGCAGTGACAATGTGTAAACAGGTTGTCAAGGTAATTTCAATTAAAAAATAACTCACCTGTGGTGTACTTGGCAATAATCAGCGGCAAAGCAATTTGCAGGGGTATAAGTGGCACGGCCATTAAACCTAAGCGCTCTTTCGGAATACCGGCTTCTACTAGTTTCAAGGACATCACACTGTCAGTGGCTGAGAATCCGATCTTAGCTGTGAGCAAAATGAGGACGAGGACTTGCACCGGGCGCAATTTTAAGATCTGCCAGAGGAAACTGTACGCTGTTTGTAGGTCTCGTTCGGCTTCCTCCGATCCGGATGTTGTGGAACCTGACACTTCTTCTTTTTTAAACACAGCGACAATTGTTGTTGTCACCAGGAACACCCAGCCCCAAAAGAACAGAAAACCAGCCAGTGTGACTAGACCTAAAATATACATTTAGTTAATTGGCCCAAAAGCACGAGTGTTATTTGAATACCGTCGGTGTGAGGCACATCTCGCAGATAACTATTGCAAAAATCAGGACTTTCCAGGGCCATGAAAAGAACATAGCTAAGGAAGAATCCGGCGGTTTGACCAACGCTGTTGCAGGTAGAAGCATGTCCAACGTTTTCTTTGCGCAACATCGTGAGTGCCCAGCCGTCCACGGCAATGTCCTGCGTGGCAGCGAGAAAGTTCAGCGAAAAGAAAAGTATTGTCAGGATGCCTATGTTCGGCTCCTGTCCGGAATCTCCCAGCCAAGTGTTGACATGAACACTTAATAGTAACATGAATGCTCCAAGCATGTATTGTGAAGGTACCATCCACGTTTTTCGGCGACCTATCCGCGTCGAATACATCGAGTCCACAATTGGCGCCCAAAGCAACTTCAACGAGAACGGCCAATTTACAAAACTGAATTCTGCCTGGAATCACATTTAAATTATTAACTATATTGTAAGATTAAAGTTTATTGTAGAAATCTTCACCTGCTGCTTGTAGCTGACTCCTCTATTTTGTAAAATCATTGGTATTGCAGCAGAGAGACCCAGTGGAATACCCTGCAGGGTGTATAAGAAGAAAAGTAGTGCAATATTGGTGCGGTCACCCTTGAGGCTGCCCTTTTGTGCAACCCCATAGTTGCTGTCACCGTTCTCCACGATGAGCGCAGCTTGGTCCATTTTTTTCTTCCGGCGTTCCATCACGGTAAACGGCTTTAGGTGCGTTCTATAAACAAAATTTGTATGTTATAAGTACACGTCAGTGCTATGCGGTACGCCTGTGTGCGAATCGGCGTTCACACGAAGAGTGAAACGTGTTGATCAACAAACATTAGTGTGCGGGCGTGCGACGCGGAAGGGACGTGGCTACTCACCTTTGTTTCAATATTCACAGCTGCTCAGTCATCTAATCAGCATGGTATAGATATGCGTGAACCACGCGCGTCGCGTTTACCGGTTGACAACTTATCGTTTAAGCAGCAGGATCATATTAGCATTCACTTATTCGCAGCTGTTTGATTGGCAGTGTGCTGTTCCTGCTGTTGATGTTGTCATCAGTATTTGACATGTGCACGTGCACGTGCTGCGCCCTCTCGTTTATAACACAAACTAGGAACAGTTTTAAAACTTGAAAAACATTTATAATATTTATATTCGGAATTTGTAGGCGCTAAGGGACACTTTGTGATAATGAATTCATCTGTTAGGCGCGCTTGTCTTTTTGTGATTATCCAAAACCAACCCGAATTACCAGAAATAACCACAAACAGTGGTGGGAGAAACCTATCATGGCCAGCAGGTTGTATAAGAGTAAAACCCAGATGCTTATTGATATTTAGTGAATATGTTTATTATATTTACAATAATTACGAACGAAAATGCTACAAAAAGCTCATGAATAGCTTCTTCCCGTGAACAGTGCAACAATTGTTTGCCATTTTGTTAGGGAGACGTTCTTTTCACTTCGCTTCAGTTCTTTAAACTTCCTATACTCTTCCCTTCGATGTGGATCCGCTGGACCCCATTCGGTTGAACTGAATGACTTCAGAAGTATTTTCCTCCAGGTCTTCTCTGTTCTATTGGCGATCAATGTTCTTATGATGAAGTAAGCAAGCATTAATAATGCGGCTACCAGAATCATCCAGCCACACACTGCAACGGAAGATTCAAGTGTAATTTCTATAATAGTTTTATAATATTTGTAGAGTTACCTGTAGCTATAGTGGGGTAATCATGTCCGGCATATTGTAACTTGGTCAAAGTAATAAGAAAATATGCAAATATAATGATGAGCAGGACCGGTGTGAGCAAACCCCAGCAGATCCTCCAATAAATTCCTACTTTCCGCTTGAGCATGAACTCAATGTCCATGCAGAAGTTATTCAGGCCATACCACCACATCACAACCACCATTTCAATGATGGCCAAGACAAATATAACAAACGTGCCGCCAAAATGATCCACCATGGTTAAAATGAATTGTCCACCGGGTGTCACGTAGACTAGTCCTAGAAGGAAACCTACGATAGCAGAACCCAGGCTGACTTGCCAGTTTTTCAATGATGGGAAGGCATCTGTGACTACGGTTATCACGCATCCATGGAGAGCCACCAAGCTCCCAATTCCCAGGACAAATAGCATCACGAAGAATAGAATTGCAAAGAGCTAAAATTACAGGTCGTTATATAGTTTTCTATAAATCTGGAGACTGGATTACCCATGGAACTGATTCAAATTTGGCAATGGCCTCCGGGTAAGATATAAATGCCAAACCTGATCCCCCTGAATTAATCACAGCGTGAACATTGGTGTCCATTTCGTGTGCTAGGTTTCCCAAGATTCCGAAAATAGTGGTCCCTGCTAATATTGACGTGAAGGTGTCCAATGTGGTAACAACCAAAGCATCTCTGCAACATTCAGATATTGTAGCTGATGCACATCGTTATTATTTCTTTGTTACCTATTTATGTTGTGTTCAAAACTATTGTAAGACGAGTACATGACAATGGTACCAAAGCCCACGTTCAACGAGAAGAAGCACTGCGTCACAGCAGCGTACCATACGTTGGCGTCGAGTAGTTTGTCCCATTTGGGTTCGATGAAGAAAAGAATACCGTCACTGGCGCCTTCCAGTGTGGCGGCACGTACCAACAATGCAATCATTACCACATACGGAAAGAGGGCTAAGAAGTAGGCCGCCTTCCCGGAACTCTGCACACCTCTACGAGAGACAAAGAATGTGCAAGCCCAAGATGCAAGAAGCAACAATGTCAAACGCCATTCCGGGGCCCCAATCCCATCATCAATACTAGATACTTCTTTGAGGACTTCTTTTACAAAATATAACTCTGATGAACTTCTACTGTTTTCAATAACAGGACCCTTGGAATTAGAAGGTACGCAGGTAATGTTCTGCAATTCTAGATCTGTCTTCCACTCGGATCTGCATTCCGCCCAGGGTAAATCACTGGTGAAAGAGTTAATTAAATAAAAGAGGGTGATTGCCATCAAGGAACAATAGTAGGTGGCGACGCAGATACATCCCAGGAGTTGTCCATAGCCCACTCCTTTCAAGGCGGGCGCCAAGGAAGCAAACATGTGCACGTTACCACGGCTCGTGAACTGCCCCAAGGCCATTTCCATATAGTAAATGGGCCGCCCGATGACCATCAGAACGATGATGTACGGAATCAGGAAGGCACCGCCGCCATTTTCGTACGCGGTGAAGGGGAACCGCCAGATGTTGCCCAGGCCCACGGACATCGCAATGCAGGACATCAGAAACTCGATTCCGTTGCCCCATTGCGCACGCTCGGTCTCGATAATTACTTTCTACAACATATTTATGATTATGATGAGTAGTGAGGTAGGACCACGTCTAGCCTCCATTGTATTCGTAAATTATGTTAAACAAACACGTTACACTTTTCTCTCATTCAATGCGATTGTTGTGCAAATTAATTAAACAATAAACCGTCAATATTTACCATGAATTACAGAATAACACTTGTAACGAGATATTGTCACTCGAGTAAATTGTACCATTTACCAGATAAACATCAAACATCTCTGTGAAAATATTCGTTTTGCTATTGTAGTAAATATTGATATTGATATTGAATTGCATCTGAGACATTCCTAAATTGATTGTTTTTGTGTTTTGATTAAGAATGTGTCAGATTATACATCGACTAGACATGTTATATGATTTAAAGCTATCAGTGTAATCTTTTTATAGTCGGATTAGATAGAGTTCCTCCAAACAAGTTGGATTTTTTTTTATTGCCAGGCAAATTGCTTTTGTTCGGTGGAATTTGCGGAGATGCACGTGAGCCAGACGACTAGTTGCTTATTGTACACTGGCGGCAAAAATGAAACCAACTTTAGTTCGTCTAAACTAATGTTATATAAGCGTCACCGACACCTATGAGATTACTTTAATTAACTTAATAACGCGATGCGGGTGCATGTGTGTTTGTATAATTTGCTTGATTGTATACTTATGTATACTTTTATTAGGAATAAATTTAGCCTGGTCTTTAAGGCAGTGGCGTAACATCCAAATAATTTGGTATTATTACGCTTCTGCTTTTGTCTGTAACATTTTTTGTGTCGATTGCTCAAAATTTTATGATATAAATTTTTTTATAAAGAGGATTAAGATATTTCCGTTTCTTCCAGTAACGTAGCTACTACTTAAAGGATAAACTTACCACATCCTCGTTATTATTTCGCGATGGTTCACTGGATGGACGGCTATGCTCCGAATTGTTGTCGAATTGAAACGCAGGATTCTCTAACCCCGCACCGTTTACTTCCTGTAACCGCCCAAATTATTCATTAGAATTCACTTCAAGGACAATACTTAGATTTGCGTGCGTTAATTAATTTAATTGTATAAAAAAATTGATAACTAAACAGCCAAGACCTTAAAATTCATTCGAATAGAAACTTAAACCTTGGCTCAAATTTTGGATTTGTTTTTAGCAGAAGGTGAAGTAAATACAACCGCAAATCAGCGGCATAATTTAAAATCGTAAATTTTAACGATGTTAGATAAAATTTGAGTAAATTATCATGCAAAACATTACCGGCTTCATTTTTCGAGAATTGTAGTCAAGTCCAGTGGTGTTTTGAAAAATGCACTAGAATAATCGCCACCGGTGTTCACAAAATTCGATTTGGGCCTGTTTGTTGCACTTCTTTTTTATTATGTCGATTTATTTGAAACAACATTCAGCATTTTCACGTGGCTGTTTAAATTTTTATTGCGAACAAACATTTATTCGCTCAATGCACCCAGATGAAAACAAATGTATAATTGACTCGCGAATTTGCATCGAACTGCCGACACGCGATTCTGGCAGGCAATACGCGGTTATTACCTTTTTATAACACTATAAGGTGAAGTCGTGTGTTATATTTCTCTCCCACTCGTTCGGGCCATTGTTTCATCGCGCTGGCGATGACGGCGTGCTGCGGCGGAACATTTTTTTGCAATTTTCCGCATGTCAATCTGCTACGGTCTTGATTAATCGAGAAATATCCGAATATATACTAGTTTGATGGCTTAATGATAACGCATAGTTTTTCTACGTCTCGTTCAGGAAGAAAGTCATAAATGTTTATCGAATATTGGTGAGATTATCACGAATTAGTCGTTCATTATCTTGTTTTCAAGTCGTCGTTTAACTTTTTTTTTAAATACAGAATAAACGTTTTTTTTTTTGTTGGACAAATTGAACATATGTAGATGACCTCGGTTCAGCATGCATATTGCTAAATATTTGCATACAAATAAATATTTTCGGACAAGTTCTGCATTGTCCGTTATAATTGACGCTCATTATCTAAATTCATAATAATTTATTTATTTGAACATTACAATTGGTCGCTGAACAGCGGAACAATATAGCAAAATTTCGGCAGATAATTGTCAAAAAGGACCATCTAGTAGTATTCCTTAGCGATGAGGATGTAGAAGAGGCGTTTTGCAGTCGACACCTGCACTTTAGCACGGCGCTCCTGCAGCGCGCGCTTGTGCTCAACCCATTCTTTGAACTTTTCGGGATTCCGGGGGCCCCATTTCGCGTGCGATAATGATTTCTTCACGGCTTTGTAACAACCCAACCGGCGTTTGTGAAGTAGGTAGTACCCCCACCAGAAAACGATTTGCAGCATTGCAAAACCCAGAATGCCCCATCCGAATCCTGTAAACATGCTTTATGTTACTCTCAACTGAGGATATTCAAAAATATTGACGTGCCTAGGACAAGATCCGGGTAATGTTTTCCTTCGTGTTTCAGGCGTTCGATGGTGGCCATGAAATAGATAAAAATCGCTATGAGGACCACAGGAGAGATGAAGCCCCATGTTAACCGCCAGTACCAGCCGACACGCCGCTTTAGCATGAATTCAATGTCGTCGCAAAAGTTTTCCAGGCCGTACCACCAAAATAACGCGAGGATTTCAAACGTAGCTAGGATAAAGAACATAAAACTTCCGCTAAAGTAGTCAATAAGGGTCACCATAAATTGCCCACCCTGTTAAATTGTTAAGTTAGTTTTGGGACAAATGTTGGTTATTGCAACTTACAGGAGTGCAATATATCAAACCTATCAAGAAACCAGACACAGCGCATCCAAGAGAGACGTACCATTTCTTCCAGTGCGGGAAATGGTCCATAATGACAGTGAACGCGCTGCCCTGTAATGCAATCAGACTGCCTACTCCAAGGATGAAAAGCATTGCAAAGAACAACAATGCAAATAGCTGTAAAAAATTTGTTTCAAACAAAAATAGCCCTACAGCCATTACTTCCGGTATTTACCCATGGAACTGAGTCAAATTTCGCGATGGCTTCCGGGTAGGATATGAATGCCAGACCAGTACCACCCGCATTGATCACGGCACTCACTTTGACATTCTGTTTGTACGCCAGATTACCCAGAATCCCAAAAATAGTTGTCCCTGCCAGTACCGATGTGAAGGTATCCATGAACGACACTACTAACGCATCCCTAAACCACACAAGTTAGAAAATATTCAATTCTACAATTCGGGAAGAATAAAATTGAAGGTACCTGTAAAGATTATGGTGAAAATCGTTGTAAGAGGCGTACATTACCAAACTGCCAAAGCCAATGTTTAAAGAAAAGAAGCATTGCGTGACTGCAGAATACCACACCTTGGCCTCGGTCAATTTTGACCATTCCGGTTTGATAAAGTACAGAATTCCTTCACCTGCACCCTCCAATGTCACGGACCGCACCAGCAATGCTATCATAATCACGTAGGGGAAAAGCGCGAGAAAATATGATGCTTTCCCGGAACTCTGGACGCCGTTCATGGACACGGCGAAGGTGGGCACCCATGAAGCTAGTAGGCACAGTGTCAGGCGCCATTCTGGAGCGCCTATACCGTGGGTGATGTCGGTGTACTCCTGCAGCACTTCCTTCCTGCACAAATACACAGATTTAGAAATGCATATACAATGTTTTCTAATGACGCACTTGAAGTACAACTCGCTGGAACTCATCGCCTCTCCCGCCAATTCGGAGATGTTGACAATATCCTTGGATGGAATGCACTGGACGCCATCCTCAATCCATTCATCACGGCAGGTGGCCCAGGGAAGATTACTAGTGAACGAATTCAGGAAATAGAATAAGGTAATCGCCATCAGGGAGCAGTAGTACGTGGCCACGCAGATGGACCCGATGGTCTGGCCATAACCAATACCTGCATAAACATTTTGGAGGACTTTGAATGAAATGTGCCTCGTGATTGAATAGATTACCTTTGAGGCATGGCGCCAACGCCTCAAATGTTTTCACATTCGCGCGACTCGTAAATTGTCCTAAACACATCTCCAGATAGTACACAGGTCGCCCAATTAAGAGCAACATAATGATGTAGGGAATTAAGAATGCGCCGCCGCCGTTTTCGTAGGCTGTGAAGGGAAACCGCCAGATATTACCCAGACCCACGGACATAGCAATACAGGACATCAGGAACTCGATTCCACTGCCCCATTGACCTCGGTCTGGTTGTTCTTGTGTGGCACCGTTTTCCACAACCGCAGCTGCCGAGGTACCATTTGAATGGCCGTTTTCTTTGTTTGTTGCCAGCTCGATGGAGTCGTAGTCAAATGCCGCGTTATGAAACGCGTTCTGCGAATCTTTCTTGGTACCTGCTTCCATCATGACTAGGTTCGTGCGAAGTTTGATCAAAAATACTTCAATGCGTCATTTTATAATCAAATAAAGGGAAACAATAACTTGATAAAACCGGAACGCGTCGAGGAAAAAGAGCAAAATGGTAAATTCCGCGCGCGGTACCACTTTACGAAGTGCAAACGCGCTCAAATACCTTCATCTATATGTATATATAGGCACGCATATATTATCTTCTTATCTATGCAACGTGTGGCAGTCATGCCGCCGCCGACTCATTACCATCGACATTCAATCATTCGGCGTTCGCGCAAGCCGAGCGAGATGCAAACATGCGGTAATCCGCGTAAATTGCTCCAAAACTGCCGTGCGCATCAAGCATCTCGCCTTTCAATACGAATTCCTTGAGGTAACTCGGTCGCGCCGACGTAAACTTCGCCTTGAAAATAGAATTCAGCCCAGTTACCTACACGCACACGCTCGGAATAAAATTTTTCCGTATTTTATCAGGCAATTAGTCAACGCTCAACGTTTTGAGTTAACATCAGTGTGGGCCAACCGTTTTTTTTTACTTATCAATGTTGTCATGCTCTAGGTGGATGGTAAAAAAAGTCGGTTGTAAAAGGATTGTCGGTATTTAGATAAATGCTCACGCTTAGTTAAACTTAATCTTCAATTGTAAAATTATGCCATCTTACTGGCATGCACTCAACACACGCTTTGATGAAATTTCTTGGTAATGTAAGTCGATTATTAGATTAATAAATATAGATTTATAGCCCAATAAACAAAAAGCTATTTCAGGAAGATTGGGAGGATTATGTATTACATTACACATATCATAATTCTATATGATTAAAAAATAAAATAAAAAATAAAACCCAGTTTTTGCTTAGTCTAAAATCACATTGTTTCTAAATTTTGCGGCAGCGGAATCTTATTCGCCGCGGCGAACTTCTTCAGCGCTTCGTACTTGACGCGAATAGCGTTGATCTCCTCCTTGAGGTGCTCGTTATCGTCGGCCATAAGCTCCATGTCGCGCCATTCTTGGCTCTTCTCGTTTTCGAGTTCATCCTTCTGCTCGATGCGTTTGATGCGGCAGGATGCAGCATAGCCACGATTCTTCAGCGTGCGCCGCCGCTGCTTCATTTTAACGATTTCATCGCGCGACAACCCGCGCATCTTCAGCTGTCGGTTGAGATCTCGCACCGAGATTGACACAAGTTCATCGTCGGAGATATCTAGAATCGGACTCGGTGATAGCGGAGCCTGCGAACATTTTCGAATTTTGAACTTCAACTTGCGAAGGTATGCAACCTAATATACACATTTAATAAACCGCGGTAAATACCCAAGCGAGTAGGTTGCATTCGTTTACTACGTTTAAACTAACAAACAATTAAATATCGTAGAATTTTTATTTGTTTTTACATCGTGCATTAAATTTATCAATCTCCATATCTTTGATACATTCATAAACATTTTATTAATAATTGTTATAGTATTAGATCATGCATTAATTGTTACTAGGTGCAAAAATGCATGAAACTTTAACCATTTCCTCGATATCATCAAAACGACAAAAAACTTACCGAGTTTTTACGTTCTCGACGTGCTTCGTTCGGCATTCTGGTAAGTTAAAAGCGTTACCTAAAACCATAATAAATGCGTCAATATTCCTGGACAAAATGGACTCAAATAACCTTTTAAATCAAGCAAGATAACCAGAACAACGCGTTCCAAAATCACAAAATGCGTCGTGGGGCCGTGGCGTCGTTCGTTGCGTCGAATAATACTCCATAAGCGTGCTGGAGCTAGGCGTGTACTTGAGAAATATGCAAGTCATCTTTGCCTTCGCTTCGATTTCTACGAACAGTATCAACCATCGGCCCCAAACATTCATTAGGTCACCTTCACTCGTTTGTAGCGAGTCGCGTATAGATGGCGTTTGGCGAAATGAATTTTAACACGATAGGTGGCTCCGTATTTGAATTCAAATTAAATAAAAACTATGTTTTTAAGATTCACAATAATTTATGGTTAAACATTCGAGAGGAAGTATAAATCAGTACATACTCAGTTTGCGATACAATAGTGTGTGTTTTCATTTGAAAATTTGAAGGATATTAATTTTGCTTGTTGGCCTAAAAGTGGGAAAAATACTAAATATGCAAACATTGCATTAACAGAACCACACTGGTAAACATGATTAAATTTGACAGAAAATACGAGAATGGCATGTGGGACGATGTTAGCGTCGTCCAAAGTTGACTAGCGAATAGGCGCCAATGAAAGCGAGGAAGGGCCACACGGGGAAGTTTTTCAACCCGCACGCGGCTTCATTTTCGAGGAAGTTGACCTTCTCTCGGAAGTTTCGAATGTCTTGGCGCATGATGCGGTGCTCGTTGAAGAGTTTCCGCTCGAGGTAGGTCATCTTCGCGCGCAGGATCTCCGTGGTGTCTGCGAATTCGGTGTAGCTTACTTTTGAATCAATCCTTTGATAGCTGTTCTCTTTGAATTCGTTGATGTCGGCACGAATTAGTGACAGGTGTTCTTTGACAAAGACAAGGGTGTCATCAATGCGGCGTAGGGAGTCGGATTTGGAGACAGACACATCCTGGTCAACTGGTGGAGCTGACTTCCTGAAGAAATTCGCCAGCTTGTCTTCCATCTGCAACTCTGCCTGTACGCACTGTTTTATTTCTTCATAGATGCAATCCATGCTCTGTCCGGCCGTGCATGATTTAAAGATCAGTTTACCCACGCGTGAGTTAGGCCCGATTAGGTCCACGATAAGTTTGGAGATCTGCTCCGTTGAGTCTTCGCCTGTTCTGAGGGCTACAGTGTCAGTTCCGCCAGTTGGGGTTGGTCGTTGGGGTACGCAGATTGGGTACACGTCGGATATGCAGGTTTTTACCACACTTGTGCCGGCGTGAACTGGCGTGCTGCTCACCAGCTCAACGCATCGTACTACAGGGGTGCTTCTGCCTGCATCCCCCAACTTGCCCATGGACTGCGTCCTCATAACCTGTGACACATTGGTGTTTTTAGTAGTCGATCTGTATCCGGACTCCATTTGGGTTGAAACCTTGGAGGTGTCGACACGGCGAGGTCTTTTCTTCGCTATTCGTTTCTTATAGAGACGGTCCTCATATAGAATGTCCAACAAGCTGTCTTTGGCCTTGGCATCGGTTACGTAATGATCAGGTTCCGGATAGACATCTCCGTCATGATCAATCTCTAGCTCACTGTCGGAGACATCAAGGTAGTGCTCGTCATAATCATCAAAATTCGAGAAACACGAGGAGCTGCCCGTACGTGTCGGTTGTAAAGCCACAGGTGTACAAACGACATCTCGATGCTGGGGCAAGGGGTCCACCCAACCTTCCTTGTCAAAATTGCGCAGGGCTTCCTCCAGACAGCAGGAATCATTGCTGTTTATTTCCTGCTGACTGCGCTTGCGTGGCAAGGCTGAGGTCAAAGGAGACTTGTTGAAGACTTGTAAGGGGTCGATGATGCAAGGGTTGTTACTAGGACTTGCATGCGAGGCGAAGAAAGTGCTTGCAATGCTGGTGGGGCAGCTGTTTGCACTGTATACAGAAGGTCGTCGCAATTTGGGCAGGCACATTGATTTCAGGGCCTTATCATCTAGCAGTGTGTTGGGGTTTCGGTTGGCCCCCATTGTTGAATCAACCTGTGCTCGCTCTTCGCCAAGCATGGCAAATTTGAGCAAGGTTGACGTCGATAGGGTGCAGTCAGGGATGCCCGAAGGAGAAATGCCAGTAGGTTTGCACTCCATTGTCTTATGTGTGGGGTGCGGGTTTAATGTAAGTAGGGGGGTTGTCTCAAGAGCCCCCAGTGGGGCGTCGGAAGCTTCGGTAATCTAATAATTTGGACATGATTATGAAAAAAATGTCAACTGGCCGAATTATTTAGATAAAATACTATAAAACGATATTTCATCTATAATTTTACGCGCTTGAAGAGAGAAAGTATTGATACTCACGTTGTAGCAGAATACACCCGAAGGTCTTGCCATTAATCGTTATTTTCTTCAAATTTTCATCGAGGTGGACATGTCTACGAAACGGAATCTGTACGATTTTTTCGCGAATGAACAAATTCGCCAGCGCTGGCTAGATTTTCAAGTCGGCGCGCTACTGTCACGCCACTCGTCGCCATATCCTGGCGGCTGTTGTGGCGGGAAACCTAAAATGTTCAAAATTGGGGATTTTTATTAGTTTGTTCGTTTATTAGATTTGTACAGGTCGTTTACATAAAAGTTTTACACTTTTTGGTTCCAAAAAATCATATACTACATCAATCGTAATATTATTTCAATCTTCGGTATTTATTGTTATTATTAATATATGAATCAATAAATATATATGTATTTCTTTAGATATGACATATTTATTTATCTCATAACATAATATACGTAAAGTAATTATACTTCTATCATCTGTGCGAAGTGTTTTTGTCCCTTGTTCAGGATTTCGTCGATCGCTTCGTGTTCATTTTTAGTTGACTCAATAGATTAAAGGGGAATAATGCGAGTAATACTTGAAAATTATTGTCAGTCGTTCTTTTATATGTTGTTTCTTTTTCCTCAACGAAATCATAGCCTAAAGTGCGTCGTAACATCCAACTTTGATAGGAGCAAAATTCCTGCTATGATTTTTTTATATCACAATACGTGCTGGGGCTTAGTTAAGCAAGAAAGTGAAAAATTGTGCTTCATCTTGCTCGGAATTCGTCTGCCCCCGCCCCTCTGATAATTGTTTGAATGTTACACCGCCAGTTTAGTGAATGAAACGCACCAAAAAGGACACAAGGACAAAAACACATCAAGTTTCGTTCTGCTACAGTTCGTTACGTCACCAGTGTGTTAATTTATTGTTTCGTCAAGAGAAGAGTTTCGATTACTTTTACACTAATTATTAATTTTATGATTTTTCATTATATATATATAACGATATTGTGGATTCTTTTGTTTATTCATTTTTGGTCTGACATTTAATTCATGTGTTTCTCGTCTAAGTTCACGGTAAAAATCACTATAAAATTTTCACTAGGCGTACGTACATACTTATTTTTTTATACAGATATTTTGCGAAAGAATTAAACAGTTAGAGTTGTTCTTTTAGGTCTTAATATTTAAAAAATATCCGGGATATTAGATAGATGTCTATTTAGTTTAGTTTGAAATTGTTGCGGAAAGGATTATTCTTAAAAACGCCACTGCTCTAAAGCAACATTCAAAATTTCCGTCTGTCATCATTATTTCCATATAATTTTAGCGTACAGTTTCGAAATTTCAGTTTCTTACCTCTACTTTACTGCTAGTTATATTTTTGTTTATTTTTATTTACTTTACTTGTATATTTAGATAGTTGGTACTAAATTGGTACATGAATATGATGATTTGATTAAGACACACACAGGAAAATGTAATTTTTCTTAAATTTTTATTACATTTTGTATTATTTCCCTCGTTTACTCTACGTTTGATATTGTAACTTCCATCTTTGAATAAACATGCTTTGAAAATTATTTAGCACATGCATGAAAATCAATCTGTCGGTTTGAAATTAAAGAAGATGATTTCCTGAAAAGGAAAATCTAAATTCAAGCACAACACATCTTTAAACAGGAATTTGACCAGGATACGAGAGAGAAACAATGCCGTTTCAAACAAAAGAAGGAAAATCAATTCAATCGTTTTTCTCCAGCGCACTTTCCATCGTTTTCCTTCCGTTAATCCGCCAAGTTTCTCCTTTGGAGTACTTCCAAGTCTATGCTCTGTTCGATTTTTTGCGAGTTTTTTTTTCCTTTTTGAGTAGTAACTTTTCCCTTGCACGCCGTTACTTCTTTAAACGCTTCCATCGCCCGTTTGGCTTCGGCTTTCAGCCGGTATTTGCTAAATTAATTTAAAATGTTTTAGTTATTTGCACCGAATAAACTAAAATTTTACTTTTTTTATGTGTGGTTTTTTTGGAATCCGAACGCTTTTTGCGCTGATTTCATGCTGCAAACGTTCTGCGCCATCGCCATTGTGTGTAAATTTCATTTTTCATAAATTTCTCCTAACGTTCTCGCTTTTTCCACGTAATTACTTTGCCACTTTACGGTTTCTACTTGCACCGTCTGCCTCTTGGATATGCTAATGTTAACATTTGATATGCGCAAGTTTTCGGTACGAAATCAAAGAGAGTTTCTCTAGTACGCGGCCGTCGTCTATATTTTTTTCCTAAATATTCAAGTATGATAAAATCTATAAAACTTCTGTGTCGGGACGATGGCGGCCAAGGAGGCGACTTAAAAGACGTCGGGCTGTGCGGCGCGCAAACCGGGCGGCCGGTAGTCGTTGATTTCATCGACGTTGTCGTCGCTTGTCGCCGGGGCGCATTGGTGTGGTGAGCAGGTGATATGTGCTCCACGTCCGCAAATGCATTCGACACAATTGCCAGTATCGTGCGGCAGTCGGTCACCCACATTATATTGCCGCCCTAGAAAGTGATAGAGGGTTAAGGCAACCAGAACCCATCTGTTGACTCTACCTACCCATCACTGTGCAGATTTTAGGCGTCACTGTGGAAGTCCACTCAGAGGTGCGTTCATCGACACTTTCGGTGGATGTGGCATCAGTTGGGCCGACACCATCCTCGTTCGCCCCCTCCAGAGGGTCATCGCTCCCGCTGTCGGCGACGTTTGGTGTGACGACCACTAGGTCCGTTGCGGGTGGGCCAACCGAGGTGGTGGCGGAAGACGTTGGGAAAAGTGCGGTTGGGCGGCCAGTTGGAGCCGGCGCTACCGCGGAACTTTTCAACTCGGATGCGGACGACGGTGGCGGCGCTGGTTTTGCCCCGTTCTCTGCAGTAAAGTGCACAGTGAGTTGTGCTTGAGCCATAGGGGCGGCAAAAAGATCTGTTTGTACTTACGGCACGGCGTGAATGGTCCACGATCCTTGCAGGGACCCTCCAGTGTTGGCGGGCAGTCCTGCCACCAGCAAAACATCTCCCCGTCGAGACACAGGCAGAACTCGCATGGATCTTTGCGATAAATCTACAATAATGAAGCGGATGTCTTTGATTATACCTATTCTAAGTTAAAACATGAAAAGTTTTTGGAAACATGGAGTATTTTTTACCTTTCCTGGTTTTATCCAGTCGTGAAAGACGATATTTTTAATATTTTTCATTTTCAGTTTGAAAATCGCGACGCGTGGCAGAAAGTCGTGCAGAAAATTGCGAAAAATTGAAGAAAATTGAGTAGTTTACATAATAAACTCGAAGTGGATACATTTCATGCATTACGCGACGTGTGCGCGTCGTGCGAATGGCAAATGCAATGCGCGGGCGTGCGCCAAAAAGGAACATTACAAAAATATTGATAAAATGCCGAGCAACTCGACGCGGGGGTATCCAAAACTTTGCGCCAAAGTGAGTTCGACCTGAAAGCGATATTTTAAGTGAAATTTCGAATAATGCAACTGGAAAAAAATTGATATCTTTTATCCCTTCAGTTATGTTAGTTCATCATCATTTTCTATTTCGTGTAAGCGCGACTCGAAGATGTATGCAAGCGAGCGCGCCAGCGGAAATATGCTTTCTTTGCGTAATCAACGTTTTGCATGAGAAATTGCGTGGCAAAAAAACCACACAAACCGAAACAAATCTGAATGTGAATAGGGGATGGAATGGAACACAAATTTTAACATTCAGAAACAGGAATAAACGTTTACCGTGGGCGAATTTATGATAGGGATAGTTTTTGTACAAAAGAGCATCAAATGTAAGAAAAAGAAAAATCTATACATTTTTCAATTGATCTAATTTACTGTAAACATTTATAGTAATTAGAATGTTAAATCATGTTTGAATCCGATTCTTATCGAATTGAACTTTGTAGAAATTCACCAGATAACGCAGTGAACGGCGTATTTGTGTTTTACAGATTTGCGAAATGTGAATTTTCATGCAAATTTGCTTTTTAAATTCGAAATTTCCGAGGTGAAAAGTATTAACGGAAAGGTATTCGAGGTTCGATATCAGCAGCGACATGCCTCATTAGACACGCCATCGAAGGGCGAGGGGGGGCATTGAGTGAATGCGCGCTCGAAATGTTTAATCGTTAAATTTGCCCCGCCATCAAACGGTTTTTCGGTTCATGTCTTTCCTCCGCTCTCCGCCAACTTTCCGCAAATTTCTTCGGCTTTTTGATTCATTAGATTTGGCGGCTCCCCTTGTTTTTTACCTTTTTACATGTCTAATTTAGCATTCTCCCCGACGGCGCCCGGCAAAATGATTAATAATTTTTGGTTTTTGGGGAAAAGTTGTAATTTACTTACGGCATTCATTCAATCGTTCGAGAATTTATTACATGTTTCTGGCAGAACAGAAAAGTTAATAACGCATTGCTGACGTATAAACGTCGCTGCGTGGAAAATAAAATGCTGTAAACAGGAAATCTGTTAGCGGGTGAAACAGTGCGACCGCGGAAATCGAAAATATATCATGCGAAGTAGAAATTCCGAATTTAATAAATAATCCTTTCACGAAGGCAGGGACAAATTGGCCGCATTTTATATTCTTCCACGGCAATTCCAGCAATTGCAGCGTGCTGAACACTCGCGTTCACCACGAGAGAGTTTTTCAAGTGCGAGGCGGGCGTGCCTCATTAGCCGCGACTCATTTTTCATTCGTCCTCTTTCTCTTGCGATTCACCCGAGTGTTCTTATTGTAATTGCAGGCGCCGGGAAGCGAGGTGCTGTGCGGCACGCCGCCCCACTCGGTAAGAATCATGAGAATGTTGTGATAATCCTTTATATTATCCTTAAAAGCCTCTTTCAACAAAGCCACATCTTCACACAGCTGACTAATGCTAAGCTAAGCATAGTGGGATGAAGAAAGAAAGCCGTTACATTTTTTACATCCCTCCTGCGGCGTATTTATAAATAAATAAATAAAATTTACGCGAAGGTGTACGCATTTAGTAATTTCAGCACGATGTGTGATCCGATCACAAAAAGCACTCGAGAGAAATCCCTAAATTGAATCGGAGTCAAGTTCGGAGTTTTCAATTTGGTGAATAAAAAGCGTACGCCGTTCGTGGCATGTGCGAGGGCGGGCATGATTGTGCCGTTAAGATCGGGCTGTCATGCCGGCAAAGTTTCGGTATTTCGGTATTTAATATGCAAACAATGAAGTGCACTTTAATTACATTTTCGTCGTTTGGGGCGCGCGCACATCTCTGCGGGCACTTAACAACGCCGGCGGCCGGCCGCGCGCCTTTATTGTGTCGCTAGCCGTGGAGGCGGCTCGGGTAAACTTATGACATCGACGGTTATCGCGCGGCTTGTGTCGTTAAATACGTTGTTTTACGTTTTACGCTTTATTTCGCTTGCGACCGACACTCGCCGGTCAGTTTTTGCGCGCACCGCTTTCGTCCTTTTTTTATTTCGTGTCGGGTTATAATCGCTCGAGCAAGTGCGCTTGGCATTGTTAATTTATTAAACTATCCGCGGGAGTCCAGTCTATTCGCGCGGGAGCAGGAATTAAACTTGCACCAAACTCCCACTATTAAAGCGCGCGCGATTACGACGAAGGCGGCGCGGCGGGCGTCGAAGACTCGTACATCAAACGCGTACTCCGAGGCGAAATTAATAAAAAATTTAGATTTAACGAAAGCATAAAGTTTGAGGTAATTAGAAGCGTACAAAAAGTTTTAATGTGATTTAATTACACGTTTTATCCGTTGATATTCTCTTAGATTTGCTGCGGAGAAAAACGCAAACACGACGAATATGAAAACGCAAGGAGTGTACTTAAAACTTTTGAAAATGTTGTTTGCAACGCGCTGCGCTAAAGGAAAATTAATAATAAAAAAAGTTCACCGCGCTTCCAATGGTTTTTATTTTTATTTTTGCATGCGGCCACTGAAAATGACAATAGATGCGCGTCCTTTTTTATTAAAACTAATTAAAAATTACTCGATTTAAGAGTTCCTTAAAGGTCAAAAAGTAAAAAGAAATACCTAAAGTCCAGACGCGAATTAATAACGAAAGCAGTCGAAAAACGGGATGCACGCAAATGAATAATAAACAACGGATGCGAAATACGCACGCGGAATAACAATGGAAACTTTAATTTCCGAAAGCATTATTCAAGCCGTCCGCAGGCGAAAGCGACGGATCCAGCGGAGGCGGCGCGATGCGCCAACACCTAATAATCATCATACACTCAGCGTGTTGTTTGTTGTCGCTGGCCGTAATATACTCGCCTGCAATCGTTAATTCTCCTCTTTGCATTTTCGTTTCTTTGCCCGCCCGCGCGCAAAACAAACTTATTTGCGGTGCCGTCGAACGGCGTCGAACGGCCGCACCGAACAATTACTAATTGCTTCGCGTTCGGGCGAGTTTGCGGCCGGCGCTAATTCGTTCTCGAACAAATAACCATCTGGAGGCTGGCTCCGCCGCCTACCAGCAAACAGCAACCATTTCAATTTCAGATCGAGATATATTGGCGTCCAGTGACACAGCAACTCAATAATTCCAGAAGAAGCTTACTTTGCATCTCACTGACATGGTATTAAACTAATTCGCGAAACAAACCGCAATTAGATGGTATAATGGTACATAAACCGCCCGCCAGAAGTGTTCTTTGTAAATCAAACAATATGTTCGTCCGGTAATAGTTGTTTCTTTTTTCTCTTTTGGTTGTAATGGCCTCAACACACATATACAATAAATGGAAATGGAAGTGCGGGCGGCTTTCCATTCGACCAATGCTCCGCTGGTTCGGTGCGCCGCTGCAAAGCCCTTCATTCGGGCGGCGTTTTGCGTTTTAATTAAAACACCGTCGCCGCGGGACGTTGTTGAGGATTGCGGTGTGTCCTCGTCACGCGCGCACCATCTGCGTCCCTCGCGCTCCTCCCCAACTGCCAACTTCGCGTACCTTTAGTTTAAAGCTAATATAATTTGTTTTTTATTCATTTGCGTTTATTCAGTGCGTCGGTCTCGCTGTCAAACGCGGCGGGCGAGACGCCGAGGAAGTTTAACTTTAAAGAGTTTAACTTAATATTTCGCAATAACTGCGCGTAAGTATTCGGAGCGGATTTTCGTTTATTTAAGTTGAATTTATTTCGCTTGTGGTTTATTCGGCTGCGCAAACTAGGATTGCGAAATATGTTTGCATGTGCGCGAAAGAGAATATGGTGGATATTATTGAACATTTTAATAATCATATCGATATTCTTTACATGTCACATCGGCGTGCGGAAAACACTGGTATTTTTGGAATGTTTTCCAAACCGGGATGTGGAAAATTAGTGGAGATGCCAATTTTAAAACTGTTTCTTTTTTTGTGGAATATTAAAGAAAACTTGATTTTGAAAGCTTTATTTTAATTAAATTTTATCGCAACATATGCAGCTTTGATAATAATAATCACCAAAATTTTAACAGTTTCGGTGCAAAAAAATTGTTTTAAAGTTGGCAATAGGCCCTAACTACGAGTATCAGTACTAAAGTGAATTGTTTCTAAGTAAGTGAATTAGAATCAGAATTCGAAACCAGAACTTAAACATTCCAATTTTCATTTCTTACCATAATTCTTCTCGCGTTTGTTCGTTCTTGTTGCGCAGCGAACGGGGGCAGGCACAAAACTTGACGGAAAACGGTGTTGTTAACTAACCTAATATCACAACCGAGCCCGCATGGGATATTGTCCATACTGACCTAAATTTCCCCGAATCTCCTTCGCAAACGTTATAAAAGCGGCGACTAACTAAACTAATTATCAAAGTCGAAGATATAGTGAGACAAAGGAGGCGGTAGCCGCAGTCTCCGGAACGAAGCATGGCGAGACGGCCGCATTGCCACACTGCCGCCGCCACAGCAACGGAAGCTAAGTACTTGCGTCCTATCCAAAACGAAGAAACCTGTCGTGAAATAAGTAAGTGCACTTCAAACGCTCAAACGGCCCAAAGGATGCTTAGATTGAGATTGAGCGGAAAGCAGCGAAAAACAAAACCGAATGCAAATCGATCAAACAATTATTCAATCATGACGCAAACACGAATGAAATTTCATTACACGCCCGTTTGCGCATCGCACGCTGCACGCATATTACATCATTGACATTATTCGCGTGTTATTGACATGCCGGCGCATCCGGCCCCCACTGCCCCCGCATGGCGGATCCGATTATGGATACTGCAGCGAAGATCACTGGCACGCGAATTGATACTTGATGCCCATTGGCATCTCGAACGTCGGAATTGCTGATTATTTCGGCAAATATTCATTAAATGTCACAAATTCGGGTGGCATGTAATTATTACGCAATGCCAGGATCATTATTCGTTCCTTCTTGTAATTCTGCGTCAGATATAAAATGCGCCCAGACGAGGGTAGGTAAAGCTTGGCTTGGAGCTTGGAGGCGAGAAACATTCGCGAAAGAAGCGGATCGTCGTTAGCTCAACCAAGAGTTTTAATTAATTACGGATTGCGCACGAGAAAAGAATTTGCAGCAAACACAAGGCCTGATTGAAGGCACAAACTAATTGTTTTTAATTTTGTTTTTTTTTTTTACAAAAAGTAATAAAATATAGCCGTTGGAAGGGTTTGGTTAAACTGGTGCAAATTTGATCGTTTTGTGATTCCACCTTGTCAACATGACGTAGTTGCATGTAAGTACCTGTTGTCCATGAGTGTATTCCACCCCAGCGACTAGACAAGTTGCCGCCGAGCTTAACCGTTCGAGGGGATGCGTTGTGAAGTCGTCGTCTAGGTTGTTGTCCCGCAACTCTTCATCCAGCGCGTTCGGGATGACGATGCCGGGCGAATTCATCACCATCGATAGAGGCACTGCAACGAAAGTAAAACGGACGTTTACAAGTGATCTTCGCACTTACCTAGTGGTGGATTTGCAAGCTCGGTGGGCGGCGGTAGGCGCAAGTGTGCATATGGCACATAAATGCCTCCGGCTCGCAGTAGGCATTCATACGTTTCACGCGACCGCCGCTCTCATATAAATTCGCACGCGACGTGCTGCTCGCATTGAAGAGGCCCCGAAGAATGGAATGGAAGCGCCCCCGTCCCCGCCAGCTGTACGCTGAGTGCAGAGTTGATTAATGGCTGGGTGCGACCGCCGTCGCCGGCGCTACGTTTTCATTTCATATACACATATATTCGCTGGGTGCAGTTGTCGACATTTCAAGAACCAAATGATATTTTTTTCATCTGTCGCGCGCGATTAATTGTTTCGCCAGGTTTTGCCAGGCAACGCTTTAATTGCATCATCAGGTCAAGTTTAGCGTGCGTTCATCTATATATAATTAGGACAACAAACGTAGTTCACAATTGCTTACTAGGCGACCGCCAAACATGCATTTTGCACTCATCCTCGCGTCAATGTCAAGTGGTGGCTGTCGCCTCCTTGCGCCAACGTTCGCGCCCGTGTTCACACGTCACACGCCGCTCAAAATTGATCGTGTTCCATATCTCACGTACTTTCATCTTCACTCGAATCTGTGTGACCGTCGTCGATATAAGCAGCAGCAGCAGCAGCAGTTGTACGTGAGGCTAAATTTGGGGACGCGCTCCGCCGCCTTCGATACGGATCAACATCGGTGTTGACCAACCTTCACCATGTACGAAGCCGACCGACGGCTTCTTAAATGAATCGTAAGCGTGCTGTTGCCATCGACGATTACCATACGCTTACCATTTCTTTGCCGTTTCAGTGTGTGCAATGCCTTTTTGGAGAAGTAAAGCGGATACGCCTAGAAATAGCTTATTTTTTCAATTTACATTTAAGAACACTCTAAAAAAATTGGTAAGTGGAGGTTGCTGCGCGTGCTGACCGTCCCCATCCACTATGCGCTTCGCCTCGTTTTTGCAGAATAGCAAATTTACCTTCTCCAATAAGACAATCGTACAAATTCAAAAGATGGTTGATGAAAAAGCGTCATCGATCAACGCCACCACGTTGATGGTCGGCGCCAACTATAAGGTCGGTAAGAAGATTGGCAGCGGTAACTTCGGCGAGTTGCGCCTCGGCAAGAACATTTTCACAAACGAACACGTTGCTATCAAGATGGAGCCGATGCGTACCAAGGCGCCGCAGTTGCATCTGGAGTACCGCTTCTATAAAATGCTCGGCGCTAAAGAAGGTTCGTGAACGTATCATACTACTACCATCAGTACAACACTATTATGCTAAGCTTTTTTAGGTGTCCCTAAGATTTTTCACATGGGCATCTGCGGCGGGCGCTACAACGCGTTAGTCATGGAGTTGCTAGGTCCTAGCCTCGAAGACCTTTTTAACCTATGCAATCGCCACTTCCGGCTGAAGACCGTCCTGATGATTGCTGACCAGACCTTAGAGCGCATAGAGTACGTACACAGTCGGAGGTTGATATTTCGTGACGTCAAACCGGAAAACTTTCTCATTGGGCGCAACAAGAATAATAAGGAGCGACTGGTCCATATCATCGACTTTGGCCTTGCCAAGGAGTACATCGACAAAGATCGTAACAAACACATTCCGTACCGGGAGCACAAGTCACTGACGGGTATGATTCCGTTCCCCTGTTCCACGCGTACTCACTTACCACAGCAGTGTCGCTGTGTTTTCTGTTGTTGCAGGCACGGCGCGCTATATGAGCATTAATACTCATATGGGCCGCGAGCAGTCGCGTCGAGACGACCTGGAGGCACTCGGCCACATGTACATGTACTTCTTGCGCGGCTCACTGCCCTGGCAGGGCCTGAAGGCGGACACGCTGAAAGAGCGCTATCAGAAAATCGGCGACACGAAACGCTCGACGCCCATCGACCTGCTTTGCGAGGGCCACCCGGAGGAGATGGCCACTTACATGCGGTATGTCCGTAAACTGGATTTTTTCGAAACGCCCGACTATGAGTACTGTCGCCGTCTCTTTAAGGACTTGTTTGAGCGGCGCGGGTTCATGGATGACGGCATTTTTGATTGGTCCGGCTTGTACACCAATAGCGCCAACAACGGCAGTAACACCGACGACTGAATTAGGACACTAGGCTTAGTGCATAGCATGGTCGCAATATTTGTGATATTACTGATGGTATTTCTTGTGGAAATTTCACATTCATTTCAAGGCGACTCGCCGAACGCGTAATAAATCGCATTCGAAAGTCGTGCGCATTTCGAGCGTGCTTATTTATGGCACTGTCGTGCCGATAAGTTTAATAACTTTGCGCCCCCATCGAAAAGTTATGTGTAAACATCTAAATATTTACACTTTGCGCGCACCGAGTGTTGGCGGAGGTGCCGCGCCTAACTGGCGACATATGATGGTGTCGGGGGGCAAACACCCAGTGTGGAAAAGAAATGGCCCATTGCCAATTGGCCGTACGAGTACGTATTTGCTCGCCGCCTTTATACACTTTGACTTCTTAACCAGAATCATAAATATTCCCGCCTCGGCATAAACTACGAACGCCTTGCGCGCATCAATATTTTAAATTACCGTCAACCTGCATGCAATTCTGAACGTCGGAATGCGAAATAAAAATAAAGTTGGATTACAGCAAACTTTAATTTTTACTCATCCAGCCCAGCGCAAATAGAAATATAATTGAAGGTAGGTACTTGAGACACCAGCGAAAATTGAAATTTCTATTTGGGAAAATTGCGATTTGCTGTTGATTTTCGGGCATATTTGTGTTGTGCTTTCATTCATCTGTAAACAAGTGGGTCTTGCGCCAGCAGGACTCTTTGAGCGACGGTTTCGGTTCGGGCGGTTGGCGAAAACGCTGGGTAAACACCCGGCGAACACAAGACGACGGGGGCGGTGTCGATGTTTGTTTTGCATCTGTCGCATCTGCACGACCGAGGGATTGCAAGACGCGGAAATGTAAACAAGCAGAGACGGGCGGAAGCACGAAGATGATGTCGCCGAAACGCCACTTGAGAAATGCAAAAATGCTGATGAATTACACAACGTTTTGACCTCTTTACAGCGTCGCGTACACATGTTGAATTGCATTCAGCCAGCAGCGGCTTTTGTGTGCGCTGTCCTTGAAATGTTTTGCGCGCTTATACTTCGACCAGGATCAGACGCGTCGCACCATCATCGATCGCGCGCGAAACTTTTACGACGAAGGCTTTAAATACGAATAAGAGGCTTGCACAAAAGAAGCAAAAAATTGAAGCCCATGCGAAGTGGCCACGCGTGAATGCTGCGATTCAATATCAAAGACGCACGCTGCTTGAAGAAAAAAGGAGGATTTGCTGAAGTTGCAAAGTTGTTAAAATTTAAATGTGAACATATACGCGCATTTGCTCAAAACAATTTTTTGCTGTTGCAAACATAGCCTGCACCGATAAATACTCTCCGGATTGGCAAAAAAGACAGAAATTTTGCCGCCTCTGGAAAAGAGACACATACAACTAAAATAGACCGAACATGTCACGCACGGTTACACGTCTCGTATATCTTAGCCGCTTTTCTCTTTGTTTTTCCTCCGTCACCTTTTTGCAAGTGCGGCGGTTTAGGGGCGCGTTTGCCTTCCGTGTCATACGTGGATTTTGGAAAAATTGCTTATTCCCATGCAGTGCGCCGCTCGCGTTTTCGACACGCTCGTAATTCCCTGCAACTCGGTCTTTACGTTCCTGTATCGCAAGACATTTGTGTATTCGGTTTATGAGATTTGCACCGGCAAGTCCTTTGTAATAATGTGGAAGAAAATTGGAAATCGGGAATGAAACAAACAAATATCATAAAAATAAAAATGTGGGACACCGTCGTAAAATAAAAATATTAGGTATAATACCGGATGCTGTTTTGCAAATTGAAAATATTTTGTTGCCCGCAAGTTAAGTATTGTTGCAATTGCTAGTATTTGAGTTAATTACTTTTGCGTTGGGCGCAAATGCTGCGCAAACGTGCGTCCGGGTTTTTTCCTGCGACGATTTGACGATTTTTTCATTTTGACTTTGATATATTTTACGTTTTATTAATGAAAGCATAAACGTCGTTTTCATTGAGCCTACCCGCCGGCTCCGGCTTTACGTTCCGTCCGTGCTCATGTCGAATTAACTCCACTTGTATCTCAGGCTCTCTCGGCGGGCCCCGACTAGGCATTGATTAATCACGACTCTGTCAATTACGTTTGCATTTCCCGGTGCCCGGGCGCAATGTATGCGAGTTCATTAAACAAATTAATTTCTCCGGCAAAACAGCAGCAATGTTGCCCGGCGCCTTCACATTTAACACGCTAGTTTTATCGGAAAGCGCAAAAAGTCGATTTGTTCAAAGGTGGCACGCTGATATTTCCAACCCAAAAATATATGACCTTCCCAGCTTTCCCTCAACGTTTAACATTTGCCGCTTCATTGTTGTATAATTTTTATGACTTTTATTCGCTCGCTTGCTTTGAATTGATTTATGAATGCAAGAATAAATGTCATCTTGTGATATTTACTGGCTGTGACATTTAAACGTGATGACAAGGTTTTAATTATTCCACGCGACACGGAAATGCAATTTAAGCGGCACGAAATTTATCACAAAAAAATACTTGTATTATTTATTTGGGCGTGGACCAATAAATCGCAGCGAATTTTGCAAACACGCACAGTGCTGTTTAAATGTTGAACTCTGCTGCCGGCACAAAATCCGGCGCATCTGCCATTTTGTGAGCTTATTTACCGTAGCTATCTTTTTATCGTTGCGTTTAATTTGCAAGTTGCAGCACGTTCGGACGTGTGTTAAGAGTGGTAGAGCGATTGCCGTGCACACATTTCATTTCGTGCGCGAGCACGTTTTCCACGTTTTTCCACGGTTTTCCATTCTTCTCTCGGCCGAGCGAGGACAAATAAAAGCTCTTTATGCTTGTGTGCACATGTGAGCCGTTCGCTTAGAGATAAAATTACAATTAATGATAATTAATAATCATCGCCCGGGCGTAATCGGTGGGACAACAGATGAGTAAGCGAACGGGTCAGCAAATAATCGTATAATTAATGTAAATGTGCGTCGTTTCCGTCTGCGGCTGTCGACGTGGGATCGCCGGGGCAATCTATAGCGGCCCGTCTTTGCTCTTCATCCCGCTACCTTTCGTCTTTGTGTCTTATTCGAATCTAATTTGATCACATGCATGCATGCCGGCGGCGGCGTGTCGATCTGCCATTGCGCAGCGCCGAGGAACGAATACACGAAAATCCTTTGCCGTCGGAATTTCGCATGTACGAATTAATCCGCTTGACCCTTTGGGCAACTGCGGGATGTGTCGACCGTCGAGTGTGGCAGGTTTTGATAAAATGTGTTTTCAATATAATGCCTTCGCCTTCGCCCGCTTCGTAAGCCTTTAATGTATTATTAAACTATTAAACAATGGGTAATTGAATAGATAATGAATAATGGCTGAGTCTCGCTTGCAGCGGCATTAATTAATTAAATTCACTCGCACTCAGCCGGCCGTGGCGTAAACGACAATGGATGCCACAACATATTGCCGCACTTGCAAAAACGACGCTAAATGTTGCTAAATGTTGTTTGCGAAAAATCGCAAAAAGCGTCGTCCCTTTATGCACTCGCATGCTCCGCTTTACGCGGATCCGGTTATTCATGAAGTATGTGAATTGCAGGCATACCTGACAAGCTCATGAGAAAGGCCGGGAGCGCCACTGGCATTCCTCGGCGAGAAAGAACTGCCGGCGCAACGACAGGGCGATAACAGGACAAACTTTATTAAAATACATTTATCAACAAAATTCTACGCAACTTAGGCAAGATTTCGCATAAAAAACTATTCGCGGCGCATTTTTGCCCTGCAGGTTCCTAAAATCTTCTCCGAAAGTGCTCGACAGTCTTTTAAGGTCCTTGATAAAATTCCTGGATATGTGTTTGTTCCATTTTTCTAGTTTCCTGCATCGCACTGCAGGAGAAGAGAGAATCAAGATTTGATTTGGCTCGTCCTACATCTTCGTGTTTTTCAATTAAAAGTCCCTTTGTGCATGCACTATGAATGCTTCCTTTTGTTTGGTATTTGCGCCATTGGGCGCAAAACTTGAGATGAAAAAAGAGCGGCGCATAAACGTCGCTTGCACTTAGTTATTTAGCAAACGACGACGCTAGAGCCCGCCGGTCGACAATGACGACGACTTAATAGAGCTGTCATTTCGCGTCATCGCCGTCAGACCGAACAACGATAATGAACAACTACGACTAACGACTTGTTTTGTTTTCCGGTACATGATTTTATATTTGCGCCGGGCAGCGTCTTCGCGTTTCAATTTGTGTTCACGTTTTTGACTGCCCGATATAAATAGAATGTACGCGTAAAAGTCACGGAACGCAATCGATTATTCCACTCAAAGGTAGCGGAGAGAGGCGGCACGGCGCGGCACGGTGTGGCGGCGGGTGCACGCGGCATGTAACATTCCATGCCCTGACGTTGAGCACGCCAAGGAAATTACCGAATTATGTCAGTGTACACGGAGCGTTTTTGTCGAATCGATATTTTGTACTTTTCGTCCTCGATGGGAACAAATTTGGGATACAGAGCGCAAAAAAACGCATGTCGACGCTTGTAGGTATCATTTTTAATTATTGCTTTTAACTTCCGGGCGCTTTAATTGCGCGCGAAGCAAACTTATGACGCACTTACCTTCCGGTGCTAATTCACGTCTACCTTCATTTGTTCCTTTGCCGGTGGCTGTCATGCAGCCCACGGGAAGCCTTCTGCGCCTTCGGTTTGTCGTCGACGCTTGTTCTTGGCACGTAATTCGGGCGAAAATTAAGGACTATCCGGGAATAATATACGTCAGGAATGGGAGCAGGTTAACTATTACATAATTTTGTTGCCGGTTTCCTGCGTTTCTACCGAGTTAGTGGTCCGGCGCGGCCGACGTGGAAATTATGCTACAATTGCCATTCGAATTTACGACCCTTCCTGCAAGCTAAGCTGCATTTTATTCATCTTCAGTGTATAGTCTTGTTTTTTGTGTAGCGTGTAAAATACCTGCGACGAAAATGATAAAAATAGATTGAGTTACACGTATTCCAGGCTTAATATCAGTGGCGTAACACTACCATCTAAAGCTTGAGCAGATTCTTTGGATGGAGCCCCCAGTGAAAATCGTCACGTTGTAAAACAATTTTAATCAACCGGCCTCTTGAGTCCGGCCCCCTTCAGGTCTTAAACCCGACGTATTTTACCATCCCTGTCTCTTTGTAGTTACGCCACTGAATGCTTTTGTTTACCTATTTACTTTTCTCGTTTTCAACTGAATGCAACAAACAAAACTCGTGAAGGCGTACCGGCAGAGAAATTGGTTTGGTTTTGACACCACCAATCCGAGAACTGCAAGAAAACTAAACCAACTTCACTACTGAATGAAACAAATACCTCTCCGGAGTACTATTTATATTCCTTTCTTTTTCTTCCGATTTTTGTCAAAACGAAAGCTCAATATAAAGACAAATAGATTGAGCAACCGCAATAGATTCAGCAATTTGCAATTACTGATACGCATTGACTGATATTAATTCACGCGCCTGCTGAAACAATGTTGCGCCAGTGGCGGAGGGTGCGTTATTAGAATTTATGTACTTTATATGTACTCGCATCTATAACTGCGTATGACACCTGACGTCGTCGTCACCAAGTCATAAATTCCGTTCAGTGTACGAGTCGCGCACAATTGTTGAACATAAATTGAAATTAATTCTGATTTAATTCAACGACCACCACGAGTTCAGCGAGTATGAAAGATTCTCGGTTTATCTTTCGTAAAAATATCCTCGCCAACGTTTATTGCGCGCCGTAAAAGCTAGTCGGAGCTAATAAAACGAGCGGCGATGAACATGTTGACATATTGACACGATTTCCGAGAGTATTCGCTTCGTTGATGTGCTTTTTCTTTGTCATTTAACTAATTTTAACTAGGCGGCCATGTGTGTGCTCCGAGATGGCCCTTTGATTTGCGCCCGCTCGTCCGTCGTATTGGGTATTACCTTTCGTGCCATTAATCTCTTCGTCCATAAACTCGCAGTGAGTGCGTTGCGCTGATATGTGATGTGTGATACTGATTGATTGCGGTTAATTAGTTAAATAAACACACGCGCGACGCTGAGCAAACGGCGCCGAAAGACACATGCGACCTATTTGACAGCTTTATTAATTAGCTACAAATTTAACGGCAGCTTTTTGCATACTCAGATATATAGAGATGAACTAGATATCTTCGAGTTGGGTCGAAAGTTGCGAAGCGTCGTGACGCGTTTTCCCCCCGTCTTTCAACGCCGCCTATTCTTGATTTTCCCTATTTGCGCCCTTCTCTTTTTGAATGTCCCATTCAAATTTTATGCCTCGTTGCTTATTAACCAGCCTCGCGCGCTATGAAGCGAATTTAACAATTTAATTTCCTGCCTAACATCGTACTCTCTAACATTCTAATAAATGTAACATGAAGTAACAAGCCAGTGGCGTCGCTGAATATATTTCAAATACAGTCGAACCGTATTTTCGAAATGTCGTGCGCGATTGTTTTTTGTTGTTTCAATTCCAATTTATTTTTGCATGCACGCATTGCGTTTATATTCGTTATTAACACTTCGTTTATTCCGCGATATTTGATTACGCTCGTAGATATTTCCAGCTATTCGGACAAAACGCTCGGGCGACAAAAAAAATTTACCCAAAATGCAAAAAACCGAAAATGCTGGAAACCGATGGAAAGAATTGCTGACATTGACGTATTTATATTTTTGCCTATTTCACTTTTTTCACTTTTTCCCCTACAAATCAGAAAGCGTGTGTGTTGCCCACCATCGCCCCACCACACACCCTTAGCTTTTAATCGTTTTTCACGATTTGCAAGCTATTATTTGGATTATTTGCGTTTATATCGCATCGTGCTTGTCTATGATTGATATCGTTCCGCGTTGTTAGCTGGAAAGTCATTTATAAACCGGCATGCGGTGCGTTTACCTGACGACTTCTCCGACGTACCACGTTTTCCACATCATGTCCTGCGATCATCTGACAATACACGTCAGGCAGTTGCTCGTTTTCATTTTCATATGGCTTTGTGATCGAAGTTGGTGCGTGTTGTACCGCTCCTAAGTGATATTTGATGTTTCCAAATTTAACCACAATTTTTTTTATATATTTTAGTATTTTGTGGTTGTTTTCGCAAAATTCAAACTAACGTTCGTAAAACGAAAGAATAAAAACCGCGACCAAAATTGCACCGATAGAATGAGCGGCGCGTAATTGGTTTTTAGTTTTCCTGTTTTTTCTTGAGAGTTTCCATCAAGTTTCGTCTTGTTCTCTTTGATTCTTTTTGGCCTGCACATTTTCGTTGTAGTGTGATTTCCCATCGGATTGCTTCCTGTCGCTCCCACGCCGACGGTCGCTTCCGCCTCCCGCTAAGGAAGCGATTTCCCAGCTCGCCCCTTTCAATATTTGGCACTCGTGTGTATGTGCGTGAATGCCTTATGTGTATCCCTTCGCGGTACCGCCTCCGCCGCCACCACAAATGCGATTCCAACGTCCCTACACCTATTATTTATTTTAGTGTATTTCCTATTTCTTATTCGAATATCAATCAAAAATTGGCTTCAAAAACGTGTACATGCATGATTTTCATTCCTGTGATTAAATTTTCCAAACGATTTTAAACTTTTGTTACTAAAAAGTTTCTCATATAATTGCATTATCAAAGCAGTGGTAAAAATGAAACATTTCGACAATTTTAACGCAAATATATACGAATAGAAGAGCCGTAAAGCTATTTAGAATCATTTCAGAAAGTATTCCTGAAAATTTGTCCCCGTTCAGTCTTCATACCCTCCTAACCGGCAAATGATGACCGCCATCGGCCATTTGCTTCCACCCGCGCGCCGCATGCGATGCGATCCAGCGCCTTAAACCGCTTTTTATTTTTATTTCGTCCGCACATCCAAAGGATCTGGACAGATAACGTGGGCAAAAAGATGAAGACAATTCGAAAAAGCGATGACGCGTAAAGACTTCTCAATGGGATGGACGTAAAACATAAATTCCATAATAAAATAGAGAAGACGTGGAAGATGAAGTGCGCGTCCTGGCGAAAGGACGAGACAGTATGGTCGCCAGCGCGTACCACGCAACAAAGACAAATTATCCACAGGACTCGTTCGGTGTCAATGTTAAATTACAAATTATGAGCATACCAGCGAGTAATTTACAATTTTAATTCTGATTTGGACTTTAATTAATAGCGAAGGTTGTTCTTCTTTCTTCCATCGCTGCGGTTGCATTTGGATCGAGGCTAATTTGTCTGTTTAATTAGTCGAGGCAATGGGGACGCTGGTCTTGTTCCGCCGGCGCTCGTTTGTTACATTTAATCAATTCAAATCAATGCTAACTAAGACCAGCGAGCGCATATAAATCACGAGGAGCAAAGAAAACTCGTGATTTTCTCATATTTGCGGTTTCATAATTCGTTGCTGTGGGGATGACTGTATCGGAAACAAGAGTTTAATTGAATCGATAATTTTGTACGAACATGTATGTATGCAATATACAACAGGAAACATGCGGAAGAGTAGACGGAGACGGGGGCGGCAGTGACTGCACGAATTCCGGGCGCATTAGTCTTGACAGAGGAAGTGGAGCGCGTGTTTTATCCTCGTTGTAATTGAAAACTAGCTGTTCAGCGAGCCAATTGTGTAACTTTTGCTCGCTTCATTACCGCCCCCGGGTCGCAGGTTGATTGCGCCATCAAACGCGCTGCAACAAATCAACGCTGGCTTCATGGCTGCTTGGAGGCGGTGTAAAATCTTTGATATTATTTGGTAATTGTTTAGGACGACACCCCGGAGTGCGTTTTAAAGTGCGTCCAAATTGTGAAGGCGCCGGGCAACACATGCGATGCAGCGCGTCGTTTCGATTAAACGAACCCCGCAATTAATCACGCGGCTGTGTTCACGAAGCGCGTAAAAAAATACATAATCAATCACAAAACGCTTTTCTCCTCCTTGTTGCCGGAGTTCGATCACGGCCGAATAAATAATGCGAAGGTGCGCGCGTGCTAAACATAGAACAATGCGCAAGTGAAGTCAATTTAACTTTTAATTAAGGCTATCAGCGATCGTGCATCTCTGACGGCTTCTGCAAGATGCGGCACCTCCTTGCTGCCAACTCAACTATCTCCTCAATTATCAGCAACTATTATTACATTACTCACCTGCACGTGAACCGACGATTAGATGTACGCCGAGGAGTACGACGACGCCAAGGCAGGAATGCGCGCGACGCGCGGAAAACATACGCTCTCGGTGCATTCTCGTCGCGTGCGGACACCAATTTTGTTTACCGATTCAATTATTAAAAAGTTGCTGTTTATGCAGTGGTAAATTGAGGAAGAAACAGCTGCTTGTCGAGCGGCGGCAAGTGCAGTACTGCCACAGTCTCAGACACCGGAAATCAACGATGGGAGCAGTATGAGTGGGTACAGCGGCGGGGGCAGCAGGAGCGTCGTGACTGATTACACAAGAAACGTGCAGGCGAGAAGTGCAGGTGGACGCAAAGCGTTCGGAAATGTATGCGGCGTGCGCGGCGGTCACCGGTGTGAGCGTCAATGCGGCGGCGGCGGCGGCAAGTCGACTGACTGAGAATAACTGCCCCGGCTCAACGTCGAGCGCGAGGAATCGACGAATCGCTGCGCAAAGCATGCCGCACTCAGAGGCGGCTGCAATTTAATCGCCGCCAACCGCCGCCGGTGTCCCTCTAGCGGCAGGGACCGCAGACACTAGTTAGGCAAGGGAAGAAATAAATTTGCGATCATTTCATTCATCAGTAAATTTTTTCCAGAAAAATAAACAACATAAAACATAAAAAATACAAACATGTTATCACACTAAAAATACCAAACAGTTCCTTTTTTTGTTATTAATTTAAATTGACGGTTATTTTTTTAAAACTTGCAATTATCTTATAAAATCCCAGTTTCAACAGCTGCAGACGTCTTACTAGTCAGAGCTATCGGAAGTGCAATCCGAAGAATCGCTGGAAGAGGTAGTATCATCATAGCATGCCGTACGTCTTTGACATCTGGATGATTGGCCGGTAGACCTCTGACAACACGTCTTTCTGACGGGCATTCTACAGCTTGATTTGACGGGAATTTTACTGCTTGACTTCTTCGCTGAAGCGCTTCTGCAACCACATCCTCCGCACGGCATTTTGATTGATTCGGTTTAGTGATTACAGAAAAACTGGTACAAAATATTGGCTAACATAAGAAAATATTGTAATTATAAAGAGAAAGTGTACTTACCGGCGCGCTGTTCGTAAATGCGAATGTTTCCTGCAGCGCAGGAGCTGAAATTTATACCCAAATTACGGTCCCCACCAAAAATTAAAATGGCGCCGTTTCCGGTTAAGGAATAATTTGCGCATGTGCACGTTACTAAGTATGTAGTCAGAAACACTGTTGCAAACATGTAATAAACAATATTCCTGTCATTTAAATTATGGGGTATTCAAACCATGCCACCTACCAAGTATTGGAATATGAAAATATGAGACAGAAACATGGTTGCAAACATGGCGTAAACAATATTCCTATGAAATTTAATACACCAAAGAGGATATTATATATTTAAATTACAGGGAATACAAACTGTATGCCACTTAACAAGTATTTGAACAATATGCAAATATTAACATTAATCAAACGAGACCAAAACTGACCATCGGTAACACTTGCCCAGAAACGCACCGGAAACTCTTATCGGCCGTTCGTCTTAACTAATTAAAATAAATTAGATGGATCAGTCTTCTCCGCTCCGATTCACATTGCGCACTAGCACGCGATGAATGGAATATTGTAAGTGAAAATATGAAATTCAGTGTTACAAAAGGCAACGACCGCAGATTGTGTGAGTATGATCTGCGCGTTAAGGAGCAGCGGGTGCTGGTTTCTTGATGGCGCTGCTCTTCCTGTCGCCGTCGCCATCGTCGTCGCGCTTTCTCTTGACGAGGTGCGAAATGTCAGTCGCCTTCTTTTCAGGCGAGCTGGGCTGTGGCTTTTCGTCGTCCGCCACCTCCGGCTGTTCCATCCGCTTGGCACACTACAATTGAAGAAAGCGCTTTGAAAATCGAGAAGATTGATGCGAGCAAAGCAGATGTATGTAGGTTCGGGTAAAAATCGTTTATTTCGCAGTCGTGAACAAATAGAAAGCAAAAAAGCAAACACACAACAAACATGAACAGCTAACAACATGCAATGAGTATGAGATGTATGGCAAGGACATGTGCCGGCATGCGCCGTGGACTCAGTTGCGGATTTTCAATCGATTGATCTCGCCCTCCACGACCGACGTGATGATATTCTTGCATTCCTTATCGATATCAAGTGTACCTACCTCTTCGATATAATTCTGTAGATCCGTGATCTTTTCCTCCACCTCGGGGATAAGCGATTTAATCTCGGTGATTTCCTGCTCGTCGGACGCGCCTGGCTTCTCGATAGCCTCCAGGAGAGCAAGGCGTTCCTTCATTATGCGTAGTGTAGTCTCGTAGGAAGTCATACTTTCGGCGCTCTTACAGTCGGCGCAAAGAGCCATGCCCAACATGTAGTGGGAATGCGCCAGTTTGCGCATGTCTTTGCCTTCGGTGTAAATCTCCTTCTGGATCTCCAGACCTGCTCGGATATCCGCAATCGCAGACTCGAAGTTTTCATTTTCCATGGAAACTTCACCAAGGGTAATGAGACAATCGGCGTAGTCCTCCTTACCGCTATCACCACGCTTTTGGAAAATCTGTTTGGCCAATTCGAGCACCTCCCAGGCAAGTTGAAGATCTGAAGGTTCTTCATCTTCCTTGTCACCTGCAAGAGTAGACTTGTGAGGATAATCAATGATTTATTAAATAATAACTTTACCATCCTCCCCATTTGCTTCGACCTCTTCTTCTTCATCTTCAGCTGAATCTTCGGCGGTTTCAGGTTTTTCATCTTCACCAGAATCCTCGGCGGTTTCGGGTTTTGCAACTCCTTCGGAGTCTTTAACGCCTTCCTGGGAGGAGGCAGCTTCGCCATTCATGGAAATATCAGTGGAATTAACTTCGGTGTCCTGTGAACCTGCCTCACCCTCTTCGTTCTTCCCTCCCTCGGCATCTTCATCATCATCGCTTTCGCCGTCATCCTCACCATCATCCCCATCTTCTTCTTCATCTTCAGCACCGTCGTCGTCACCTTCCACCGCCACGCCAACCTCTCTTGGGACAACTTCACCTAGTGGATCCCCGGCCTCGCGCACCAATTCCAAGAGGGTTTTACCGTAGTACAAGTAGACGTTCCCAAGTCCGTCATACTTATCATCCCCGTGCTCCTTAACAAGCAACTCGCTCACATGGGCAAGCAACTTGACCGCCTCCTTGTAGTCATGCAACCAGTACGCTCGTGTAGCCTGGCAGATCAAATCTTTAACATTTTCAGTCATCTTTGCGTTGAGTCTGAAAAATTACATTGTATGATAAATTGTGTTTGCATTTTGAAAGGTGCGTGGTTATGAGCAAAGGGCTAAAGCGCATGCACGGGCGCCCACGGCTGATTATCGACGTCGGCGGCGACACAAAACATAAACAGCGCACAACCTGAATCACCACAAGCAACCACGCACAAGGTAAATATCGTATCGATTTCGAAAACAATAGTAAAAGCAGCTCATTAACATGAAGTCCACCTGCCTGCGACACCTTTGAAAGCTAGTGGGTCACGTGTAAAGATGTGCGTCGCGGAACGCCGCCGGCCAGAGAAAGAGGAACGCAGCAGCAAGACGCCGCAGCTCGCCGCCGCCAAATGTACCATCCGCCCCACCGCAATGACGGCGTAACCACGTACCTGCAGACGTCGCTACCAGCGCCCCGAAGCTTTTTCGACCTGGTGAAGGGCGCGAGCAAGCTGAAGGGCGGCGGCGCGCAGGAGTACGACCTGCTGATCGTCGACTACGAGACCGCGATGGAGCAGCAAGCCGGCAGTTCGGACGCCGACGAAGACTCCGGCTGGAATTGCAGTGTGCATCCCAGCGTGTTCTTTCTACTGGGCACGCTGATGTTAACCACCTGCGCTACCGGTATGCTCTGTGCTGCGATCATGACCGACCACTGGGAGGAAGTGAGTTGGGACCGCGTCGCCCTTCAGACCCTGTCTAATAGATCGGTAAGAATCGAATGGTTGTTGGATGGGAAGGTTGCAAGTGTCGCTACGAACAACGAACGCGCTTTTTTGGTGCCTATTCATGGCGGTATTTGGACGTTATGCTTCAGTCTTAATGAAGAAGAGATACAACTGCTTGGCGCACATGGATTTCCACCGCAATCTTGTGTGAATTATCTGTCTGGTGAAATGGACGGCATGAAAGTCTGCGAGCTGAAAGCAGACTGGCAGCGCAGTAAGCAAACTATCTATGCTATCATTATTATTTCCATAGTTGCGTTATTTCGCAGGAATGCAAAACCTGTCCATTTCATGTGCATTGGTATGCCTGATTATCCTTGGCACAGCAGCATTGGTAGGCGCATTTGGTGTGTGTCAACATCAAATAAGTGCGGTGCTAGTCACAGGGGTAATGTACCTACTCGCTGGTAAGCTGCCACCTTGTCTTACACCATTTTACAACATGCGATAAGCAAATCATCGATTTTTTTTTCTAGCGTCGTTTGCGCTCTTTACTCTATCGATAATCCATTTCAAAAGAGTGTCTACACGTCCGCCGGCCCCGCGTGATGAAGAAACAGATGGCGGCGATTGGTACCGGATAGACGCCGATTGTACCGTGGACGGCGTTGTTTGGCCGGTAGGCAGCCGCGGGTACCACTTTTCAGCGCACCTTCTCGCCGCTCGCGTCTTCGACACCTCTTGGTCGCTCGACCTAGGTTGGGGCGGCGTGATGCTCTGCGTCATTACGTCTGTGCTCTGGATCCTGCTATCGAAGATCATGCGCTTCAATCCTATCTCCAGCATGATCAACTACTGAGACAATGCATGCATTAAGAATGATCATCAACGTCTGCAACATGCATTACTGGTTGTATAACTTCTCAGGCCGTCCGAAAACAGCCCAAGTATAAAATGATTATTGAATAACGCTTGAGATAGATGTCAATGTAACTACTCTATTTAAACTATAGCAGTATTAATGCTGCTCAATGCAACAAGAGTTCATGTTCATCAGTTGGAAGGTACGCAGCGAACACCAACAAAAAAAAACATAGCCTAGATATGCGGGCTTTACGCGCCGATTTGCACAAACATAACCTAACACTTTTCACGCGCCCGACGTGAGAAAGCATAAAATCAAAACCAGACCATGGAGAACTAAAGAGAAATAATTTCTTATCGAGTATATTTAACGCTAACGCATTGGATGATTATTGTTAGCGCAATGTTGCCTTCGATAACGAGCCTCAAAATCTCTATATATTATCGATGAATATATTTCTGACGTATTTTAAGAAGATTTGCCGCATATTTATTACTTAGATGTGTACAATCAGAACAAGTGTGCGAATGCTTTCAGAGCGCAGTTTTGCTTTAGCTTATTTAATGCGACAGGCACAAAGTAACGACGAAACACTGACACAACACAAACAATGGCCTTTTAGATTGTAAATAGCTCGAATATCAGTAAAAATAATAAATCAGATAGAAATCAAACTCACATTTTATGTTTTCCTTGCGAAATGGATGCGTCGGGGCCAGTGGGTGATGGAAGGCTATCCAGCAGTGACGAGGTGTGAGAAGCGAATGCGACGCCGGCATGGAGAAAAAAACCGTTGAGCGGCAAGTACAGCTCCACCGGATGCAACGGAGCGCGCCAAAAATTTGCTAATGGTCTCCTCGGTTGTCAAGGTCACAAATTTAAAAAAAATCAGACCTAAAGTATTGTTTGGTGCTATTAGCACATTATATATATGTATATTTGGTATATTTACTGCGTTATTTTTTTATTGTTGTATATTTAACTTATATATTTGTTGATAAGTATAGAATAGTTGCTTGACAGTGACAGCAACTTGTCAAAAACAACTGTTTCAACACCAAACCTAACCTCAATCTTTATCTTAATATTCGCCGATCAAAACAGTGACCTACGCGACGGTGAGAGTGTGGCGGAACACGATGTCGTCCAAAGATAAAGACAAACCGATCGACAAGCTGAAGAACTTCTTCAAGATCAAGCAGAAGGATCTGCCAAGTACGACCACCGGCCTCTTTCAATATGCTATAAGTTTGTACTCATTTATTTAACGTCTTTTCGAAGATAAAAGCAAGGACGAGTTCGTCCTCACTGCGGAACTACAGCAGGAACTCAGCAGAGAGACGCCCGTGGCGACCAGGCTGAAAGCAGTCCGTGAATTGGTCGACATCATCAAAAAATACAAATTAAATGAGGTATAATCAACAAAAAAAATATAGAAACAGCAACAGGTAATTGTATTATGCTCATTGCAGCACATAATTCCTAAATTATGGGCCTGCATCAGGGATCTTCCGAATGACAGCGCCTGTGAGCAACGTCAGCTTGCCTATCAAGTTCTGCAAGCTCTGGTGCAGAAGCAGAAAAGTCAGTTGACCGGCATATTCCGCGCGCAAGTATTTCGCGTAATTGTTGACCATAAATATCATGAAGAAACAGCGATTCGGTTTAATCTTCTGCATGCACTTTCTGAAAATGGTAAAGATATCTCCTACTTTGATGAGAAGATGGCGCCGTTTCTGTTGAACTGGCTGCCTGAAATAGCAAAAGCCGGCAAAACGAATGATTTCGTCTTGTTGCTTATCACTCTGATTAAGTTTAATGCGGCGCATGTGAAGGAAAACGACATTAATCAATTCGTCATGTAAGCAGTGATTGTGGTCCGCTACTTGTTGATTAATTAATATTTTTGTAGCCATATCTGCACCCTGTGCGATCCGATGCAAGACACGATTGTAATGAGCGCCCTCAATTTCCTGGAGACCATCATTGCGTACTATCGCAATTTACCACCAGATTCACTACCGCAAATCATCGGCACGTTGTGTAAGGTAGTCAACCATGAACCATATTGTCAGATGAGTTGGAAGGTCATGAAGAATCTCCTTGGAACGCATCTTGGTCACGCTGCATTGTTCACAATGTGCCGTATTCTACAAGCGCCTGATTTGGCGCAGAACACGTTCCTTTTCCGCGGCGCTATTTTCTTCATTCAGATGGGTCTCTGGGGTAACCCGGTGCCTAGCCTGCGTTGTCCTGCTAGTGCAGTATTGCCTGCTATTTACGAAGCAGTCCATACAAACCAATCGTCAATTGTGTTCGAGGTTGTAATCTGTGTGCAGAAACTGGTACAGAAATGCGGTGTTGAGTTGCAGGAGCCGTCGTGGGATATTATTTTAAAGATGTTAGCTGTGGCAGTGCGCCATGGCAATTGTTTTGCGCCGCTAAACGATACACTTAATATTATTGAACAACTTATTGAGGATGGGCATTTTAACGGTCGCGTGGAATCTGTTTATGCGATTGTAGCGGCCTGTGCGCAGAATCGTCCAGAGGCATCCATCATGCGACTGATTGGACATCTCTCCGATGATATTCACCCTGTAAGGCATGCATGGTTGATGAAACTCAATGATTTGTTACAGAATTACTATCGTGTGGAAAAGGAGCGTCGCACTAATGTGCGTTTGAAGGCGCTGGACGTGCTGGTTAATGTTGTACAACTACATCGTGTTTACTTCGAGGATGAAATCATTGACAAAGTCGTAATTCCGCATTTCCTGCATTTACATCTCGATGGCGATTACAAAATACGCTCAGCAGGTGCCAGCCTATTAATTCGGCTGTGCACAACCTGCGAAAGTCGTCGGTGTTCAGAAATGCTTGATATCCTAGAGCGACTCATAAATCGCCCGTTTGACATCAGTGCGGAGAACCAGCCGGCGTCAGATACGGACACTGCTGATGTAAAAGCAACAATTTCACAGATGATCACACTGTTTGAAACGAAGATTCACAAGTTGCCATCGTCGCCTGCAGTTCGTATTTATAAAATACTCATGTCACACCTTGAAGTGCACTACACGCGCCCGCGCGTCTTCGAGAACTGCAATTTCGTGCGGTGGCAGATCTTCGATGGGTTCCTGCGAATGCGCGCGGATGATCGCTACCATATTGGATGCCCACGTAACGGTGAGCTTAAATTCAGTCCGTATTTATGTGTAGCGTATACGTCGCCTTCGGATAGATCAGCTTTGGGTTCACCACCACCAAACTCACCAGCGGCGAATGTACAACAGCCGTCAGCAACGCAACAAACACCACAACAACCCCTACTATCGCAAGTACCATGCGCTGTTACTTATGTAACTATAAAATCGGCATTCAAGATCTTTATCACTTGTCTAACATGCGAGAAAGACATGGAGGTGTTAATGTTTGTTCTTAAGCGACTTCCCGATGTTCTACAAAACAAATCTCTTGTTTTAACGCGCCATGGAAACAATGATGTAGGTCTACTGATTGAAGCTGTCTGCAAACTCATGAAATATCCGCTGGATAACACGAGCGTCAACAGAATCGAGTTTTATTCCCTCCTGCTATTAATTTTATCCGGTTTGGCGTCGTATCACGCCTGTTTACACCATACACACCAGCAGGAAATGATCCGACTGTTGAGCACTTGTAAGGTGCGTCATGGTGTGCCATGCTTCAGTCAGTGTATACGCGCGCTTACCACTTGCACCCTCGATATGCAGGATGTTATGGTGAAGATTCTGCCTGAGGTACTACTACAACTCTCGAAGACAACTGCAACAGCGCCGATTGCAATGCCTATGCTGGAGTTCCTCTCGACTTTGACGATTCTACCGAGCGTTTTTTCAAACTTTGTCGGTGATCAATACATGGCTATCTTCGCCATGTTACTGCCCTACACGAATCCGTTCAACTATCATGCGTACACAGTCTTCCTGGCGCATCATCTAATCGCCGTTTGGTTTTTGAAATGTCGGCTTACATTTCGCAAGGATTTTGTTAGTTACATTACCAATGGACTGCATACAAACGCGCTGACACCCTCGCCGCCTATCACATCCAAAGTGGACGTGAATAAGTTGAACCAAGATAGTTCTAATCGAAAACGTAGCTCGTCGTTGACAGAACAGAGCTCACGTAAACGTGAACGATCTGCAACGCTTGTGAGTAAGCCGGCTTTTGATGTGCCGCGTGCACCACCCATGGCGCCCATTGATAAAACCCTACAGTTTTACCGCGAGTTGACTGAGACTTGTATTGATCTCATGGCCCGCTATACATTCTCGCCATGCTCGGCGTTGCCTAAACGCTTACCTAACGCAGAATTTCTGTTCGGTGGAGGGCAGTCCATGAGCTGGTTACTCGGGAACCGTGTGGTTACAATCACCACCAGCGGATGCGCGCAGAAAGCGCTTAAGCACGGCCTGTGTGACAAGTGCTACGGCACCTGCAAGGGTGGTGGTAGGACTCCTTATATGCAGCGGACTGGGAGTAGCGAGACGTCCACGATGGACCGCATCGCTAGACAAAATTCCGGTTCCAACACCAACACCTCCACGTCATCACCCACCGAAGATGCTCGCCGTTTTAGTGATAGATTGGAGCAGTTGCCTAATAAGTTACAGCAACTGGCGGCGACTGGGGACAAGCGGGAGCACTGCGCTTGTTGGTGCCAGAACTGGGCAGAGATTCACGTACGCCGCCCAACTGGTAATATGTCCTGGGTGATGCGGATACAGAATCAGACTTCTGATACCAATAGTGTTTATGATTTTCCGCTTAATGATATTTGCACACTGTTTATGCCATCACTGCATACTGATCATACCGTTGCCGCGATGGATTCCATCGAAAAGGAGACCCAAGATGTTGCAGTGGGCACAGTCGGCCCTGTTTACAACACGCAGCCCATTTCAATCCCTGGTTCACCCAGTAAGCAATCACCGTCAAGGCAAAGCTCACGTGATAGTATCGATGAAGAAGAAGACTTGGATGGCGGTATGTTTGAAGACGGTTCACGGTCGCGTAATCCCGTCCGCAGATCTAACTCCAGCCCGGAGATGTCCGCCGGCTGGAAGAATCCTTTTTTAATGCAGCAGCACAAGACTTCCGCAGGTGGGATAGAGCGGGAAGAACGCGATGAGGAGCACGCAAAGAAAAAGTCGACTTCTTATGCTAAGGATAACCGCGTTAGTTGCGAGGCGATACCTGAGGAGATAGCTGGAATGGGAACAACTCCACCGTCGAGTGATGCCAGTAGTGGACATTCCACGCATCCCGCGCTTCTCTCCTCGTTGTCCTGCCCAGGACCCGAACAGGAGGTGCCTGCTTTCGTGTCCAAAGGTTATAGTAGTACTCAACGACCTACTTTAAACCTGCCGGTTACTGGAAAACCTCCACAGAGCCCAACCCAGACAAGTCCACGCCTACCGCGGCATGCCCTCAATAAAGGGCACGAGATACAGAAGAGTTCTTCGCTCGTCCTGCAGAAACAGAAAGTTAGTATTGGTGGTGTTACCGGCAGCAGCACTTCCAGCATAAAACTAGACGGATTCAACCAGAGTGATCAGAAACGTGATCGCGCCACAACTATTTCAGTGATGCAATCACCGGCCCGCAAAGCACGCTTCGGGGACTCAAGCTCTTCGTCCTCCTCGAACCTAACATCAGCACCCTCCTCTTCCGGAAAGTCTAAGGACATGCCAAAAAGTGGTATCAATCCCGCGTTTGTTTTTCTACAACTATATCATGCGGCGCAGTTTGGAAGCTCCGTAGAGAAGCCCTTATTGATCAACACGAGCGAAGTGGTTGTACAACGCGCGCTGCAAATCCTCGACATAATTCAACCCTACGAAACGCATAAAATTGGTGTTCTCTATGTGGGTCCTGGGCAGTGCAATCGCGAGGCGGATATTTTACGCAATTGCTACGGTTCCCTGCGCTACGTTGACTTCCTGAAACGTCTAGGGACCATGATCAAAGTCCAGGACGTAGACCCGCAGGCGTTTTTCCTCGGGGGCTTGGACCATGATGGCGGGGACGGCAGCTACGCCTACATGTGGCAGGATGATATTATTCGCGTGATCTTTCACGTGGCGACACTCATGCCTAATTCAGAATTCGAGCCGAATTGCAACCATAAAAAGAAGCACATTGGCAACGACTACGTGACGATTGTGTACAACGAAAGTGGCGAGGACTACAATATCAACACCATCAAGGGTCAATTCAATTTTGCGAGCATTATTATTCAGCCGCTGGATCACAACAGTAATAAAGTGACCGTCAAGGCGAAGGATGCCATTGTGGAGTTAATTGGGCAGAGCGAGGCGCGCGTTGTCTCTGATCAGAATGTAGCGCTACTTGCGAGGCAACTCGCTCTACATGCGAACGTAAGTCATTCATCTATCATTTTCCGGTTAATAATGATATTAATATTACTCTGCAGCTGGCGGCGCTTATACAATCCAACTCGATGAAGGAAGCTAGTGAACCATACGCGCCTAACTGGCTGCAACGCCTTCGCCGCATCAAAAACCTCCGCCAGAAGATCCAGCAGGCGTCCCGCGACCCATCCTCCGGCGGCGGGGACTATTCCGCGCGAACGCGCCCTGTGCAAATGGAGGATTTTACCGAATATACCTAAGTGTCTTCTCCTGTCTTGTTTGTTTATGCGTAGAAACCTAATAATATAAATAATACTTCTACACAATTTAAATTATGCTCATACAGTGGTGCTAGTCTAGTCTTAGAACGAGATTAAGTTGTGCTCCTGATCACGTTTGCGTTGTACGTGCTTCCACGCATTGTAGTCGGTCAAGATGGGGCGGCCGTACGCGTTGTGCAGCTCCCAGAATGTCGTCGTCAGCTTAGCGCCGCTCTCAGCATTGCGCTGCGTCTCGTCGATGCGCCCGGTGGACCGCATACTTTGTGATCGTTGATGGTTGGTGCTGTCGATTTTGTTGAACGGGTTGTGCCGTTGTCTGGGTGGTGGCACTGGCGAACCTACAGCTTGTGTCAAAGAACTAGGAGCATCTAGAATACAAAAATCTCATTTTAAAGGCTTTGATTTTGCTTCTTTTTCAATTTACCTTCAATATCAGCCAGCTGCCTCTGCAGTTCAGCTACCATCAGCTTCATGTAATCATAGCCTGCACATGCTAGTGCCTTCATCCATTGCTCCATGGCTTCCTGGGAGTCAGCACCCAGGACATAGCTCCGGTTATTTGTGCCATGGAAGACAATTTTGAAACAGTAGAGCTCATCATCCTCGGCCAATTCTGCAACATTCAGATTGGCATCATTCAATCATCTGTCTGTGTGCTGAGACTGTACCTATGGTGCATCCCTCTAGGATAACGACGCCGATGGGCTCTTTATCACTGCCTTTTTTCTCAAAGTAGAAGAGCAGGTTGCCTTTGAGGAGAAAATATCGTTTCTGAAAGTTCTTGTTCACCTCGCCCTTCTTGAAGAGGTAGCCCTCTTTGTCGACGGGCGTCGCGGACACCGCAAAAGCCGAAAGATTTTTATCGTTTATCCGCATTTTGTTGCTTCAAAACGGGACTCAGAGGACGAACTCTGGGGTTATGTATGTTTATTTACATACATCTAAATCTACATCAATAAATCGGAAGGGAGTCAGATCAGCAAAAATGAAAAAGCACTGCTGGGCGGAGGAAAAACGACGCATACTCGTGAATCTGTGCTTATCATAACATATTAACGATAAATGATTAATAGAACGTTAAGTAGCAACAAATTATATTTAAAAACGGGCATAAAATGACAACTGGCACTGAACCAATCTGAAGCAAGTAGCTAAGAGTGGGGAGTCGGAAGTTTGAAAGTTCAAAAGTTTGGATCAAGTTGGTCGTGGTGTATCGTGGTAACAAGAAAGGCAAATGTTTCCAAACAAGCGATAGTGAAGTCATTTTCGTTTCGGCTCTCGCTGCACACACAGCTCTAAATTTCCGCACCTTTCAATTCTCTAAAAAAATAACTAAGTCATAGCACCATGTATTCCAACTCGAATCAGTGCAACTGTAACGCCTGCAACGCTCGCAGCAAACAGGGTCAAATGGCGGGTAATACCTTCCCAACGCTGATAAACACTCCCAATGGCCACAGCGAGCACCGCTACCTGGATCCCATCAATCCGCTGCCAGGACAGAACCCATGCTCCTGTACCTCGAGCCTTCCCAGGCAGTCCTACTGCAGCGTCGACGGCAGTCCACTCTCCGTGCCGCCATCGCCATGGTCCGGATCCGATTCGCCGCAGTGACTTGTATCTTTATGATTACTAATTGCTTCAAATACAGAGATTCATAAAATAATTGCTGTGTTTTATTACATATTATTTTTGCGAATATGATTTGGCAGGAATTAAAATGATACAGTAAGGAAATGTGGCGAGGCCGGGTTCCCTCCATTTCACTATCTACTGAGTTCGCTCCAGAGCAACTGCGGCGGGGGCCCTACCATTGGCTGCGGTTGTCCGTTGACTATCAGGTACGGTTGGACCAGCGGATACATGATTGAAGATTGAGACGGGTCCAATATTTGTGCGAGTGACGTCTGCATTGGATTGTTCTGCTGCATAAAACCTTGCTGCGGGCATTGCGTTTGATAACCGTATGGAAAACTCGCCTGTTGCTGTTGCAGCGACGGCGATGGCGTCGGAATTTGCTGTAGCAACTGCTGTGGTAATGCCTGCTGTTGCATTTGCTGCAATATTTGTTGCTGCTGCATTTGCGACATTTGCTGCGGCATCTGGTATCCACCATAGTACGATTGACTCGTAGAATACATTATGCCACTCGGTGCGAACGGAAATTTTGATTTTGATTTGCTGACACGATTCGCGCACTACTTGCGTGTCGTCATAGCAGCGATCCGGTATGTCTCCAGGGTGCTCCAAGTGTCCAGCGTCTAGCAGCGCGCAGCTAAAACATGGTAGGCCGTGCGCGGTGCGTTCGCAGCGCGCTCACTCATTTCTGATCAGTTTCAGGCTGCTCGCTGCTCAGTCTGGAAAAGGGTCGCGCGCGCGTGCTGCGCGAAATCTCGACCGCGTGTTCGCGTGAATTGCACATTTCAGCTTTCGAGTGAGTTATGAGTGAGCACGGCCAATATGCGCCACCGCCATCCGAGCCGCATCCGGACGAGATTGACTTTGATCGACTGCACGAACATCCACCCTCAGCAGCAGGTGATAATAACTGGTTGATGCAGGTATGGAAGGACCACTGCCGATCGCAGGATCCGGATCCAGCCGGCGCAACTTCGCCGCTGCCTCCTGAGCGTTTGAAACGCCCGCTTTACCAGCGCGATCATTCCGCTGACGGCATTCGTAATGTTTGGGCGTCAAACATTGAAGAGGAATTCAAAATCATCCGGCAGGTAGGGACAACACGCACTTCAGACTTTTCCGCACTGGTGTATATGTTTTGCTTGTAGATTGTAGCGCGTTATCCCTATATTGCTATGGACACTGAGTTTCCCGGGATTGTAGCGCGGCCTCTTGGCGAATTCAACACTACTTCTGCCTACCAGTACCAGTCCATGAGATGCAATGTGGGGATGTTGCAGCTCATTCAACTGGGGCTTACCTTCCATGATTCTGATGGGGCTATTCCGCCTGGGCCTCACTCCACCTGGCAATTTAATTTCAAATTCAGTCTCACTGATGATATGTATGCTCAGGATAGCATCAATCTCTTGCACAATTCGGGCATACAATTCGAGAAGCACGCGACTGAGGGTATTCGCCCAGACCACTTCGCTGAACTCTTGATGACCTCCGGGGTTGTCCTTATGGACAACGTCGTCTGGCTTTCGTTCCACTCTGGCTATGACTTTGGCTATTTACTCAAACTACTCACCAACATGAACTTGCCCGAGCATGAGGGCGAATTCTTTGAATTGCTGCGTCTCTATTTCCCAAATATCTACGATGTGAAGGTATGCCCATTATGTGATGAAGGTTTTCAGTAAATTGGTATGTTTTTGTTTTAGCACTTGATGGAATCATGTCACTTGACCGGCGGCCTGCAGGATCTCGCTACGCATCTGCAGGTGACTCGCGCCGGCACCCAACACCAGGCTGGATCCGACTCTTTGGTCACTGGTCGTGTGTTCTTCAAGTTGCGCCAGTGGTATTTCAATGGCGTTGTGGACGAGGCAAGATTTGCGGGCCATCTTTATGGCTTGGATGCGCCCACGTAAGCAGGACTGGGACAGGTAAAGGAAAACGAAGAGACAACGTAACTAAAACGCTTATATTATTTTTGCGCTATGCACAATAGGTCATACAATAAATAAAACTAGATTAACTTACAGAAGCCACTCGTGCTTCCCTTCAACGACCTCTAAAAACTCATCATAATAAAGACCAGAATACATTAACGTTTACGTTATTTATATAAATTAGGACAAAACAATGTTGTTCGATATATTTACAAAAAGAAAATTGTTAATTTTTTTTCACACACAACTTACGAAAGAGAGGGACGAGCACGATTAAACTTTCTTGCTCGTGTCGCAGCATCGCACCTTGGGAGAAAAAAAGTTTAATGGCGTTTGGCATATATATCGTCGTCTATGGCCAATTTTTGGGAATACTTAATGAGTACGCAACATTACATTACACAATTTGTTAAATCGATAATTAAGGCACATAAATTTACAACCATCAGTCGTCAGATGATTGCTACAAGGACTCGAAACCAGATATGTCGCTTCCCTGAAAAACCAACCGCAATATTAATGACCCGCAGAAAGAGGAGAGGGAGAGAGGAGGGGGAGAGGAGAAAAAGTGATACCTACCCTATCGGGCTTGTACAGATGGGTGTGTGGAAGCAAGAACGTCGATCCCAAGTCCCTCTCCGCCATCGTGTTGGCTTCCTGTCAACAAACAGCAACCAACATCAGATCAGTGACGCATAACCTTTTAAACATGTGGTACGTACGTCGTGGTTCTGTTGCGACGATTTGGTGTCGTAGTCGTGTTTAAATGACTTCATTGGCACGTGGATGGTGGTTTCGTCGTAGGAGCGTGATTCGGAAATCGTTCTGGAAATGGTAACACCGTAATTTTTGACTAGGTACGTTCACTATTTGTATGTACACTTACTGAATTCGCGGCGTAATATCCAGCCAGTTTTCTACGACGTCGTCGTCTGTGTCGGCCGTGTCCGCAATGGACTTACCGAACGTGTTGAATTGCGAACGGGTGCCGGTGCTGGAACGCTGGTCCGCACTAATCTTCTGAATCAACGTTGCGTTCTCACTGCGGTCCGCCTCGGTTCCGCACGTGGTGGCAATAGTTGCCAAGGTGCCCATGCTGTTCACGCCAACTGTGGCCGAAACTTCAAAGCCGGCTGAAACCAGCGCGCCCGAAGTTTTCCGTGAGCATAATTCTTCTCGGTAGCAGATATCGCTGTTCTTGCTGGCCATACTGGTCTTCCGCTGGTCCGCCTTGTTGGGCGATGGTCCAGCATCGAGATAACTCAGTAATTTGGCCTCGTTGCTGCTAGCGGCTGAGTGTTTGCGTTTATCGAACGTCGTGAGGTTGCTGCTACTTCCGACGTACTGTGATGTATTCGGGGCTGGGTGGTACTTAGCCCTAGGTATCATTACAGTTAGCGAGCGGTCTTTTTGATCGGCGTAGGCGACAATGGCGGCCTCGCGCTCATCCTTCGAGCGACTTGCGTTTCCACCTTTTACCGGCGGTGCTTTTTTGTTTGCTTTCTTCACAACATACGGTAATGTGTCCGAACCCGACTCGGAGCTTGTGTCGTGGATCATCGCTCTGCGATCGATGGTACCTCGTCGCGGTTGTGGGAGAAACGCCATACTACTGCCGGGTGCTGCATACTGCGGCTTCTTCCGGGAGCATGTTACGATGATACAAATGAGCAGGAGTGTGAATAAGACAGCGCCCAATGTGACCAAGCCAATGAGCAGGACCTTTAAGTTAACCTGACAATTCTCACCCGCGTACCATTGGAAGCATTCGCATAGTATCATTTCGTCGTTGCGAGTGTAACAGGTACCATGATAGTGGCACTTGGCGCAACCAATCAGTTCAGCGGAGCAAATCCGGCCTGGATAGAGGATATTCGCGGACAGATCAGCGTAGTCTTCCTTGCAGCTGCAGGTGTACGTGCCACGCAGGTTAAAGCACTGTGCAAATTCGGAGCAGTCGTGATACTGCGCATCGGAGCATTCGTTGAAGTCGGCTGCGTCCAAGTTTTCTAGAACCCCACGCGATGCGTAGAGTTCCGTACCTCCCAAGCTGAAATTGTTGTTGCGCAAGTATTTTTTGAATACATCTTTCAGTCGCGTCTCGTCTGTGTTGTCCGACAGCTGTAGGTTAAACGTGTTGTAAACCCCTGGCGCCTCCTCTTCAATCGGCTCAAACGATTGAACTGCGACGCCATGATAGATGTCCCGTAGGTCCGATTGCATCAACAGGCGGTCGAGACCATCGTGCGTCACTCGCGCCAGCTTTGTAAATATGGGCGTGGTTTCGTTTGCTAGGGACTCGTTATAGCTAAGGCGGTTGTGACCATGTCTTTCCAATCCAATCTTCAAGGTGTAAGTGTAGGTGGCTGTAATTTACGTACAATAATTGATTAATAATAAACACATTATATTCTAACTTACGTTTGCATGGTCTGTCTGGGAACATTCGTGCGAAACCGGGACGGCATAAGCATCTCATCAATCCGTCGACGCGCTGGCACAACTCGTTCCGAGATGGTTTGCACTCCGGCGCGCACTTGTCCGGTAAGATTTCCAAACTGGGCGGAGGCTGAATCAGTATCCCCCCGAGTAGCACCCGATTGACTTCGTTGGTACTGATCATTTCGTCGCGTTGTTGGGTCTCGCGGCTGCTGTCCTCTTGTTGTTTAGGAATTTTAATAACGCTGCCTTGATTCTTATCATTCATTACGACGTAGAATGTGTCGCCATTCTGTTGCTCTCGATCACTGACGTTCTCGGAATTTTGCTTGTTATTAACGTGCAAGTCACCTTCGACTACATCGTGATGGTCGTCAATGATGAAATCCTCCAGTCCATCGTGCAATGTGTCCGTGTTTGAGCCGTCGATCACAATTGTTGGTTCAATCTCACTTGAGTGTACAAGTGTTGGCATGATAGGATATTCTTCCTCTTGGTAGGCGCCTCCGTCCAAAATATCTGTTGTGAACAGGACCGTTGTAGGGCTCACGGTTACAGTGGACGCAATAGTAGTGGGCTTAACCAACGTATGCACCTCTGTGACCGTATCGACAATGGTTAGTTTTTCTGTCTTCGTGAGCAAAATGGTCATCGTGGACGAGAGACCATCTTGAGAGTTGACGATTGTGGTTTTTGTAATGGTCACCGTGGAGGTCTTGGTGTGTGTCACATATCGAGTTGGTAGCGTGATGGTTGTGGTGGCGTTTCGATAGAGCGGTCGCTTGAAGATGGAAGTAACAATGCGGCGGCGATGCGTAGACGAAGTGGGATCGATTATCTTCACCTCGTTGCCAGCGTGATGCGTCTGATGTGGTGTTAGAGGTGTGGCAAATGGTCTCGTGAATTCCAATTCAACGCTTTCAACAGTACCGGTGGGAAGAGGTGGCGTGTGATCTTGAACTTCTACGTCTACTGGAATGCCAGTTTCCTGAGATTCTAAATCGTTAGTATGTGACTCCGTTATGATTTCTGGAGTTGATGCCAATGCGGACACTGTCGTGCTTCCTGTTTCGCGTAAATCATCCTCATATTTAGAGGTGTTCCTTGTGACATTGTTAGACCAAACTTTTGGTGCACCCTCAGTTGTTGGTACGGTTGTGGGTCTGCGTTGTCTGTTGATATCAAAGTAGTGGATTCTATTTGGAGCGTGATAGGAAGAACCCGCCGCAGCAATCGAATTTCCAGCAGACGTGGTGGTCTCACGTGTTGCTTCGATTTGTCCGTGATAAGTTTGATAGCTCTGAGAATTTTTGGTACTCGTACCGGCCTGTCTGCTGGGTACAGTAGTCTTTCTGTATATTGGACGTCGTGTGCTGGGTCTTCGTGACCGCTGCGCTGGAGTGGTTGGTGGCAACTCAAATAAATAAGTTGGCGACTTACTGGTTCCCGGGTTGATGGAGACCTGTGGTACATCTATCTCCATCGAATAAATTGGTTTGTTAATGGGTGGGGGCGGCACAAAAGTGGCATTTTGATACTGAATTACCGCCGGCGTTGGGACAACCGTTGTGTTTACTTGCGCGATAGTAAAACCTGGCAGCGGCGCTGGTTGTTGCATTGGTGGTGGATTCATGCCCATCACAATTTCGTTTGTCGGCGGCGCTTGGGTTGACTGTTTCGTGGAAGTCGGAAGTGTTGACGGAATTCGTACAACGGGTATCTTCGGTGGATTTAACGTAACATCAGGTGTTTTAGCAGGCGCCTGCAAGCCCACAATAGGTTCTTCAGGGGGCGCTTTCATAATTTCAATGGTCAGCGGTTTATTCACTCTTGTTACATTGGCCACCCCATGAACAAAAGTATGCTGTGTCTGCTGATTGTGTGTCTGCTGATTGAAATTAGAGTTTATCTTTTGGATTTCTCCGATGTTCAGTTGCAGACTGTTCTGATGATTGATCGCTGGCCTTGGCGACGAAGTGGTTGCTGTCACGGTAGTGGATGTGGAAATGGTGGTAGTCCTGCGACGATGCGGGATGTCGTGCGAATCGAAAACGAATAAGCCGGCTAACTTTGCATCTGAATTGGACTTTTTGTATGGTTCTTCGGTTTGAGACGTGGGACCGTGCGTGTGTGCGTTCGGATGGAACGTGTTCGTATATCGCTGATTAATTCGGTTCAAGTACTCATTTCTTGCAGTCGACGACGATACATATATAGGACCCTGATGTGGGTTAATAGGTGGTCGTTGCTGAGGTCGTTCTGCTTTTTGATGGGGGACAATAGGTCGATTGTTGCCGAAGACATTGGCGTAGATGTTTGGGCTTCCCGATTGAACTATCACATTTGACTCTTGGTGGTTTATTTGATTGGACTGTTGATTTTCGGGGCGCACGATTGGATTGTCAAAAGGTCGCGGCTGTTTTATATGCGGCCGGTATGCGAGAATTTCGTTCTCGTACGGGATGTGATTATAGTGATTGTTAGAAGGCGGATCCGATGTGCTATTCTTATTAAATTCGAATGGTAATTGATCGGGCGTAAGCGGGCGACTGTTTGATTCTTGAATAACTTCACCTGCGTCGCTGATGTAGTCTTCGGCGCTCTCAGGTTCAATTTGATTGATTTGTGACAGATCTTTGAATGACTCACTCTGCGATGGGTGTGGCGGTGGTGGACTAATATAATCTGGTAGTGGCAATGCAGGACGTCGGCCATGTTCTACGCTAACTGGCCTGTGCCCCGATGCAGGTCGATTTGAATATGGCGGCCGGGCGGGAACGCGAAAATCGTTATATGAAATACTTGGGTGCTGGTTAAAGATCTGCGGGGGTTCCTGCACGGGTTTGTGTTGCAGAATTACATTGGGCCGCTGATTTTGAATTGGCCTGACATTATGCTCATTTGGAGGCCCATGGGGTCGCAGATGATCCATGGGGCGTTGTGGCTCGGTAGGTCTATGATGACCATGATATTTTGGGAAATATTCTTGCAGGTTCTGATGGTCTCCGCCATATGGTCGGGGAGACGTCCTTGTTATCTCGATTGGCCTTGGCTTGTATTTACTGGCGGCTGTGTGTTCAATTGGATGTAACTCAACCTGCGAACCATAGGTGTTACCACTATCTGGTTTGTAAGATTCCTGTGGTCTAACAGGTTTGCGTTCAGGCGCATGAACACTTCCTACGTGCTTAATGACATGCGCGTTGAATTCGTTACCTTGCTGCATCATGCCGAATGAAATTGGCGGTACGTTAACGTTTATATCGTGATGATTAACATGCGAGTCAACATGCACGCCATTGACATAGTCTAAATTTGGCTTTGATGGTCTAATATCGACCTGACGGAAGTCTAACGGAATTGAGTGTGGTTTGATGTTAATGGCGTGCGGCCCTACTTTGATGACACCTGCTACCTCTTTTTGGTTTGACTGACCATCGTAGGCAGAGGCAATCTTCGGCACGCCGTTGCTGAAACTTTCAATAGCGGAGAATTCCGGCTCTGGATATGGTGACGGGTCGTCGAAATATTGTCCATTAATGTGGGGCTCGGTGGAACCGCCGTAAATCAACGCAGTGGTGCGATTGTGTGGGATGTTCACAAAGGCAACTTGGGATGGCTGAATATTAACCAAAAGTGGTTGGCCAGTGGAACGTTCAATCACCTCTGGCAACACGATGTGTTCATTGTGCGAAGACTGCAAAGTTAGATGAGACATGCCTCCGATTGGAGAAGCCACTATCAGACCATCTTCGGTGTAACGACTGTCATCATCTTGGAAGTGCATCTCCAGCCGCTGCTTGGGCGGGTTCGTATACAAATAGAATTGCTCGTTGATGGGAATGGTTATCTGTTCACGACCGGCCTCATGTTTATTTAGTCGCACGGCATTTTGCGCACGCACGGGAATCTTCTGTACTGGTGGCGGCGGCCCCACATAATCGTTCTTGTTTGGCACATGAATGATTGGGTGGTTTGCGGCGGCATTTTGTTGATCGCTCTGTCGTTTGGGCCATATTTTGGCGGGCATTGGCGGGGGCTTCATGCCCTCGACGTCTTGGGGCAAGGCGGTGGCTAAATCAGGATGGTTTAATGGTATGGCTGGGATACGGGGCCCCACCCTACCTGGTTTGCCCACGATCACGTCAGAATTGGCAGTGATCACCTCTCCTGGACTAATTGGTATGCCTCCGTTTAGGAGCGGGCTCTCGTGTGTTGGTTTACTGGCAATTTCTATTTTCTGTTCCTCCCAGTGATTTAACGCTGGAAAATTTTGGCTCTCTGCTGTTTCGATATCGGCTAGACCTCCTACAGGAATATAGATCGGCGACCGGTTCTGCACGTCGTTAGCAGCTTCGGGTTCAGCCAAGGTAGGCTTCAGAATGGTTGCGGAATCGTTTGTCTTGCTTTTCAAGTTGTTCTGAATCAAACCGGCCATTGCGTTAAGTACCGGCCTTAGTGCCTGGATATTAATGGATCCAAGAAGGTTTGAAACCGGTGAGGCGGTCGGCGCGGGCTTTGCCACTTTCGTCGGCTTTTTGGCCTGCTCCTTTTCGGTTCCCGGTTGCTTGTCTAGCACAGACAAATGTTCACGAGTACTGCTACTCTGTGCATGCACAGTAGGCTTTGTCGCATGGAGCGTGGTTTTTCTCTTCGAATTGCTCTTGCGCTTAGAGGTCAAGCTTGCGGTGGATTTTTTAACGATTTCTGAACTCAGCAGAGAGCTCAACGCGTTTTTTGACGACGTCTTGCTTGCATAACTTAGAGAGGGTGTGCTTCTTCTAGTCGTTGCTTGCGCAAACGGATCGTCAAATTCGTCTACAAATATGATGGTCGAGCCGGTTACCACGTTCGGATTGGAACTTTCGATGATGGGCGGCACAGGCGAAACATCCGGCATCTGTGTCTTCTCGATGAGTGGCAGGACCTTCGACGGCTTAATTTTATCTTTGTTGCGAGTGCCGACGGTGATTTCAATTTTCTGGCCGTCGCTAAGCGTCGCGTTTTTCGTAACGGTGCTGCCACCACCTTCTTTGATCTCCTTCTTAAGTGAATGCAAATACTTTTTGTCCAAAAGTGATGGCTCAATTATTTCGGTGACGATATTTTCGACTACTTTTGAGTGCGAACTGATAATCGTGGAAGTGTCGCCTCCACCTTCCTGAAGCAATGTCGTGAAATACGTGAATGTTGTGAGGTATGTTTTTGTTGCTACGATGTTCAGCTCGGCTAGATCGGATTCTAACTTGTTATTTTTCTTCTTCCCACTGCCGTCTTTGTTTATAGGTGCCGTGTTAATAATACTAGGTTTGTTACCCTTTTTCTTCGGATGAAGGAATAGTTTCTCGGTGACCACGTCCTTCGACGTGGAAACGTTGGTGTTGACTACAGTCGCTGTGCCATGCATCAACGTGTTGTAGTAGGTGTACGTTACGAAGTAAGTTTTCACGACGTCCGTGGTGGTGTATTCATTTGTTTTTTCGTCGTTTTCGTCAAAATCCAGTGCAATGTAGGAAGTCATGACGGATGTTCCTTTCGGTGGAATGGATTCCGTAATTACAACCTGTGTGACCACTTCATTGGTGCGAATCACTTTGGACACTGAGCCCTCGTAGAGTGTTTTTTCCAGAGCAATTGTACTAAAATACGTGTTTGTATCTTTGACAGCAGATGCCTTGTCGCTGGGCTGGAAGAGCGAGAGATAATCATCGGGGGCGGTGACCGTGTTAGAGACGACCCGCTTCGAGGTGACAACCAGTGGCTGCTCGCCGTCCAGAATTGTATTCAGGTAAGTGTATGTTGTGACAAACGTGCCCACTGCTAGATTTGGATACTGAAAAGGGCATTTATTAATGGTAGTAGGAACCAATTGGGTGGATAGGGTCGTACCTGTGTGAGTGTGATGCCCATCGCAGGCGTTGGTAGTATCTTGCCGGTGTTACCGGAGTTGCGCTCCTCGGTGGCAACGTTAGAGACAACCTGCTCGTGACTAGACACAGCAGTGGTACCGTTCTCCAGATAAGTCGTGAGGTATGTGAATGTGGTGAGGCAAGTCTTGGTTACGAACTGATTTGGATGCAACGACGATGATAAGCTCTCGATCTGGAAACGAGATTGAATTGGACCGTTCATTGACCATCGCTAAACACAGACAAATAGGCATCACCTTTGAAGCTTCTTGGGGTAATATCATCATCATATTATTGGTGAGCGTGCTTGGTTTGAGCGTTACGGGCTTGTATATCGAGCTAGGCAGTACTCGTTTTACGTCCGGTTCACCCGGTAGCGTGGTTTTGTCACCTGCTACGATCACCTCGACGCCATTGGACATGACGCGAGTCGCCAAATTATATCGGGCTTCCTCCATTGCTCTTGCAGCTACTTGATCATGAACACAGGAAGACAAGCATGATAAAACATATTGATCGACGGTTGAGCGTTAGTGCGACTATGATAATATGACTCCTAAATATGATTCTATTTACAATTTTTTACATAATGTACATCTGTACACAAAACTACTTTCATTATTTTCAGGATGAAAACACGATTTAATTATAACAAGATTGATCAAAATATGAACAAATAATATACAAAAGAATTTGTCCACACAAATGTGGAACTCACCTGGGTTAGACTCAAGTTGTGGGGATGCCGTCGGGGATGGGTTTAGTTGAGTCATTGGTATAAAAGGTAACAGCAATTCGGTCGCGTCCAAGTCCAAGAGCGTCAGTGTGGTGTACCTAGTCGTCGTGTCTGTTACAGTCAACGTCTTGGTGTGCGGTTTCACTTCGACCGCGGAAGTGACGATTTGCTCGTCTCCATTCACGCGAGTGACAACGAACGTGTACGTGCGCAACTTACTGGACAGGGTGGTCGTCGTATGGGTTTCAATTGTGGACAAAACTGTCGTCTTAAGGAGTAAAATGGGAGCGTGCAGTGATTCTGACAACTCAGGGAAGAAGGGTTCGTAATCGGGCAAGGGCTGGCTGGTGACTTCGTCGTATGTTTCAATTGCTTCTTCGCGATCATCGTCCACCGTTTTCTCTAACTCAGACGTATCAGAGATATCCTCTGAGAAATTTTCAGTCGTCGATATTTCGGGATCAACGGTCGATGAAGTTACATCCTCATCGTTTTCCGCGCTCGCCATTATTGGTGTGTCTGTCTTAAGAAGATGTTTGATGGTTTTCACCCGATACAGACGTGTGGGCTTCACAGGCTCCGCCTGCGCTGTAGTGGTAGGCTTCACGCGTCGTTTTTTGGTGACCACGACTCGGTTTCGAGTGGTGTTAGCGGGTTTTCGTTTTTTCTTTATCACTCGTTTCCGGTGATAATTTTTCGGAATGTCCTCCGTTTCCGGCGTTGACTTCAAGTCAATTGAGGATGGGGCCCCAAGGTATTCGTCGTTGATATCGATGGGCATTCCCAAATTTAATTTCGCATAATCGTTGGGATTGAAATAGTTGGTACTTTGGATATCGATGCTTTGATTATAAATAGGTTCTATTCTAATTAACTTCTTAACGAACTTCCGTGTTGTCCATGGGTTAGTGTTAATATTTGTCTGTCTCTTATTCCTACTTAATTTTAAATCCAATGCTATATTTTTGCTTGATTCATTTTTATAATGTTTCATGATAGATTGATGGTTTGCTAAAGATGTATTAAAAATTTTGGTACGCCAATTTTCATTGCCCCGTTGAATAAAAATTGCAGACGTCTTCGGTTTGACCTTTGGCATGAGCGGGGCATACCCATCAAGGTCTACAATGCTAAAAAATTACCGTGCAATTGATCGCCGCCCACCTTCACGTACTTCTGTTTGTATTTCTTGGAGACCATACTGCCAGGCTTTGTCGGTTTAATCCGTTCTGGAGTATCGCTGACCATTTGCTTGCTGACGTCCCCGAGGATACTCTCTAAACTTTCTGTGGGTGCGTAAGTATGGGTAGGCTCTGAGTGATCCAGAACCACGTCGTCCATCGCTGGCATTACGTATGTGTCCACGTATTCCAATGTGCTGATCACCAGATCGTCTAAAATTTTTGAGGGCTGCACTGGCACGTATGTGGCTTCGCGTTTCTTTTTATTATCCTCGCCGACCACCACGGTGGAGAGCACAGTACTGAACTCTCCAGGGGTACGGCCTGAGACGTACAAGGTGATGACGCTAGTTTCGGGCGCGGGGGGTTTCTTAGGCTTCGTTAGTTTGTTAGCACGCGACGGTTTTCGAGGCGCTTCTGTCACGTCATCGACGTTTTGATAATCTTCATTAATGTCGCCTTCTTCATCTAACGCTAAATTATGCTTTGTTTGCTCGGACTCTTGGAACAACGCTTTTTTGAACAGATCTTCGTTGGAATTGGCATTGATGACACCCGCTGGGTTTTGTTGTTGGAAGAGCGGGCTGATTTGCTGCTGCTGCTGTTGTTGTTGTTGCTGTAACAGTAATGGTACCAGCAAACTATTCAGTTGCTGATTCTGTTGCAATACCGGCGTAGGTGTTACTACAACGGTGTCCGTAATGAATTCCGTGGCTGTGACCACATTTGTACTGCTGTCAATGATGGTAGTCAGAATTTCCTTGCCGCGGAAGGTGAGCGGGATCACAGTAGATGTTTCTGAGGTTACGGTTGTGACATACGTTGTGGTGCGTGTTTTGAATTCAGTGGTCGGTGAGCCGGCGACCGCACCAGGTTGTTGGAGGCCAAGCAGAGGGTTAGCTTGTTGCTGTCCGAGCAGTAATTGCGATAGGAGAATGTTGGCTAAAGGTGCCTGGGGCAAGGCAGGTGTCAAGGTGTTCACAATTGGGTCGACGATATAAACCGTGCTTGGAATTACATGACTGAATGAAGTCTTTCTGCCGCGAATATACGTAGGGGTAAAGATGACAGTTGTGGTTGGACTTTCATTAAGCGTAAACTTGGTAACTTGCTGGGCGCCGTTTGCGGCGAAGCCAGTCGATTCACTCAAGAGTATCGTGACATCCTTGCCGAAAGGATTGATGGTTGTTGAATACTGTTTGGGGCTTAACACCTCTGTGCTCAACTTTGCAGTGACAATGTTTTTGTATTCGGTAATTTTTCCATTCACCACGGGAATGGTGACCTCGGTAGGAATTTGATGCGTAACTGTAATGGTGCCGTCCGCACCAGGAAGCACGTAGTTGCTGTCGATGTCTGTCACCTTCCCACGAGTGGATCCACGGCGCCTGGACGAGCTTTTCCTAGATTTGTTACTGTTGCTGTTGGTTGTCCTTTCAGTGTTGGAATTTCGCAGCAACGACGATTGCCGCGAGGACGGTCGCGATGTAGGTTTACGCAGATTTGAACTGACCGTAGAGGGACGGCGGAAATTACTGGAGCGCGAGTTGCTCGTATCTCTCAGCGTAAATTGACTTCTTGTACTGGGCTTGGAAGGGATGATGCGGGGTGCGGGCGTCGTCCTGCTGCGACTATTGTAGCCGGTATAGCGGCTACGAGAACGTGGTGGTTCAGTTTCAGGTTCAACTTCTACGGGTGCAGGTGTAGTGCGACTTGTAGGTCGCCGGAAACGTGAAAAGTTGGTTTGACGTTTGGAGCGCTTGCGAGTAAACGGTTTAATCAACACTGAGTTCGCGCGAGACTTGCGTTCGTTGACTGGGGAAGGCACTTTCTCAGTTTGAGTGTTCGTGTCAGTTCCTTCAAATTCAGTGTCCTCGTTGCCGTTGTTCTCTGTCTCGTCGGCCAAATCTTCCTGTTCCTCATCTTCTTCTGGGCCAGGTTCTGCAGTAGTGGTTGTAGTAAATAGATTTCTTCTTGGGAAAAGGGAGTTTGCTGGTCGTGCCCTTGATGAAATGGCAATATTCCTTGAAGGAGTTCTAGTTGTTTTTGGTTGTTGTGTCGTAGTTACTCTTCCGCTTCTGCCGCTCGAGGTACGACCGACCGCTGAGTTTCCTACGGCCTTGGTTGTCGTCGAACGAGGAGCTGATGTTGGACGGGATAATGGCGGCCTGCGGAATCGAAGTAAAGGATTTGCATTTCGCCTGGTGGATGTTGTCTCTAACGCAGCGGTGGTAGTTTCATTTTCGTCCACGTTGCTTGGGTCGTCTGTTACCTGAGTTGTTAAGTCGTTCTCCTCATCCGAAGCTGTCGATGGTAAAGTTACCGAGTTGGCATTTCGATTTGCGTTGAACACCGACGTTGGACGAACGCGGGAAAAGCGATTGTTGGCGTTGAATGAAGAGGATGGCCGAATCGGGGCGGACGAAATGGCCGACGAGCGGAAACCTCCCGTTCTTCTTGTGCTTGAGCCAAAGACTGAAGCGGTTGGTTGAATTCGGGCTGAGCTGCGGCCCCTGTTTGGAGAAAATGTAGAAGAGAGTCCGCCTGACGCAACCGCACTCGAGCTGCGAGGACGCGTAAATCGTCGACTGCCCGATGCGGATGGTACAATACTAGATAGGGAACTGCTCTTTCTTCCCCCACCGAAACGACTGCCTGATTTGGTTGCGGGGATAGCGGTCACGGTTGGGGTAAAGTCACTTCGTGTGATTGTTGTAGCACTCCCGGCTTTGCTGCCCTTTCTCTTAGGAGCAAACGTTGGCTTAGCTCGCGACGCAAACGGGCGAATTACTGGCGTGAATGTCCTTTTCCTTGATTGGAACGTGAGTCTTGACTTGACGCGCCCCTCCGAATCCTCTGTGCTGTTTTCATCGTCGTCGGGATTCTCCGTGCTGTCGTCCACATCGCTGGAGTCACTGATAGAGCCTTCAATAACCACTGGTGACGGTGAAATGGTTGCCGATGGAGTCACCTGGACGCTCTGGGTCGCAGTCGGCGAAATTGTGGGAGCGATGATGAAACTAGATGTGCTCTCTATTATTTGGGCATACCTGCCATCGATCACCGTGCCTAGGACCTTGCTCTGATAGACTGTGGTGGTATGTGAGTGGACAATTGAGCCCTCAATTAATCGCACTAAACCTGTCCGATGAGCAGGTGGTTGTTCAGTTAGTATTGCTTTTTTCTCATCATCTACCTTAAAGCTGCTCGTGCTTTCGATTACCTGCGCATACAGATTATCAATATATGTTCCAACAGCCTTCGTTGTATAGAAGAGCGTACTAATGCCATCAGCGTCAACAATTTGTCCTTGGTTGATTGAAACGACGCCCGTCGGTTTTAATTTCTCTTCCACACTAGCAGCACTACTAGTCGATGTTGAAGACAAAGCGGGCGATGAAACTGTGGCATCTGCATCTTCCTCAATCCGGGATGGGGCAATTATGGAGGTACTTTCGAGGACTTTAGCATAAAGTCCATCTATGTATGTGCCATATACGTCCGTTGAAAGAACCGTTTGTGTGCCAGAATTATCAACCGTTGATCTAATGGTGGACAGAAGTCCAGTGGGCTTTACTTCTTGGTTTGTATCTTTACCGGAGTCGAGGGTATTGAGGATTCCTTGCCCAATGGCGCGGCCGATAGCGTTGTCTAGTTCAGCTGTTTTGTTCACAACATTGGTAACAGTCTCCAACCGGCTGTTCAAAATTGTAGCATTGCCGACATAGGACGTTGTGTAGTAGGTGTATGTTGTGTAGTATGTTGTTTGATCATCGTCACCATTCAGTTCTTTGGTTGGCTTAACCGCCGCCTCTATCTTCTCGCTTGAATCTAAGGGAATAATGGGATTCACGCTCTCCATAGATGCAATTTTGGTCGTTTCCACGTCAACTGGAGCTAGCACGCTGGTCGCTTGTATTTCGGATACTGTTGTAGGCATAACGTTTTCTCCGGGCGTGGGCGTGACCACATTCGAGACAGTCTCCTCTCGGCTCGTGACTTTAGTCGTGCCTTCCTTGTACAAAGTGGTCCAATAGGTGAACGTTGTGAAATATGTGATTGGCAGGCTCAGGTCCTCGACACTCAGTGTATGGGTGGGTGTCAGCGTTTCGGTGACCACGTTGGTGATGGTTTCAAGGCGACTCACAATATTGCTCGATGTTGTTCCTTGGTACATTGTGGTAAAGTATGTAAAGGTGGTATAGCTCGTTTGAAGCAAAAGTGTTGGTGAAGGAATAATTTCTGATTCGTTGTTTGATTCGCTAACAATTTGATCGTCCAGAAGCACGTTGCGTTTATCGCTGTCGAGGATCCGCTTTTCTCCCTGAGAGGTAGAGCTACGTACGTCAGTTACCATCGTCGAGATAGTCTCGTAGTCGGAAAGATCGAGCAAATCGTTTTCTGCTGATGATTGCGATTTACTATCGCTGGCGAGAGCTGACGTAGACAAGATATCGTTTTCGATGTTGTTGTCGATAGACTTATGCCGATTGATAGTACTATTATAGTTTCCTGTCTTTCCCAAATTTAAATTTGTTATTTTACTCTTCATCTCTTCTTGGTCCAAGACTACCGTTGGGGTGGCCGTTATTTCTTCCGGCGATGTTGTAGGAGTCACGTAATTGGTGTATACTTCAGTGCGGCTAGAAATTTCCGTTTCGCCGTCAACGAAAATTGTCGTAAAGTATGTATAAGTGGTGTAATAGGTCTTAATTGCATTTACAGTATTTAGGACATTTTTATCAGACAATGCTGGCGTCGCTTTGGAGGATTCAGATAAGACCGCATCCAATTCTTCAGGATTCGGTGAAGTGACACCATCCGGTAATGCCGTTGGTCGGCCGATTCCCACACCACTGGGTGCAATTTCAGCAAAGTCCTCAAAAGTGACGGGCTTTGATTTAAAATTACTATTAATCAAGCTAGCGATTGGATCTTCCGAAGCTGGTGAGAATGAGTCTATGGTCGATGTGATAACATTGGTAACGACAGTTTTGCGACTTGCGACAGACGAAGATGATTCCTGGAAGTACGTCGTTAAATAAGTATATGTCGTGTACAACGTTTTGAATAGCAGTTCAATTTCTTCGCCGTTTTCTGTAGTCATTTCGGTGGTTTCTGGCTCCGATTCGGTGACATGACGCCGCTCCGTTGTTATCTCATTAGGAGAACTCTCTGTGGTTGTTGTCTCCAAACCATTCTCATTTTCTTCTTCCGGGACTGCTGTGGTGGTCGCTGGGGCCTCGGTGGTAGTAGATTCGGACTCTGGCGCTTCAGTGATTTGTTCGGTTGCGATCTCGCTGGATTCCGTGGTGGTGGTTATCTCACTACTTGAAAGGACATTCTCAATGGTAGAGGTAGCGCTAATGCAAGCCCGCGTTTCTTTTTTGACTTCGGTGCTTACAACTTGATTCGATTTGATCGATGTGGAAGTTTCACTATTCTCTCCGGGAATAAAGAAGGTTGTCAAATACGTTAATGTCTTATAGGAAGTTGTTGGAACAATCATGAGACCGTCCTTGCATTCCTGCGAATCGTTTGCAGATTCATCTTCATTTTCTTTGCTCAATGTGGTCGTTTCTGGTGGTGCCTCCGTGGTTATTGCTTCTTGCTCGATTGTAGTTTGCGCAATTTCATTTGTAGTTATTTCTGCCTTAAAGGTTGTGGTAGGCACATTTTCGGTTGTTTGCTTTTCCAATGATTCCTCTACATCCTCGGTGGATGTTTCTTCTTGAGATGTTTCTTTCGGAATTGGAATTACTCTGGGGGTAGTCGTGAGTACAGCAGTATTTTGAATGGCCGCAGTGTTTTCGGTATACTCGTCGTCATCAAAAAATATTGTTGTAGCTCCGCCCAATGGTTTCGCTGAAGTAGACATGGTTGCATCATCAATGAAAATTGTTGACGGCGTATTCAGAGGTTCAGTAGCTTCCTGGGCAGCTTTTGCTTGAAGTGACGCGAAAATTTTAGCTATATCCTCATCAGAGGGAGTGGACAACATTGGAATCTGTGATTCTGAAGGTTCAATAGTTTCAGACGAAAATATAATTGTGCTGCCACTAGTAGTTTTGATCTCAGGCAAGGTGGGAGTTTTAGCTGTTTCATCAGGAAGCTGTTGCTTTGGCATGCGTCCATTAGGCGTAGTGTCCACCACCATAGTAGCGAGACTTTTCTCCATTGTCAACTTGTGCCCTTCTACAGTTTCGGTGACCACGCCCGGCTCATGGTTAAGGAAGGTTTTAACTCGTGTAGCGATCGGCGGCTCATGCAATGTTGATGTGGGCCGAATCATTTGTGTCGTTGGTTTTGACGGTTCGGAGGTTTGTGGCGTGAAAACGATGACAGTATCCCCAACCGTGGTTGTGAAATCGGCAAAACCTGTGTAAGTCACAGTCTTCAAGTCTTGCTTGTTGGGAATGCCTCCCTTGAAGAGCAACTTGGCTCGGCGTTCGGCGGCCGTTGTCTGTTTGCTTCGCTCAGTATTAACGTCAAAATCAGGCAGGTCGCCAAGGAAGGAGAAGCCGCTTGGAGAGAATTCATTGCGGACGGTGAACGTGGGCAAATTGTCCCACTCGCGTACCTTTGAAGGGCCCAGTTCATCTTTACGAATGACATCGTTCTCGTCGCTGTCTAACACCAAGCGTTGTGCTTGATGTGGTTGATGCAAGTCGATGTGACGATGCTGCGCATTAATTTGGATTACCTTCACGTTGTTGTTGCCGCCGCTACCACTGCTTACGCTAAAAGTGCGACTCTCCTTTTGTGCCTCTTCGAATGGCACTCGCGGATTGTTAGACGGCTCCTGCAGCAGCTCTTCATCACTAAGCTCCTTGGATTCAGTTTTGATGGCATTAAGCGGGGCCGAAGTAGGAAACACTACAAAAGGACTATCAACTTGGTTGGGCGATATATAGTCTGTGTTTTTGACGAAGTTGCCCTTGCCGACTAAGTGCTGGTCAAAGTGCCATTTGTTAGGAGAGGAGTTTGGTTCGAAATTTGGCGAACGCGATTGCGCGTCATTGTCATAGAGCACGCGCGAGTTCTTGGTCAGAAGGTGCGCGTACAGGCGTCCGTTGTCCAGCGTGGTGCCGACCACCTGAGTGGCGTACTCAGTGGTGACGCCCTCCTGGATGAACGTGCGGGCCGTGGAGGTCAGCACGCCGACGTCCGGCTTTACGTTGAGGAAACGCCCGAACTGCGAACGACCGTGACTGTCCACCAGCAAAACGGTCGTCACATCTACGAGTTGCCGGGGTTTTGGAGTTGTGTGGATGTTTCAATAAGTAGTAGAGTGGTAGAAGAAGACGTCGAAGAAGTGACGTGTACATACAATGAGTGTCAAAACAAACAAGTGTCAGTAATTATTGCTACAGTAGAATTATAAATCGTACGAGTTTAGTATTGCACCACAACCCATGCCCATATTAATACCACCACCAATAATTTCAATGACTGTGTAACTTATGATCCTAGTAGTTCGCGACCTAAGAAGATCTAACAAATTGTAGGCCCGCACCCATTATAAACATGTATATATATATATATATATATATAGTATTAAAAGCTGAAAGAAATGTTCATCAACGTTGCGATCGTTAACAATTACTAATTTACATATTGCAAGTGGTTCTCGGAGAATTTCTTATGAAGCTAAAATTAGTCTTTACAACTACACAACTACACAACTATTCATATTGCCGGTTTGGCCTTGACATTTTCTGCATTTCTACAATTTGCAGACAAAAACAACCTATTAGATCATTGAAATGCATCCACTACTTAGATGCTAAACGCGGCATATTAAGTCATTGAGCAAGCATAGAATGTAGAATGTAAGATAGGGTCCCTGGTTGAATTTGTTGCAAAGTAACGCGTCCTACCTTGTCTGTCCTGTCGCCTTCGTCTGGGTGAGGAGTTTATTTCTTCGCCTGCAACAAATAAAATGAAACCGATACTTAGTCAGGTGTATCAGCTATCTGGGCAAGGTATCAAGGTGCACACCAGCTAACGAGGTTATTCGGATTCGAATTCGGTTTCGAATTCGCGTTCGCATTCTGGTCTCGCATGTCCATGTACGCTGTGCGCATAGAAGCAAAGAAATGCGGCGCGGATTCCGCAAGGATGCTGTGCGCGAGCGCTTCTTCGTGCGAGACATCGAAGCACTTGAACGGTGCGAGGCGTTCGTGTAATGATCAAGATTGGCTTGAGGCACAACCGCATGACCGACTATCGGTTGACCTACTTCGTGGCACCGGCGCGCGTGAACTCTTCGGCGCAAACGTGACCGACCTCTTCATCGCGAATGATTCCCAGCGTCTTAATTCGGCTAAATATTGTCTACGAAAAGTCGGAAAACTGGAAAATGATTACGTATTTGACCACCACACATGATGGCAGGCAGAACTTCAAAAAGTGACTTTGGAATTGCGGTTAAAAGTGAAAGAAGGTTTCATGTTTGGTCGATTGTTGCGCCAATCTGCTGGAAATAATTACTCCTATTATAACGCGTGGTTGCTGTAGCATTGTGAAACGATGTCAATTCTATGAGAGATGATTTTCACAGCTCATCAACGTGATCTGAAATGTGGTTGTCATGTTGGATCGGACAGTGGTGGATTCCATTACGCTTTCCGCGTCACGAAACTTTCCCTTATTATATTTATTACGCTATTATTATATCTCGATTATATTTGTTCGCGATCTGTTTACAGTGGCGTTTTTGTGATCGAAAATTGGTTTGATCCGGGTAAAACTGCGTGTAAGAAAGAAAGTTGAGAATACTAATTGCACTAAAGCACTAAAAATCTGTAAGATTAACCTCAATGATGCAAGTTTCATTCGCTTGGATGCATTGCACAATTCAAGCCATACATATGATACTCGTTGAAGCGCTGTCGTAATTTACGCGGATATCGGCTCGAGGAGAAACTGATCGTCTTGCTTCCAAACTAGATGGGTGACACGGTACCACGCGGTACAGGTTGCGACGCACCCAGTGTACTTTTACCCAATAACACACTTGTGGTGAGTCTTCGACTTGATGGCTTCGGGGCCCTGCGTGCGAAAACTATTTGCCTCCGGCTCTGTGAACCGACGTGTAGTTTCTGCGCGCCTTTCGCTGCTTGGCGCAACTATGTACGAGTTGCCTTACAGGTTCGCTCCGTTTTGATCGCAGACAAATCCGAGCACAACATCACATACCGTTTCTTGACTTAGTCATATTTAGGTTTACAGCTAGATAAATATTAACTAAACACGTCGATGACTACACAGCTTCGATCGCGATAGCACAGCCCGCCGCTGAACTTGATTTGAATACGGACAATACAGTGGAATTTAGGCGTAACGCGGCTCGAAATTCTATTGTGGGTTCGCGCCAATCCGATAGACAACTCATTAAAAAAAAGACGTATTGCAGCACAACACCGTATGTCATTAGCTGCGATCGTAATTTACAGTAAGCGGCAGTGAACTGCAATTGCAAGTTTGCAGTTGTGCTGCAATTTAAACATTATACAGGCAGCCGCGCATTATTTCATTGCTGCGCTGAACCGCGCGCGTTCGCTCGAATGCATTTCATGCGTTCATGCAACCGATTTGTTCTTTAGCTGCGGCGTAACGTAATTGATTAACACATAAAACGTCCACAACAGTAACGATTACTGCTGCATGTTCAGCAGCAACGCTTGGGCCAAGACATAATCATCAAGCACTTGTCAAAATTCACAAGTTAGATCACCGCTAGCTTCATTTAAGCTAAATGTAAGTAAAATGCCCAACAATGAGTTTTTAATGTTACCAAAATACACGTTCAAGCACGACCTGAGTAACGTAAATTTCAACTAATGAGACACAAACGAGCGCAATTGCGCGAGCAATTGAAGCACGCTCCTGGCAGAAGGTGGTCATAAAGTACTACCTCGCGCACACGTTCATCTTCAACGCGCATATTTAAAAACTTAATTCTATTTACGCACGAACCGAACACCGTCCGTGTCGTGGCTGCGTGTCGCTAATTCAAAGGCGAAAGTTAAGACGCGCGTAAATAAAAAATCAATTACGATTAGAAACGGTTTCTTCACGGCGAGGGCCTTTCTTTTCGGCGTGAGGGAGAATTTGGGTGTTGGTGCAGAAAATTGAATCTCGGCGCTGGTGAAAGATTACCAGTTTAGCGCGCGCGCGGTCGAATTGAATTCCGCCTCAATTTGAAAGTCAGCAAGCATCGCAATGATTGAGACTTGGTGCTGGCGTTGATTTTACCACTTATTATACGCATTTTTACCAGTGGGGATACGCAACCATAGCAACTGTAACTATTAGTAAACATGCATGCAAAATGAAAGGAGTTATAAAAATCGAGGCGCGAATCGAGAACCGTTTTGCGTCGTTTTTCATTCACACACATGTTATTTGCGCTGCGCAGGAATGCTGAGTGTATCCGCGCGGCCGCGGCCGCTCCTCGCTCGAAGCAAGGAGCGGATAGAAGACATAACACTTTCTCTTCGGGCTCCGATCTCTTTGAGACGGCATTGGCCGAATCCTCAACATGCTTCTAACGATGAGTATAATAATAATAATAATAATAATAGAATCGACACGGTATCTGTGAAGAGACTGATGTGTCTCTTCAAACATTTGTCCATGTTTATTACTTTCTTAATTGAATGAGTCATCAGTAAATTTGGAAAACACGCTCGAGAAAATCCGTCGTTGCAGTTAATCGATCTCCAGTAAGATTATCACAAACATCCGTTGCACACGTGCCCTGCCAAACCGAAATATGTCATGTTTAATTCCAGATTATATTCCAACTTGCATTAACTGGTGAGTGTTGCGCAAGAGCAATGATCTCACGTCTCCAGCCATTTCCTCGCGGAGTGCTCATTGTTTTCGAATTTTGCAATCGGTCACATACACATGCGTTTGCTAACGGATGCTCCTACTGTATCGACAGCAATTGGCGATGCCACATCTGCTTTGCTTTCAGGAAAGTAATCGGCAACGTGTGATGTTGCTTGTGTGTGCGTCACCGCGCGTTTGCTGATGGACCGAAAACTTTCTCTTCGAGTTTTTTAGCCATCTCGCAAGATATTTAGCTACAATCGGCTGGCGCGGTCAAAGCCCACCTTCGCGGCTCCGTTGGAAAGTTTTGAATATTCTGAGCGATGCTAACCACACCGTTGTGATGGCAATTAAAATGCTTCCTCTTTCCAATCAATCAAACTGAGAAATATCAACAGCATGTGAAGTGGTGGGCAAATAATTAACACAACAATGCGTACTTTATCTCACTCTGACAGTAAACGACAGTGTAAATATGCGCTGGAAAACTAAGCGTGAAAACATTTAGCGCTGTTGCCGGTCGACCGATCATAGAACCAGCTCCTGTAATTAGACATTAGTCGAAACAATGTATAGTCCAGCCGGGCAACTTTCTTCGGCTGTAGTTGTGCTTTGGGAGCGCCGCCAAGCATCGCTGAGCGTTGAAACGTGAACGAGCAGAAAATCGCTAGCCGACAGCCTCACTCACGCGTCTCTGCTCGAGAAAACTTAAATGTTTGCTGAAGGCGTGCGCGCACGAGTGAAAATTACTTTCGATTGGTTCAATTCTTAATCCAGCCCGGGTATTAAATTCCATGCGTGAATAAAACATGGCGGCAGATAGATGTTTTTGCTACACTTGTCTCTATACTTCTGAAGGTTGAAAGTCGAGAGTGAGTTGCACAAGCCAGTCATTACTAAACATTAATAACACCGAGCTAAAGCCGAGCTCCAATCAAGCACAAAATTAACTGGAAAGGTGTGATACATTTTTCGTTGTCGTTTAATTAGTGTGCAATTGGTTCAAAGTCGTCACCATGGAACAACGTTGGTGACTTGAACGCATGGTACACAGCGAGCGAACCCGCGAATTTTTCATACAACACGATATTTTTAGCTATTATAAGACAACAAGATAGAAGTACTCGCTGCGCAAAAGCCGTCTCGGCGTAACAAGAGGTACACATCCGTGAATTTTCTTTCTACGGCAAGAACCTGCGTCGTGTTTATTTGTATTTTTTTGCGTCGTTACATACACGTTTGCAAGTAACGTAGCAAACAACAGTTAATACAGCGCCGGTTACAAGAAAACCACGTAAAACAAGCTGCAATAAACCAAGAAAAGTGTCACATGCACAAAGCGTCACATTGATGGAAGAGACGGCAAGACGAGAAAAGAACGCGGATTTTCGAATTGGCAATCATCAATTACGCAACTTCCATACTGGCTGACCGCGTTAATTTCTCAAATCCGGCAGTGCTACCGCTTAAAACAGCTAAACGGCAGAAAATTCGAGATTCGCTGCGCGTCTACGATTCCCGCACCGAAATTCCTCAGTCGCCCAACTTTTTTCTCTCAGTAAGCACCTTAATAACCCTATTTTGTAAATCTGGGTTAACTATTTTTGTCTTCAGGCGTCAATTTTATAAGCATCTTCTAACCGATGTAGGCATACGATGTTTGTTTGCCTGCTTAAATTTCTAGTAGGTAAATATCGAAGTCGGTCGCTAATAAATGTTTATAAATATGTATGATCTCTTCCTAGACCATCACGGATCGATATTCGTACACGAAACGCGTTTGTCAACAGACTCTCACCTGCCAGGGCAGAACCTACTTACGCTAAACGGAAATAAATTTCGTGTTTTCGTTGACATCTTGACATTATGAATGCGCGCCCAGGCTGGAGGTATAGATTAATTAATGGTGAATCAGGATGTTGTAACTTACAAACGACCTCAATACTTGAGCTACGTGTGTCGATGTTAGTGACGAGTTTGATCATCTGCAGCTCTTCTTCATTTATTGTTAATGTTTTCGATATTTATGCGCTTGTGGTGCATTACATCGGTAAGATAATTGAATAATGTCGCAAATGAATGACGCAAACAACATCGGTCGCCGCACGGTGCGTGTCGGTGCGACAGAGTGGGTCATCGAGCTCCGTTTGGTGTCGCTGGTGATTCCGAAGGAAGCACCATCCTCGGCATCGCCATCGACGGGCAGGCAGCGCACATAGCGGTATAATCGAGCGCCGAGTGTCTGTAGGTCGATCCGAATGTGTGTTAGCGTGTGTTGTCCTCGGGTAAGATTACGACGCGGCCGCGGCCGACCGGCCCGAGCGGTGTGGCACGGAACCGTGGGTGTTCGCGGACCCTACTGACACACTAAGCAGGAATGCCGCAGAAGCGTGCCAGCCGCCACCGGTAGGTAGGTACCTACGCCTGTGTGGTTTGCGCGTTTACGCAATGCCTGCGATTGATTCGTGCGCACTTCTTGACTTTCTGGCTTTGTTTTCTTCATCCGCCAAGGTCATTCTTGCCTACCTGCTCATCTAGGAAGCGTGTGCACAATAACTCGTAATAACGAATATAATAACAATGACTTGAATAATATCCGACGCAATTAATTACCACATTTCGACGTTTTGACTTAATCAAGCGGCCTATACTCATACGCAAGTGGAACGAATACCGTACCCGCATTCTTCGGACAATCGCCGATTGTAATCGAGTTTTGGCGCATACTCGATGAGAATCGCATCACACGATGAACAATATTCGGCACGCAATTACAATCGCGGTCGAGCGTATGGGCACAGTAGTTCATTATGTCGTGTGAAATGGGTGAGTGGCGCTGGCGCAGTTCTCAAAAGTTACGCTCTGGCTTTTAGCGGATCCGTTGCAGATCTTCGCCAGGACGGGAAACAATCGTTTCGTCATTAATGAAATATGTAACATGTGAACACTTGCGAAAGCGTTGCCAACCCAATTCTGTATTAAAGATTTGCATAATCCGGCGCACCTCGTTGCATTACGGTATTTGTTTTGTTGGGGACACTGTAAATCCATCCGTATTTCGATTCATGCTTAGTCAAATCAAAGCGGAAGACACTGAAAATAATATTGACGTAATGCGCGTAAGTTATGCCGCATGCCGTGCAAAAGTTACGTCGGTTTTCCTTGCCGCATTTGAATTTCACTCTTTGCACGAGCCGGTAATAATTACATTCGTACAATTCATACGCGCGTTCGAGCGATTTGCTTGATTATGGCATGATCGATCATTGAACCGTTGGTTGTCGTTTTTGTCGCCGTTATTGCACCGTTGAAATCGAACATTCTTAGGATAAATCAACATTCGTCCACACTTGATTGCTTTTCTGGTTTCAACTGAAACTCTCCGTCTCCTACGCAATCTTGCGGCCTATTGTATTTCTGAATATTGTATTTGGATTCGTGTGGGGAACGGGCGCCTTTTGTTCTGGCATTTACAATACTACAAACATTATTTCGAAGTGTCAAGGTTTGAATTCATAAATGATTACTGTTAAGTAGCATGAGAGAAACATTTTGCTTCAAACATTCACTCGCCGCTGGGTTCATCGCGACTGGTAAGTGCAGATACATACGACTATCAAAAAGTCAACAAAACAAGTTTCGGTACGGCTAGTATTAGTTTTGGTAAAGCGCAGAGACCAGTTTTGTGCCTGTTTTTTTGCTTGTGTAAAGAGTAGCATTTAAATGCGCTGAACACCATGCAATAATCATTAACTACGTTTTTTTATTGCGGCAATTTTCTTCGTCCCCTGCCAAAATTTCCCTAAATGAATTTAATATTTCTTATTTATCGCCATGGCGAGATGACACTTTCATGTTAAGATAGAACGTAACTTTCGAGAAGTATTTTGTTGGAATCATCTCTTTGTCTTCCTTCCATGCTAACGTTTACAATGCAATCATATAGCGATCGCCGTAGCATGACTGCTAAGTAGTGTGGTAGCACTAAGTCATTGTAACGAAAGAGACTACTCTCATTCTTTAATTCTTTTTGTGTTTACTTAAGCGCATTTTTGTATTTACGAGTTGCGTCAATATCGGTTCGACGACTTCGGGCCGAACACCGTAACTTGTAAAAATCATTACATTAAACGATATCAATCAGGCCTACACAAAGCTTTAATTCAATGCCATCTCGTCGTTAAGCAGGCGGCCGGCCTGCGTGAGCATCTATGGTGTATTGATAACTGGATCGGCGCACAGCACACGCGCAAGTACGGCTCATCGCCTGCTTGAGCCGTTCAGTCCAGTGCAGTCCATGATAGAGATTGTGCTGGCCATTGTCTTGGCGTTGAATAGACGCACATAACCTAGACGTGCTGTGCAGAATAATGCTTTCTTTCGGAGGCACTTTGGTGTTGTTCGCGGGATTGGTACTGCGGACAACCTCGATGCAGGTTGCGGCGCAGGTTGGGGACCATTGGACCGAGCGTTCGCAGATTTTACAATCGGAATGGCGCCAATCGCTGGGAGGTAGTCTCACGCTTGGACCCGAAGAATGCGAGGCCAACGACACGCTCATGAAATACAAAACTGCAGAATGGGAGCAAGGATTTCAACGGCCGGGCGAGTATCCCCCTAATATGCACTTCTTCCAGGGGAAACTGGCCATGGAAAACTCGACGATATTCAAGATCCTCAAGCAGATGCCTAAAGGTGTACTCCTGCATACGCATGACTTCGGCATGCTGTCCTTCGAAGGTCTATTGAAGTTGACCTACACCGACGATCTGTACGTGTGCGATGAGCCACAGCTTGGTTTGAAATTCCGATTCTTCAAGACACCAGATAACTCATCGTGTCTGCAGGGTTGGCAGCTGCTGGCGGATCTGCGCCGTTTGTCCGAGAAAGACATAAACGCACACATCCGCAAAGAACTGAGTTTGGTGGTCGACGACCCTCATTCTACATACCCAACTATTGACGCTGTTTGGTCCAAATTCCAAAGCATCTACGTCAAAGTAGCTCCCATTGTGACCTACAAGCCCGTTTTCGACAAATACTTTTATCGCGCACTGAAGGAATTGCATGATGATCAGGTCTGGTATGTCCAGGTGCGCACAACGTTGCCAGACCTCTACGATCTAATGGGACGACAATACCGAGGGGGTCAGGTCGTCAAGGCCTACAAGGAGATCACCGAGAAGTTCAAACGCGCACATCCGAAGTTCATTGGCGCCAAACTTATTTACGCGCCCCCGCGTCACGTGACCAACGAGACAATGGCAGGCTATGTGGCGACGTTCACCAACATCAAGGCGGCGTTTAACGATTTTGTGCTTGGCTTTGATCTAGTCGGGCAGGAAGATAAGGGCGCACCGCTGAAAGATTTCCTGCCGCACTTGCTTCCGATGAAGGAGACGTGCGACTTCTTCTTCCATGCAGGCGAGACCGATTGGTTTGGGTCCACAACCGACGAAAACCTAGTCGACGCCATTCTGCTCGGTACCAAACGCATCGGCCATGGCTATGCCCTGCTTAAACACCCAGTTCTAATGCAGCGTGTTCGCGACGAGGCCATTGTTCTCGAAGTGTCTCCAATTAGCAATCAGGTCCTGAAACTGGTGGAAGACATTCGCAACCATCCAGGCGCTGTGTTCGGTGCCACTGCAATGCCGATGGTAGTAACCAATGATGACCCAACCTATTGGGACGCGAAGGGCGTGAGTTACGATTGGTATATGGCGTTCATGGGCATGGCAAATCGGCACAGCGATCTGCGTTATCTGAAGATGTTGGCACTGAATTCGATCTACCACAGTGGATTGCGCTCTGGTGAGATAACCCAGCTGATGGTGCAATGGCTGCCAGAATGGGCTGAGTTTGTGCGCAAATTATCAAATGATGCAATTAATTAAATCGAGAAATAAAACTGTGTCCCGGCGATTATCTGTGTGTTTGTTTCATTAATTCCCGGTCACTTGCGCAAACTGGTGAAGTTTCCGCGATGCTCGCAACATGCTTGCGCTGAGAGTATGCAACAGCACGCAACGCATGCGATTTGAGCGCATTGTTCGCATCCATCTACCTCGAGCGATGAGTTGACTTAACGTTATAAATGCGTGAATGTACGCCACGAATGTGAGAAAAATGGTCCGCAACGAGGTACAGCAAGCCAGCGATTTTTACGTAATTGTATTACGTTCCGCAGCATCTTCGTGCATTCTGTTTGTTGTGAGCACGTAACTTCTTCGCCACACTATTCCGAAGATTCTCATCACACGATCCTTTGCTTCGCTTTTATGTGGTTTCTTTTTTTGTGTTTTTAATACGCGGTCCGCCTATTCCGCTCATTTTTAAATGAGATTATCGTAATGTTTCTAATATTAGTGTGGCTTGGCTTTGCTTCGAGGTTCTCATTTGCAGCCGCTGATATAATATGCTAATTTCATTGTTCGATTCAATTCGCGAGAAATTCGAAATTAGGCGCGCGCGCGTTTTGAGTTGCGCTTGTGTGAATTCGCCTTTCGCGTTAATATTTGCGTTCGTATTGCGGTACGTACATCGCGTTGTGTAATATTTTTACTTTCAGGCTACACCGTTTTACAATAATTCAATAGCAATGCACTTGATAACTAATTAAAGAAAATAAATTGGCTGTGAAAGTTGCCAGTGTTACGTGTTTACATTTTAACCAAATTTTATTTAACGTATATACATAATCCGTTCTCCACTTACAGATGGATGCAGACGCTTGAATGGATGCCGTGCAATGAAGATGACGTTCTTCAGCATGCATGACTATAATTGATCGGAAGCAAATCTGGCAAGTGTCAATTACATTATGAGGGTGAGTATTTTTGATTGGCACATTAATTTTGCATTCTGCACATCTGTAGTTATTGGAATTTTAAGTTATCTTTTGCGTATGTATTTGGTGTCATACCGTTGCCAAAGACAACTTATTGATCGTAGAATTGCTTAGATTTATCATCTTACCTGCGCATCAAGCAAAAAGACAGAAATTGAATGCGGCTACATACCTGCAACAAACATATAAAACCAACATTAGCTGTGCGGTGCAAATTACTGTAATCGTGGCATGCATCAACAAGATTAACACATTAAAAACTCATTTTGCCGCACAATTGATTGCTTCAATAATACTCGGAGCCAGCGCGTGGGATCACCGAGCTTAGACAACAGTGGCATGTCAATCTATCTACGGACTGCGAAAAAATGTTAAAGCACTAAATAATTAGCAGGAAGAAACCGAAATGTTAATTCAGCGAGCTCGAATAACCTTATCAGAGAAGTTTCTTAAGACTTGCGGACAACGCGTGCAACGCCGGCGTTTTTCCAATTCACTTTCGGCCGTATAAACCGTGGCGATGCAACCGCATCATTCTATACTTCGTGATTGCCCGACGACGATTCTCGAAAACTAAACGCAAAACGGCGTGAAATTGACGTGTTAAAAGCGCGCGCCGCGCCGTATCGAGATTATGTAGGTTTGTTCACAAATGTGTAAACATTAGCGATTAGTTGCAGCCAGTGAGCAATTACCTCATAAGCTTAAATTCCGCGGCAATTTGTCAAAACTGCCCAAAGTGTAAAGAAACAACGGAAGCACAATTCTATCATTGCGCGATAAATATCATGAACGGCAGGTGTATCGTGGTGAATTGTCAGAAGAAATACTCGAACACCTGACGGACAGTGCGGGGCATTAGGAAAATGCGCAGCGACAAAGGCCTTGCATGGTCACACCTCATTCACCTCGTGCTGCATGCATGGCAAATTCAGCGCATAATTAACTGCAACGAAAGGAATTCATATTTCTCTGCGTATGATCAACCGAAGGGACCACCGAAATTACATCGTGCTCACCTCACCCGCATACATTATTCGCAAAGTAGACAAATGCCTTGAAATAACTAAAACAAGTTTTGTGCTTAAATTGATTTTAAACGATCGCCAGTAAATCAAAATAGAAAGTAAGTGTATGTTGAAGTAATATTGACCGGTCGTTACCTGCCCGGGCGGCAGAGAGCGAATGTCATTGCTTGGTGTCCGTATGCATTAAGCACGCATTAAATTACAACTAATTATTATTAATTTTGTTCGTAGCGCGCAAGAACGGAATGGAATGCAATGTGTACTCGCCTCGCGGCTGCACACGTTTGCTAGACAAGTGCATCGATGACATTTAGACGTTTAATATATACAATAGCGATTATCGTTAATGCGGAAACGTGGAACATCTTAGAAAGTATTTTTGTGTTTCACCGCCGCTAGGCATAGAAATTTGATCAAAGCCTCTCGGAGTACTGCATGGCGATGCAGTACCGCCGTTCTTAGTTTAACTGTAGCAGGTTAACTGTAATGCCAAGCGACTCGCGCGACTCGCGAAAAGCAAAAACGTGTAATAATTACCTGATAACAAATCGGCCAAGAGTAGCAGTGCAATTGCAAAAAATTGCAAATTTGAGTACCAGCAATCCCAACTCCCGGCGCCCCCACACTTTCGGGCCTTCAGCTGCGGCATTCTCTTCTTATGGCGATGAATAATGAATACTCGAAGTATGACTCGGCCGCAGGAAGCAATCCTCTCCGTTGCTACTCACTTAACGCTTAACGTGATTTTGAATTGAGATTTATGTCCAATGTCACTTGATATTATGCGGTAATCCAAGTAGCCACATTATAATCCTCTGAGCCCCTTCTTCTTCTTCGGATCGGCAGGCACTGGCTAATCGCACTCGAAAATCGCGGTTTTGAACTGAGCGACGGCCGTGCGGTCGGTCGCGCGAGTTCTGCTCGTTTGCCAGCTCTTTTGCCGCAGCTCTTCGGCGGTGCCCTCACGCCGCTCACTTTTTCCACTCTTCGGCAACCGCTCTCTTCTTCGGCGCGTCGGCGGGTGCGCGTATTTGCCGGCAGGAATGTTGTAAATACGCCGCATTCCGAAAAATAGAGGTTGACGAAGGAACCATCATCCCCGCTGCGGACAACGAATTTGGCGAATACCAATATCTTTAGTCATTTAGTCGCTTTTCCTATCCTGCGGTACAGAATAACCTTGTGCGTTATTTTACAGCCAAATACGACGCAAATCTAAATGTGCTTGAGACAAGTAATAATGAGCGTATAATAGGAAAGCGGTCAATGGAAAGTTTATTAGCCATCGCAGAAAGCACAAATACTACACGACCTATTCCCCCTTCTTGCCCTAAGGTGAATATTTTGAGCGATATTATACTTATTGCATCACTTCATCGGTGGAATTTTGTTGAAATAACCTCGACCCTGATTGCCAGTACGTAGAAATGCTTAAAAATTAGAAAACACGGACGCGCGGTGTCATAAACACAAATTTCGGCATAATTTCTCTTGGTCGACGATTTCACGCGATTTATTAAAGTCTCATATATTCAAGGCCCATACCATCTGAGGTCCGTGGTAAATTTTTTGGATGGGACTCTCCCAATGAAAATCTTGAAAACAACAGATATGAACGGATTAAACCTTCATTAATCTGCGGGATGTTTGCTCTTTGAACAGGAATCTTTGGTTGCGGTTATCCCCTACAGAAACTGGTTACTAGAAATCGGTTGACAGTTGATGAAAATGTTACCAAGTAAAGTATTCAGAATAACGTTGCCTTGAAGAATCCCTAATAAAAGGTACAACTTTTAGTTGTTTATGTTCTGTATTATCAATGAAGAAAGTTAAACTATATACGGTGATTACAGCGTGATTACGGTGATTACAAATGATTTAATTTGAAAATGTAAGTATGATAAAGTATTTAGGATAACGCTTCCTTAAAGAAGCCACAATAAAATTGCACCTTTTGAAAGTGCCCTTCCCTTAAATGTACACTAAAAATTAGTATTTTTCTAAAACCATGTATCTCACTTTTACATTCTACTTCATCAAGAAGAGAGGCGTGTTTTCATATATTTCAGCGAATTTCCTTGCGAGCTAGCGCATTTTTAAAGGATTTTAAACCATTTTGCAGGCACAGACAGATGGTGTAAAATAGTTTCCTCTATTCTCATATACGCTACTCAAATTTTTACTTACAGCACTCGCCGTCAGGTAGCGCGCCGTGGTATAATTATGTATTTATTTCTATGGTTGCAAGTTTCAGTTTTCTGAGTGGAAGCCGAGAAAGAACGGTAAAGTGCAACTTCTCTTTATTTTCCTTTGCTGAAATTGTTCCTTCTGTTTAATTCACCTATTCCTGCATGCATGGAATATTTTTATTCATGCGTTGGCAGTTAAGTCGTCTTTACTTCATACCTATGTAACCGTGTCCAGTATTATTTAATTTTTATAATATACAAAGTATTTAATTTGAGTACTTTGCAAATTATGGTGGCATTGCACATTAATGACTTGGTGCCACCTGTGGCGGACGTCTTGTCCATGCTACAGTTATCTGCGTTCACGCCAGAAGAGAAAGGTATAGTGCACATTTTCCTTCTTTTCCTTTGTTGCAATTACAGTTCGTATTTATTTTATTAAATTAGCAGTAGGTATTTTGTTGTTGTTTTATGTCGTTTTAATTCTAAATATTGTTATCTGAATTTTGGCAATAGCCTTCAATATGAACATATTATATTACTACACTTTGTGGCAACTATCTCAAATCTGTAACTGTGCTAATGTTTATATCATTCGTTGCAATTTAATTTTAGTACTTGATGCAACTAGTACACACAGTAAATGAACATGGAGCTTTCACTACTCGAATAGGGGTTTATTTTAGTTTAGTTTTTGTTTATTTTAGGGGTCTAGTAAATGAATCCGACGTCGTAGCAATTCTTACATCAGATTGTACGTATTGAATTTCATTATGATTTTCAGAAATAACATTTTCAATTATCTTCCGGGAAACTCACAAAAATGTCATTGTAGTGTTTTGAGTTACTAGTTTTTGTTTGTTGCAAATGAAAATATCGTATTTAATTCGCAAGCCATCTACACAAATGGCATTTTCATGATACGACAAGGGAGATTCATTCAAATAATTCATTCCTTCAAATGTTGGTAGCCGCCGGACAGTTCCCTGAAATAGACCGATATTTTGCACCGCCGAAACTAGATGACGTTAGTGCAGCTTTTGCTTGAAGCTGGTATGTGTTTTCGATATTAGATGGCACAGGTATTGGAAGTTGTTTTGTCGGTGTCGGTGTGCGCATGCACACAAATTGCTGTGTAACGCCTTATAACTTATAAATTACTTTTACCCGTAACTTTCAAATACAGGTTGATAAAGAATAAGATTATTCTTGCAATTCTTGTAATACCTGTACCCCAACCTGTTATCACGCGTAAATAGAAACTTACCCAAATATCTGCTTTGATAACATGAAGTCCAGATTTTGTTTCATAGGTGTCCCTAACACCCTGTTTCAAAGCATAAATTCGTCCCGTTATGGTTTGAAACGTCTCCTGAAAGATGATAGTATACCGATGGCTATTTAACAAGGATTCCAAAGGAACTTTTATTTGGCTAGATGAGGACGTCTTGTCAGTTGGGCGAAATGATAAATTACGCATACCTCAGCGTGGAAAATTAAATTGCCGTCGGGCAACGCGACGATTTCCGGCGCGTCGTGCTCGCCGCTCGTTTTTTCAATTTCCCAAAGTGAATTTTAGAGAAACCGAACGCGACAATGCGGGCGCCACAAAGATTGCGCGCATCGTCCATTATTGCGCTCGTGTCTCGCGCCACTGCTACCGCTCCCGTCTAACTGAAGTAGCGGGCGCCGAGCGGCTTTTTATCGAAACGCATATATACGTTTTATAAAGTAATGGCACAACGGAAATTGCGAAGAATGAGTTATATCTCCATAAAGAGAAAAATGTAAACGCACACACCGACGTGGCGGTGGTCTGAGCTGCGATACAGTGGTTGGACGAAAGGAGTCGGTTGCCTAACGAGAAACGTAAAAACGCGTACGTGCGAGGCACTCGCGTTGTCCCGGCTACGCGACGCAAATTCGCCGCCGCCGGTCGTTTTTTTCCGCCACATTATACGTTTTACACAAATACCTTTTCAATGGACATCTTTATTACGCCCGATACTACATATTATGATCGCTTGCAAGTGCGGAAGAGGGTCGCCGGCGACTACAATATAAAAAATATATAGATATATACGCGCTGCTTTCTCCGCTCGTCGGCTTTCGAAGGCGAAAGGAATGAGCCGTCGGACCCGAGTTTAATTTTATTAGCGACCCGACAATAACCTTTCGTCAATAAATTACGATTCTATTACAGTTTCGCCGCGCGCCGCTACAATGTGCTCGAAGCGATCCTTGTATAAAAGTCATTTCCTAATATATTTGCACATTTTTCTTCGATTCGCGTTCAATCGGAGCACGACCGCCCGGCTTCGAGTTGAGCGCGAATCAAACCGGAAACGTGAAGCTGCTCGCCACCGCCCGGCTAGCGGAAGGCGTTTGGGAACGCACGCACGTTGGCAACGGACCTCGGGCCCGCAAACGGCCACACGTTCGGAGGAAGTATAAAAAATACCACAGGAACATATCTTTGCCTTTCTGGCGAACGCGCGCGCTACGGATGAATGAAGTGTGGATGTTTTACCAAAACGTTCCTGCTGAAAAGGAAACAATATTGTTCTTAAACTGTATGTTACCGAAAATCGTTTGGACCAGAAATTAAAAAATAAATTCTAAAGATTTAACCACAAACTTATTAAATATAAAAAATGATCCAACACTGGCTTTGTTACAATGCTATTCTATTAAATACAAACAATTATCATTGTTCTATATTGTAAATTTTTGATTAGAGTTTTTCAGTAGGAGCAGACTAATGAAACATTTCCATTTCCAACAATCAGAAAAATTCGATTACAAAAGAAAGATCCACCTCGAAACGCGTTTCATCATTTCATTTCACTTCCCTCGCTGTACGTAATGTGAAAATGTTCAAAGAACAACACAAAAAACAAGACCCGGAAAAAAGTAGCTTGAATTGTTGCTGGATGTGGATGAGATGCGAACATGAAAGAGCCTCGCGTCTTGCGTAGCGGAAGATGAAATTTTGCGCTCGCTGTACCTATGTGAGTGCGGGAGGCGCATGCAGCACAACAGTAACCCAGCAATGAAAAAAACAAAGCGCACGCGGGAAAAATAGGAAACGGTAACATTGATAACTCCTATAACGCCACGGCGATGAACGCTTCTGGCACTCTATTTGGCAATGGCATTTTGACGGCGGCGGGCGCGCGTATTTGCCGCGCGTGCAAGACTACGCCATCACCGCAGGCGCACGGAATAAAATAGACGCAGCGCCGGACATAAAAAAGAAAGGAAGCGACGGCGAAGTGAAAAGCGAAAATGATGTTTCATATTGCCGTTTAACACGTACTTACTTGTTCGCCCATCGGCAGCACGACGCCGCCGGTTGCGGCAGTCGGCCTTCCGCACGTCACCCCCGCTTTCAAGTTCTACTTTTGAGTACCCCTTTCCAGGAACGCGCGCGGTGGCAACGGTGGCGGCGGTGGCTCAACCTGTTCTCGGGTTGAAAGCCCGTCGCGAGCACGCGAACAACATCACTTTTCGCGCCGTGACGCGCGCCCGTTTTATTTTCAACAGGAAGTTCTTCATCGCGCGCGGGCGACGAGACGCCCTGTTTTTCTGCTATCTCAACCTCGACAACTTATTGTTCGGCGACAATGCACTGAAGAATCTCAAAGAGTGCGCCGAGTTTTCCAAGGGACACAAATGTGCGAGTTTTAATCTTGATAGGTACATCGACTTAATCTCTTCTTGAT